CTATGCTTCAATTCCAATTATAGTGGTAACAGTTATGTACATTAAAGTGTTCCGAGCTTTAGGCAAACGAAAACGAGAATTGAAGGAGACTGGAATCACAAAGGAGATGAGAACCAAAGTAGTTTTGGATCGAGAAAGACGGATGGTACTGACAATCTTGATAATACTTGCACTATTTTACTTGACATTTTTACCTGAGTTTATTGCGTTACATGTGCTACATTTGTGCCAATCTTGTGCACGATCTCTGACATTCAGAAAGCTGGAGATAATATTTTCTCGGTTTCTTTTCCTAAATTCCGCGATGAATCCTTTTGTGTATGCTTGGAGATTGCCTAAGTATCGTAAAGCAGTGCTTTCCTGCTTTGCTTGCCCGAAATTCCGTGACAGCAAACGGGTGCAAGCACAGACACGACGTTCAAAGTACAATCCCTGCGTAATTGTCTCTTCAGGAGGAAACTGTAAGTTAATTCAGAATAACAAAATAACGCAAACGAAAAGTAGACTGAACAAGAAAAACAATAACGTGGGACCTTAAAAGTCAAATCGAAATTGAAGGGAATAATCCGTTTTTGAGGGGTCATTCTTTTGCAGAAACTCCACTAAAGCCTATTTTTAATCTTTGTATTACGCCATTTAGTGATACTCAAGGGCCCTCCATTATATTGTTAAGCCGCCCTCCCCATTGAAAAGTTACATAACAACAGTTTTAGAGAGATGGTATTGCTATGAATTAACTAGGGAATTTTAAAAAGTATCAACCGCGAATCTAAGCACGACTTTGTTTAATACAAAAAAAAAATTTTTTTTGCAAATAAATATTGATGGGTCTACATCATGAAATGGAACACTGAGATAGGTTATTGAAGGTCACAGAGGGGCTGTGACAAGAAACACGGAAATACATCGTTAATGTATTAGGTGATATTAATCTGATATGGCAATATGGAAAATACTACGAAAGTTAAATTGTAAAAAAGAATATTCATAAAAGAAGAGAATAATGGTACTAACGCGAAAGTTCATGAGTATGTAAATGCAGGTGTAAATTTCCAATGCAGTCGTTCACAGATAGGAAGGAAAAAAACCAAACCGACGAACATGCGGGAATGCAAAAACGTGGCAACTATATATTGTCTCTAATATTCTTCTGAACAGGAAATGTTACGAAATCTTCGCAAAGCAGCATGTATATTTTAAAATCCTTTGTTTTCTAACCAACTTCCTTATAACAAAATCTCGTCTGAATTGAAGAAACATGGAAATCCTGTGTGAGGAACATGCAAAATTGTTAACTTTTTCATGGCTATAGTTTGTATCACTTATGACTGGTCGGAATCCTCTAACACACACACACTAAGTTAAAAATGGAGTTTAAAGACATTTTATTTCGTAAACTGCCTTTTTCTAGGTCTATGCTTTCCCTGTGTGAAAATGAAAACACTCCTATACGAGGAGAGCGTATTGCTCCATAGCAAAAGAAGTTTTCGGTCAAACCTGTATATAATGGCCCTGTATATAGCAGTCATCCTGTATATTACAGTCACCGGACAACTTCCCAAAATTTTCAGTTGCCTTATATTTTCTGAAAAGTTGACCTGTATTTAGCGATCACCCTGTATATAGCGATCACCTTGCTATTTCCCAAAGTGACCGTTATACACAGGTTTGACTGTACTTCCCTTCTTCTCCTGACCTGACTCAGTCTCCATTGCCCCATTTACTATTGAGCTTTAAATAAGCCGTATTGTCCATTATGTATTAGGATGACTGGGCTGGAAAATCAATGATAGCGTTTCCTTTTTTACAACGCCAGACTTCAAATAATGACCATATTCCCAAGCCTGACTAGATTTGTTCTTCATTTTTATCACCTGTTCAAGGAAATTATTTTATCCCTCGACATCAACATTAATTTTATCAAGGGTAGGGACCAATGTAGCATGCTCTGTGTCCCACCATACAAATGTCTGTAAAACTACAATATGTCAGTCTATCTTTTTTACTTTTCAACATATCATTTAAAAATTAATTCACTGGTTTTAAGGCAATCCTTTCCAATGGTGTTAATGGATTTTTTGAAGGGTGTTCAGCGCATCACACAAAGTAAGCAAAACCACGCCAACATATCACAATAAATGCAAAACACAAATTCCTTCTAGTTCTGTAAGGCTTAAAATATAATTTATTTAATTTATTTGCTTACCAAATTTTTCATACATGTCTGATATCACATTACTGCTGACGACTATGCTTTCTCCACAAGAATGGAAAGTTTGTCCTTACACATAGTGACTAAAACCTACAGTTTCTAAAGTTGATGTACGCAAGAGAGCTGATGAAGCTAACATCACATGATCATGAATGAGCCATTAAACACTGTGAGAAAAAAGCAGTAGCAGTGGGAAGACAAGATTACTTTATTTTAATATAGGACTGAAATTGACGCTCCATTAAGTTAAGGTATCATTACCGCGACTTAAATTAAAGCGAATTTAATGGAAAATGACTTTCGAAAAAAGGAAATTAATACGAAAAAGAAAATGAAGGAAGTTACCGCAACGATCACAAAGAAACAAAACTTGTCGAGACAACAGGAAAGACGTTTAAACGCCACCCTTATAAAATACCCGTCTTTCTTGGGTGTCAAAAATGTCTGAAGTGCATCGAAAATTTGGGGTCAAAATAATGGAAATTAAGGTCGCGGAAATTAACGCTATACTTAAGGTGGCTCGATACAGTTTTTCAGGGTCAATATCTCCCAAGTTTGAGCATAAACTACGTCACCATACACAAAGTTTTGGAAAAATTGCCACCACAGTTGTATTAGATAAAGATGAAAATTTCTTATTGTTAGGGTTGCAACAGCATCGGAGTTGTCATAGCAACGAAATGACGCTATTACCTATTTTACTTGCAGCAGTATATCTCGGCACTGGGAACTGTTCTTCCAAAATCGTTCACAGGAGCTTTTTCCTCCAATAGACGCCTCGATGTTCGTGAAGTTTAAGCGAAATCTGTAAGAGCATTATTGAGATATTTTGGGATGAAGTTTTTATGGCTAGAAACGCAGTAAACAATGGACAGTATTGTTGTTTGGCCGTTATCTGTAAAAAATCAAGCGCTTTTGACATGCAATTTCAGCTCATAGTAGTTTCAATCTTTTTAAAAACGTGTGTGAAATATCATTTAGATAGCTCCAACCGATTGCTAGAAAGAAGGGTTTTATTAGTATGTATCGAAGCGCTCTTGTTCGCGGTTTTGTAAACATTTTGGTCTTCTCTATCAAATTAGCGAATAATTTTTAAACCGCTCGATAGATTTTTTGAAAAATTTAAGATTCTTGAGATTAACCTTCCTTTTATATGACCTTTTAGTTTCAAGATTATTGATACATTGTAAGCCAGTAAAATAACGGCTACAATTCGCTACTTTTTTATCGGAAGTTTCGTCATTACAAAAAAAAGCCTCTCATTATTCAAGGCATTGTCTCCAAGTTTCATTTTCACGTGAAAAGTAGTAACTAACAATGCATTTGACATATGCAAAAATGCTAGCTATTGTTGTGCACGAAAATATGAAACTTGGAGACAATACCCTGAATAATAAGAGGCTCACACTTGTAAACACAAAATTTTAGCCAAACTATTAGCGAATTGTAGCCCTTATTTTACTGCCTTACAATATATCAATAATCTTGAAACTAAAAGGTCATATAAAAGGAAGGTTAATCTTTAAAATCTTAAATTTTGAAAAAAATCTATCGAGCGGTTTAAAAACTATTTGCTAGTTTGTTAAAGTAGACCAAAATGTTCAAAAACCACTAATAAGAGCTCCTGGATACATACTAATCAAATCTTTCTTCCTAGCAATCGGCTGGAGCTATCTCCATGATCTTTCACACACGTTTTTAAAAAGATTGAAACTACTTTGAGGTAAAATTGTATGTCAAAAGCGCTTCGTTTTCTACAGATAACAGCCGAACATAGAGATTGTCCATTTTTTACCGTATTTCTAACCACAAAATCTTTATCCCAAAATATCTCGATAACGCTCTTACAGATTTCGCTTAAACTTCATGAACATCGAGGCGGCTATTGGAGGAAAAAGCTTCTGTGAATGATTTTGGAAGAACAGTTCCCAGTGTCGATATATACTGCTGTAAGTAAAATAGGTAATAGCGTCATTTCGTTGCTACGACAACTCCGATGCCATTGCAACCCTGATCACAACAAATTTTCATCTTTATCTAGTACAAGTGTAGTGGCAATTTTTTCAAAACTTTGTTTATGATGACGTAGTTTATACTCAAACTTGGGAGGTATTGGCCCTGGAAAACTGCATCGAGCCACCTTAATCAGCGGCGCGGAAATTAACTTGGGGTTTACAGAAATTAACGCGACTAAAATAAACGCGAATTTTTGAAGTTCGCTTTAATTTCCTATAGTAAGGTCAGAAGGTAGCAAGGTATAAATATTAGGACAGAATTAGTCTACGTATAGCCTGCGCGCCAGTAGACTTGATTTCCAGCAGTTTGAGGGGTCTGGTATTGTTACGTTCGGAGAGTCATCACCCTTAGAATATATTAGTACCTGCACATAAGTACCTGTACATTTATATTAGACTGCTTTTCAATTTGATTGCATTGATAAACGCAGTGTCTTTAGAGTAAATATGAGTGGAAATATCAAAAATGAACATTTTTGTATAAAACAATAACAACTTAACTAGTTACTTAATATATATATTCTTTGTAATCTTACGTCTAACGTACTAATAAATTTGTTTATTATTTATTTGAAATGTGGCTCTAGTTGTTCAAACGTTAGATAGCGTAGCCTGCGTAGCAGGCGCTTGGAAGAAGTGGGCCCAAGAAAAAACGGGCGCGCGAGAAGGAGACACGCTTGCGTGTCTCCCTCGCGCGCGCCCGTTCTCTCTTTCGCCCGCTACTTCCAAGCGCCTGCTACGCAGGCTATAGATAGCGCTATTCACCGGATAAATCACTGTGAGGCAGGGTGGCGGAGTGGTTAGGGCGCTGGAATTGTGATTCGGAGGCCCCCAGTTCAAGTCCCCGCCCTAACTCAGTGCTAGCTGGATTTGTTCTCAGTGATCCCGAGTGTAAATATCCAACTGGTTTACCTCCGGTCAGCTGGAGATTCTTAACCCTCAGCGGGCCACAATGAAATCTACTGATGTAACAGAAACTGTGTTACCTCTATGACGTGATTTTTTTTAATCACTATCCAACGGATAAGCATAGAAAAAGCCAATATTATGTTATCAACGATTTACAGTGCGACTACTGTAACTGGGGCCACTTGGACAAAGCTGGCCAATCGGATTACAGTAAAATAACAATACATACCAAGAACGTTGGCTGTAGGCCAATCAGCAGCTCGCAAAAAAGGAAAACAACAATAAGTTACTCCAACCACAAAATGTAAATATTGATAGCAAACGTTTTTCAAGAAAGCAAAATGTCTTACCAGACAATGCTTTTCTATTGGGAATTTTATGTATAACACCCAGGAGACATATTTGTTTGACACAAGCTGTTGTTTTGCTTATTTATTTTTATCTACCAGCAATTTCTTCGCTACCATTGCCGCGCTTTGCAATAACATGCGACCTCAAGTCTGACATTTACGTTTTTCGCTTCCGTCACGGACCTCTCAGGAAACAGGGGCTTTCTTCAGCGGGGTCAAAAGCTCACGTCTGCAGGTTGCAATTGGTTGATTTTGATCCAAGTTGTTGATTGGGTTTCTTGGTAATTATCATTGACAACTAAATTTCTCGGGAAGTATTGTTATTTTCCTGTAATCAGAATGGTCAAGTTTGTCTAGGTGGCCCTAGTTATAGCAGTCGCACTGTAAACAATTGGGGCCAAAATTACATTATGTTGGTAACAGATGACCAAAACTAAGGTTCGGGCTGAGACCAAACACTTTGAAGATAATTTTAATAAAAAGGTTGACCTTTGCATTTCTTAAATGTCTTCATTTAATTTGCTTTATATTAGTCAAAACTCTCATAAAAACAAACCCTTGGGATGATTAATTATGGGACTGATCAGTAATAGCTAAGCAATCCTACATGTAGCAACAGAAGGGATTATACAAATTAATTTTAACTTTTAAGCTAAAATCAATTTGGACAATGTTAATATGGAAAAAGATACATTGCACAGTCAAACCACGCTTTATGGACAACCACTTAATACAGACGCCTCATTATTACACACAGTTTGCCTCTCCCTGGAAAAGAAAGCCTTTACATTTTCTCTAAATTCAACTCACTTAATACAGACACTTTCTATGGCCCTCTTAGTGTCCGTATTAACAGGATTTAACTGTAGTTAAATCATTGTCTGTTTAACTCTCTGAACTCTCCATTTAAACTAACTTATGGCCAACGGATCCAAGTGTTAAAAAGATCAGGATTTTTTGCCTGCATGATGGTTGTATAAACAGTTCTATTGTTGAGCACAGGGTGGACTGACAGGACATTGAACAGAGTCTCTGCTGTCAGCTTTTGTTGAGTGACCTTGGTCAGAGCTTTTTCTGCTGGATGACGGCGATCATCTGAGGGAGGGGGTGTAGTCCAATGATCATAGTTGGTCTCAACCAGGAACCACCTGTCAATCAATGTCAAGGTCAATTAAAAGGTATTTACATGATATAAGGACACATTAATGCACACAATTTGTTCCCTCCCCTAACCTTGTCATATTATTGTTAAATTACTTAAATAATAAAGCAGAAATAGGATGCTGGGCTAGGAACATCAAAGCAATATATAGTACCTTATTTCAATATACAGTCAACTCTCCCCCGCCATTGTGAATGCCCCGCTAAAACGGACTCACCAATAATAGAGATAGCAGCTAAATTCCACACAAAATTAATTACAGAGGTTTGACTGAAATAAACTCACGCTATTACGGACTCTCAATAATGAGGACACTAACTCGAGGTCCCTACAGTGTTAGCCTACGGGAACAATAGCTTTAGGCTACTACAGTGTCTGCTGTAAAGGCAGTTGACTGAAAAGGGCAATATTTCAATATATTTGTTTTATATTTATATTAATTAGCCATAATTTTATAATATTCAATGCTAAATTATTTTATTTAATTTCTTGCAAACTACTGATTCATAATGCTCAACCCAATAAAACTGACAAAGTTATTAATAACTAAATATCCTGTCCACTAGTTCTTTAATTCATGGACCAACCATGTGTAATCAATTTATTATTCGTCCTGATCAGTACCTTAACTTTTCAAGAAAAAAGCCCTTCCACCAATGGTATATATTCCCTGGAAGGTTTATAGTTCAATGTTATTTCTTTTTCAGGTAAAAGGGGAGAGATGGCCCTTTGGCAAAGTATGTGTCACTGTAATATCTTACTGATTAAAACTTGACACAGAAAAAAGTCCAGAATTGAATGTCTCCATGCTTTTTGGAATTCCAGGCCTTCCAGTGATCGAAATTAACTTTTGAGTCTGGTCTGCTGGACAGGAGGATTAAAATTTACAGGTCCATCAGCATCATCACTCTTATCACTTTTATTTTTATTTTGGATGTATGCCATTTGTGTCTGCAAGTTAATACATGAAACTGCAATCAAATAAACGCAACCATAGTATTTATTTACCCGTACATCATGAGCCGCCAAAACAAGTGTCTTACAGTATGTCCTTCACTGGCCTTACCTGCTTTCAGGCTGTCTGTTTAAGAATTTATATTCGTTTTGATCCTCAGGGAGCAGGGTTCACACAAAAAATTGCAACCATTTTTCAAGGACTTTTCAAGGACTTTTCAAGGACCACATTTTCAAGGACCACCTACTAGTTATATAATTTTACAGGTTGTATGAAAATGCACATTCCCAGTCTATTATTAAAACTTTAAGGCTTGAACTGTTTGATTCTCTAACTTCTCTACATTTTTTAGTTCACTTGTCTTAAACTGATAGTAAATTATTGCATAAAACAGAGAACAATTTAAGTAAATATTAACCTTTAAATTCTCTGAGCTATGATTTATATTCTGTCTTGGGAAGCAAAAAGCATCAAAAAATTCTATCAAGGTCACCACATATGTACATTTAAAGTTGACGAAAATTCAAGGATTTTTCAAGGACTTGCACAGAAATTTATGGAATTCAAGGACTTTTCAAGGACTTCCCCTAAAATTCAAGGACTTTTCAAGACTGTTCGAGCACTGGGGAGTATTTCATGCTTTTCCTGTTCAGGAATTCTCTACAAAACTCGCACAACATTTTCTTTTCCTTTCCGTCAAACCTCAGCCATTTATGTTTATCCTTCCATATCATGCCTCCCCGTACTTGCGTGTTTTTTTGGCAGAAGTAGGTGTTTCAAATGCTGTGTTAGTTTCTTTATCGTCTGATGATTGCTTTAATTTCCTCCAAAGAAGTTAAGTTCAAGCACTGCCTTCCATTACAAAGAAGTCTCCTTCACCCTCTGAATTTCAAGATGCTGCCTGGTATGAATATTTTCAGGAAAAACCCAGTTTCATCACAATGTATGATTTAAGGATAGCAACATATATGGAGCTGAAGATGCACGGCCAACTTGTTAAGACTTTTATTACGCAAAAACACAAAACACATTTGAACAGCTTTTTAGTTTACCGCCATAATTAGATTTTACACTGTCATCTCCCGTGGATAAAAGAAAAAGATCACTTAGTTGATGTCAACTTTACTTAATGGTTAGAACTCACTTAATGTTGTTACACTGATGATAAATAAGGGTAGGTACTTCATATATGATTATTATGTTAATCACCTATCAATGTTAAGCCCCAGGGTGGGTGCGTGTGTGTGTGGGTGGGGGGGGGGGAAGTCAGACCCATAGGAATTTGGCATTTTTATGGAAGCCAGAGACAAATTCCCCACCCCCAGGCAACTACTTCTAAATTTCACATTCCTGACCCTATGGAGTTGCAGGTCTTAATAATTGACAGGATGAAAAGGATATTCAACCCTTCTCTCAGTCTTTACTGTGACACAAGAAATGCAGTCCCAGAAGATGGCATCACCTGCAGGGCATAATGATCGTGGCCATTCCCTGACACAAACTTTGTATTACCATATGTCACACTGGATCCACAGCACTTGCAGTCGGGCAATTTTGGAACGTCTTTTCCCAAATACTAATTTTTCTTTTGGGATCAAAGTCTTGCAACAAAATATTGTAGTCAAAGATTATTATATATATTCAGTACTCCTTTATCCTTATAATTAATACATTTCAAGAGCGGGAAATTTGAAAGAAGTGCTCGTATTTCTTGCCATTATAAAATCAAAGCAGAGAAGTCCTTTGCCTTTAGAGACTTCTGGGTATTACCAAAACAAACTGGAATTCCGGCATTTCAGTGAAAGCGAATTAGTCAGAAATAAAATATTTCTACAGCACGGGAGCAGTTTTTGAGTAATAATTAGTCTGTCATGCTTTGTTGGAATACATGCTTAGTAAAAATGGGCAGAGAAGTTCGAACCATGAAGCCTTCATAGGATGAGCTTTCCAAAGAATGAGCAATGGCTCCTACCCAGATTTCCAGCCATTTTTTTTCCCTACTAACTGGGTTTTTCCCAGCATGTTTTTTTTTCTGGCTTCCAGTCTAACACTGTATTCTTTGTAAACTGTTGCTCAGCTCTGTTCTAGTTTATCGACCTCATATTTAAATGTAAAAGAAGTTGTAGTATAACAAATTGTTATAGCTCTTTTCAGGTGCTCAGCCGGAACTACCAAAATATTTAACCTAATGGCATTTCGATTCATGTTGTAGTGGAGGCAAACCCTCATCAATCCAGGTTTTCTCAGTATTTCCAAAATGTAAGCCATGTCTAATTCCAGACACTGGGGCAATGCTTAAGGTGATTCGCTGGTTTTGCACTGTGCATCTCTTACTGCGCACAACAAGATGGCCACTGTGAAATGAAGTTGACTGAAGAGAAATGCTATTGGAATTTTCGCTTGCAGTTATTTCTTGCCTAAATTAAATGAGACTCAATGTGCTGTGAATGTAAATAACATACATAAGCAGTACGCATGTTGCTGAGTTCTACTTCCTTATGGAGAACCTCAATAGTGGATGTCAAACTTGTGCTAACTCAATTTGATTTTCAGTTAAGCACCATCTTCATCATAATTTGCATCAGGGCTCAAAGTTAGCGACTAACTGGTTGCATATGCGACTGGATTTTTGGTTGTGCGCCTAAAAATTCATGTGTAATTGCACCTGTGCGCCATAAAACCCAAAGCACAGTGCGACTGACTTACTTCTGACTATACTTACGAACTCGAACTAGATAAGACGGTGTATGTTTAATTGGTCTTTTCTCCCAATGGATTCTGCGAACTCGAATGTTCTTTTTCGTTTCGATGTTTTACTCCATCCCAGACTCTTCTGTTTGTGATAAACACCGCTGACACATGCAAATATATGCTACGAACGAAGCACGTATTTTTTGCGCAACGGACGATCATGTCGAAGGTTCAGTTTTAACGTCAATCAAAACAAAAACAGTGCGGATTAACAGCCTTTTTTTCCAGGTAAGAAAGTTTTTTAAGTCATATTCCAGTTACATGTCAGTCATTGTGCATTTAACAAATTGATAATTAAAGATTAATTTTCATTCTCGTTCGACACACTCATTGTTGTCAGTTTCGAATTGTTTTTGAAGTGTAATGTATCAGTCAAATTGAAGCTTCAACATCCCCCCCGGGCAAACCCCGGGCATTTGACACCTTTGCCGTCCCGGGGAGGAGGGAATTTGATTATCAGAGTCTTCCAGGGGGTGAGGAATTTGATCTCCATGCGTTAGGGGTGGGGAATTTGAACTGCACCCACGATTTCATGTGAAATCTCTGGCGTGGCGAGCTATCATGGGGGACGCGGTGTTGGAGGATTTTCTTGGAAAAGATTGTGCCTTTGTGGCCAATTGGTTTCGAGGAAAGGGCTTAAACAAGCTTGGTTTTGAATATATGAATGTTTAAAAGTTGTGTTTACAATGACCTATTACTGGAAATTCAATGCAACAATAAAAAGCTCAACAGAGGTCAATATTACTTTGACCTGCCGCATGTATAAGGTGAGCGATGATTCATGTCAGTGAAATGGTCATGATGTAGTAGGTGGGATTTTTTTTATAGAACGTTTTCTATGTTGCATGACAGACGAAGAAAAGCTGAGCATTCAGTGACCTTGTAGCAGCGATTTCCGCCGCTTTGCACGAGAAGTTTGTTTGTAGTAAATACGCTAACAGTGTTTCTCAGTTTTCGTTATATTGAATGTGAATTATTTGCTGTATTTATAAAGATTTTGTTTGACAACTGAAGGTGTTTCTGCCGTCCTTCTGTCATTATGTGCCTGTGAAATGTCTCCGCGGTGGGGGCATTTGATCACCCGAATGGACCCTTGTGTGTAGCATCAATAATTTTCAAAAAAGTCAAATGCCCGGGGGGTTGCCAGGGGGGGGGGGCGTGTTGAAGCTTCGATTTGACCGATACATAAGTTTTCTTTCAAGGTCACAACTGTACTGTCAAAAAGAGAAATTAGTATTAAAAATCACAACAGTATTACTGTGTAGCAAATCGGCTGCGTTTTATCAATCACAGGACTGAAGTAAAAGTAACAAACTGAAGATGACAAATAAACATGGCACTCAGTTAAGCTTTTTACTTTTTCTTTTGAAATAGATGCTCCCAACATTATAAGCTGTGCGCCTAAAATTTCGGCAGTGCGCCTAAAAATTTACATCTGGTAGCACAAGTGCTCCCAAACTCAAATTTAAACTTTGAGCCCTGTGCATTCTAACTCTGTTATCTCGATGTAAATTTTGTAAAAATGGATTTTTTAGCGCTTTCTTCCCCCTTCCACATACATGCTGTTTTTAAACTGACACCCCAGTCCTCTCTCAAAAACTGGAGGAAATGCATTTGGTGCACACTTCTTGAAGCTCAGCAGCAAAAACAAGTATGGTGACCCCCATTTTTTATTTCATGATTTTAATGAGAACAGTGCTTCCTTTCAATAGGAAAAAAAATAAAATTGGCATAAATCTATGTTCAGTTTTTTGGCAATTTTACTCAATTGTATGGATTGAGCTCTAATGGGCTGAATAGACTATGTCCAAAAATAAGTCTTCTTTAGAGGTAAAAAAAAACAAGGGCATTAAAAGGCATTTTTCTTGTATGCAAACAATACATTCAAGTCAAATTCTGTGCGATACCACATGCATCATCGAAAAAGTCTCTCCTTTTTGTCTAGTTTTGGGTTGTGCGCTGTTTTTGCCGAAGGGTCCTAAATAGCTGTAAAGAATCACCTTAAGTTTCAAAATCCCAAGGGGAATGCTGCCCGAGTCAATTTCACTTGGGGAATATGTAGGCCCCACACCTCCCACCTTGGGGATGCATATATATATGTTGTCAGCAGTCATTTAAAAGAACATGGTAAACATTTTTGATACATAAGATCTTTTAGAAGAAATGATTTTTTCCCAAGATGTTTGCTGTTAAAGAAACGTTCCTGAAGACACCTATCTAAACATTTGTCAACTTGTTGGGTAGAATTCATGTTTTCATGCTTTTAAGTACACTGTAAAAGACATGTTCAGCCTTTACAAAACTTTATACTTACGGGCTCTTTGATGCATCCTTGCTTAAGTACCATATGTCAGCAGCATTCTCTCTATTACGAGTGATTACCGCACCTTGCCCAACAGTTGTTCCTCCAACAATAAGATATCCAGCTGCCATTAAGGGCACCTGAGATAACATTTTCACAGCATGGTCAAACTCAATTTCTTTTGAGCTCACAACATCCCGAATCAAAAATGTTATAGGCATTGCCTTCTTGTTAAATATTGCCTCAAAGATGTTCAGCCAGAGACAGCACCGATCTCTTTCATCAAGAGAGACTGTGATAGCATTTGGTCTTTGTGCAGTCAAAAGGCCAACCTGACCGGCAAATGTCACACCTGTGTACACTGTTTTGCCTGAAATTATGCAAAAAACAACAGTTTTCATCTGTCTTATTATATGGCTGAATTTGCAAGCAGGCAAGACAATAAAAGCAAATTCTGTGTTTTGATTGGCTACCCACGAGGGCAAGACAGACCCATCTTGGCCTGACTCTTGGATTTCTTGTATTAGTCCCGTGAGAACAAGATCAGTAAATGCTTTATTGACCAGGCTTTTCCCATCACGATGGCTAGATATTGGCCTTGTTCCTTTTCTTGTTTTTGTTGACTTCGACCGTGTCTCGGCCATTTAAGATATGTCAAAAAAAAGGCCAAAATCCTGCCATCTCAACCTGACACTTTGTCAATAATGCATACAGATTGAAAACCATCTAATCTACAGTAATGCCAATCTAAATATTTTTTTGCGTACTTCCAATCCCAACCGCTTGGGCCGAAGTCACGCAACCCTAACCATCCGCGTACGGACAGCCTTGCGTGACTCAAGCCAGCTAAGGAGACTTCAAAATAGTTAGTGGGGTATAAATGTGTCAGAATGTCACAATCTTTATCATACCTTTACTTTGGAAGTTTGAAATAAAGGATATGTTGCGCAATATCTTAAAAATTCCGTAATCCAGGTTTCGTCCATGGAAAATATTCCCTTTGGTGTCTTGTGCAACAATACTTGTGCAAAATGCAGACAAGTCGTAGAATATGTTAAGTAGAATTGCATCCGCTAAACTAATATTAAGTCCGTGTGATACACTTGCCAGTTCTCCAGGATAAGGCGCAGGAAAATGTTCATGCAAGTACAAGGCAAGTTTCTCAGCTAAAGGAATTATCAAAGGTGAAATTTTAGATCGAATGTCAGCCACCATCTGGGCAGCATATTTGGCGTATTTCTGGGTAACGTTTAGCCATCTTTGATCTGGTGGTAGATCGAGGTCAATGTTGTAGCTTGATACTTGAAATGGTTCGCCTGTTATTCGTTTGATGGCGAAACAAACCGCAATGAAACCGACCAACATTACACGAGCCGACACCATGATTCGTCACGAGACTTTCTCGGTCGTCACTTGTTTCCATCTGCCAAACTGACGTGACGTCATCTGGTCTCCGGTGAACATCTTCGGTTTACGCGTCGGCTTCTTATCGTAAAAACAAATATGGCGGCCACTGTCTGGTCTAGACTGATATATGCTTGTCAGTATACCACTCAAACTAGCGAATGAAGTGAGATTGTGTTTGCCAGGATTTACCTAACCGATCTACCTTGTGTTGTTTGGTTAAAAGGCAAATCTTAAGAGAAGGTAGGCCGGAGAAGGTATGATGCGAAAGCTACTATTGACATTTATAGTTTACGTTCAGAAAGTGGCAAGGAAAGACTTAAGCTTAAATTACTTTCTATCGAGCTCACTTCTAAAAGCGTTTCATATGGAGAGTATTCTATATAGAAAAAGATATTTCTCGTTTATCAGCTTAATTCTCAAGCGACGTCATTTTGGTGGATGGACAAGGTTCCATCTATCAAACTGACTATAAGCGTTGACAGGCTAAACACGACTCATAAGCTCGTGATAATGTGAAACGTGACCTTGAGAGTCTGCTTGAACAGTGGTTCTCTTTCTTTTTGTCTCTCTCGCGAAGGTTACTAGCACTACACAGTGCATGACTTGTAGCATTCTAAACTTTGACTGAGTAAATCTTGTTTTTGCCGCACTAAGTCTTACATTAAGAGGTCATGAAATAAGTTTGTTACATGCATACTGAGTAATCATTTCCTGTGGTTTATGCTTCTGTAGGTGTCCCTGATAGGATTTGATTTCACATGCAGTTGTAAAGTGTTTTATATCCTTTGACCTCTGTTTATTACGGCTGAATAAAGATTTTAGTTTTTTTGGATTTCTCCGAAATGACTGTGTCTGATTAACTACATGCATGCATGCAAGTTTCTTTGTCCGTGAATGTGATTATTTCCTGCCATATCAGTATGACTCTGGGCCCAGCTCTATAGTGTGGTTTGCAGGATTTTGAATTTCCACGGATAGTGCGATCTTCAGACTGTAGCTTAAACTAAGCTACACCAAGTTTGGAGAAATATATCGTGCATCAGTCAAGATAATTCTCTTAGCGCTCACACAGTTCATTTAGTTTTTCTTAACATAAGTGAGTCTTTGAACAGGAGCGCGATGTCTTGTTGTTCCTTCATAGGTATTTACTTAAGTTTTTGCTTAACAGTCGTCTATGCGACTGTTCTGAATTCTTAAGCAAGACTGCAGTTTCGGAACTATAGCGTTCCTCGTCAGTTGCTACTATGGTAAAGTCTTAGGTACAGAAGATAAAGCACTATGATGGATACTGATACCTCGTATGGCATCAACCTAACCTTGACTTTAAGGTTTCGCCCTCTAGGAAGTATCCAGATTTGTAACTGAATACCTAAAGTCATATTTAATTTGGCCTGGTTTTCCAGTCACTAGGGAGGATCAAGGTTAACTTACAATTTTATAGAAATTGTTACTTATTCCTTCAAAATCTTGTTTGCCTACATGTACTTGAATACTTGAATGACAAGCTGTAAAAATGATTTTCTTTGCACCCTGCTTGAATGTACAAGTCTTTATTTACATTTAGTTTCACACTTTGAGAATATTGGCCCAATGTTGATTCATCCGTACCTGTGAATGTGTTCTCAGTTGCATGGATCTCTTCATGACAAAAGTCAGTCATGAAAAATTATTGGGGCTTCCAGCTGGCATTCCAATCATGGAAGATTCCTAGTGCTTCCTGTATGGAGGCTGTAGTTTCCCGTTGAATTATGAAAGACCTCACAACTATGTAATTTACATTTGTCTTTACCACTAGGAAAAATAGAGGGAGCTCATATCTCATTGTCTTGTAGGTTGCATCAAGCAGGGTGATCTCATTTCCGTAACGGATCATGAGTTGCTTTTGCCAGGCTGTTTGATGAGCAAACAAAAGATCATCTCACACACAATTTTGATCTGTTTCCTCATTGTTCATGCTTTCAGAAGCTGTTGATGAGGCTGATAGGGCACAGGGTCTAAAATAGAAAGAGTCTTGTGGGTTCTCCTGACACCAATTTTCAATTTTCTTTTCAAGGTTTTCCGGATCAGATTTGGATAGGATTTTTTTCACTGATGCCTGATACATGTGGTTCCTGATGTCCACATCTGTTGGATAATAGCACCTGTTTGTTGATGCTGGTGGAGATTGCCCTGGAAATAGTTCAGTTTTTACGAATTGCCTAAGATGTCTTTTCATTTTGTCCACAGTTTTCACACCTTCGCCAACAAGCTCTCCAATCTTGTCTACAAGCCGTTTGTCGATGGGCTGCAGAATGCCACCAATCTGGTTGTTTGATACATGAAGAGAAAAATGAAAATGGAATTACATTTTTGACAGAAATATTTTGACAGCCATGCTGATAGTTGTAGGTACTGCTGGTACAATGTACACTTACAAGTTAGTAATGAATGAAATGTCACTTCTGTCAACAACAACATTCAAAAAACAAATTATTTGGATAGAATAGCAACAACAAGTAACAAGTCCTAGACACTACTTGGACCTTTTTTCATGATCATTACTTCATTTACAGACCTAGGCTATGATTGTTAACATTACATAGCATGTAGCCTCCCCGCAGACGTCCTTTGGGGTTCGTTTGTCACGCATTCACAAACGAACCCCAAAGGACGTCTGCGGGGAGGCTACATAGCATGTAGCCACCCATACACCTGTTGTACTTTGTGACCTAGCCTTTGAGTGGAAGGACTGACTTGACTTTCTTTCACATGCCTTCTTGCCTTTTCATAGGAAAGTAATACCTGTCCGAAACTATAATTACCATAATGATTTATACATGAAAAACTAGAAGGTTTATATGAAAATGACTCAACTCTTGTCCCACCCATTCAAAGTGTTTTTCCCTAAGCCTTCAACTATTACTCAAACAAAAAGAGCCAAAAACAGAAGTTAATATTATTGTTCTCAAGTTAAGGTAGTGTCCCAGTTGTTTCCATTGACATCAACAGACCTCTCCAGTGATGTGATCTTTGTGTTCATCCTCCTTTGTTAATTAGATATAAATTCTGCGTTCAGCTTGGGGTTTCTGTCCGCTGGTTATATCAGTCTTCAGCTTTTTGGACATGTCCCTTCTTAGTCTTTCTGTGTCATCCCTGATCTAATAGAGTTAAAAGACAGTAATAAGATATGAAATGAAGGGATGTATTTTACTGAGCGGAAGTATAATGTCAATTGCTATTATCACTATTGTGATGGTGGTTTTGTACCTTGTAATTGCAATACTTTATGACTTCTGATAAACGAATACTTGCAGGGCAGCCAAACTTCATTGTGTCTTGAGGTAGAAACCTCCTCCTTTTGAATGAGTGATCATCAACCTGTAGTTAGAAGATTAATATTATAGATTCCTTACAGTTTAGTGCTAGAAGCACCAAAAAGGCTGTGGCTGTGAAATAAAAATGCAGATATTTTTTAGTCATAACCAACATACCTTCTCTTCAGAATGTCTCACTTTAAATGACTTTTTCCTGTCTGGTCCATGTTGGCAGTCAAATACCTTGGGGCCAATTATACTGAATGGTACTCCATCAAATGGAATTTTGTCATCTTTGAAATAGACTTTTCTTTGCTTGGCAAAGGGATCTGTGTCATAGAAACAAGGAAAGTCTGTATTATGTTTATTAGGGCTGTACTCTAGCAGTCCTCATAGGCCCCTGGTGACTTACTGTTGCTCTTCGGCAAGAAGGCAATCTTAGTTTTTGCCCAAAATTACTATGCTGGGCAGCCAGAATGTCAAAGGGCTAGTGTTTTGGGCTCCCCGAATTTTTTTTCTCAGAGCATAGCCTTGTTTATTACAATTTTGATTGTAATCTGGTATGCAACCTACACCACAGTCAAGCCAATGTATTACATGCACCCTTTGCAGATAGTACTCAGTCAACCATAGATTTAAAGATACCGTAAAATTCCGAAAATAAGCCCCTCCGTGTATAAGCACCTCCAAATATAAGCCCCTCAAACTGGTAACGCAAAAACCCTCCGTAAAAAATCGCCCTCCAAAATATAAGCCCCTTTTACTTTTACTTGGAAAATTGCCCTCAAATACAAAATAAAACAAAGCAAAAACGGTAAATTTACCTCCAACTATAAGGCTAGCCCAATCGATTTTGAAACGCAAATTTCCCTCCCGTATATAAGCCCCTCCAAAAATAAGCCCCTCAAAAAGGGCCTTTGAAAAATATAAGCCCCGGGCCTTATTTTCGGAATTTTAAAGTATTTCATGTCTTTGATTCAGAAATTGTTCATGCCATGAATACCACTGTGTTTAGAATATGCACATTCTACTCCAGCATATTTCTCCCCCCCCCCCCCAACAAAAGAAAAATTTCTAAGATCACAGCATTGTTTATTATGATCTTTTGATTGTAATCTGGTGTGCAAGCTACACTACATTCTACTCCAGCATTCTTAACCCTATTATGTTACACTGCACTGCTAAAATCATAGCTGCTGATGACCAATCAGATTCAAGAATTTTTTTATGACCAACTTATTGTTTATGCACTTATCAACTGAAATCCCCCCTCCCTCACCCCCAGGACAGGGTGGGGATTTGACTTCATGTCAACTACAATGGTGATTAACCCCCATGAGGGGGCACTTAAACTTTTAAAGCCCCCACCTACAGTCCTGTAGGAGAAAAATAAAACATGGCAAATCTTGAGAAATCCCCAGCCCCCAACGGCAAAACATGCTGTCAAATTTTATCAAACACCCTTTGTTCCCCCACCTTGGCCCGGGGGTGGGGGGGTTGGCTTTCAGTTGATAAGTGCATAATTATTTTGTTGCTTCATAATTATCTTACCTCCAGCACCAAACATTTTGTCTCATTTAAAACAAGAGAATTTTGTTGTTGTTTCCAGTTCGTATTGTCTTATTACAGTCATGGCTTCCTCAACTGATCCAACGTAGCCAACAAACTTGTTCGTTGATCCTCTTAACTTGGCTTGCCAAGTACATACAGTAGCACTGTCTTTCCCACTTTCTAAATATATGCCTTCAGCTGTGCCGCTACCTTCTTGGGCATTTGCCGGCAAAGCCATAACAAACGACTTTTGCTGAGTACTATAAACCGAGCAGTCAACTTCCAGATCTCATACACCCGGAAACTTTATTATTTTCCTTTCGAAAATGCCCGCCAAACAACAATGCTTAGCGGGAAAATCTTCGGAATTCCGAGACAGGTTTTCGGTACATTATCGTCAATTTTCGTGCGGGTTCGCCTGTTATTGAATGTCAGTTTCATGGATGGAAAGATACGCTATCTGTCACGCCATCCATCAAACTGACGTTCTCCACCGTGGCAAGCTTTAAGGGTATAAAATAGCTTTACCCTTGTCCAATTTACCCTAAGTTTTCAAAGGTTTATTGAAAAAAATCAGGACCCTGCTTTATGTGCACAGAAAAACACAAATAATCTGCTGGACACACGTGGACCCACAAAAGATCATCCGCCATATTAGTTTTTACGATAGGAAGCCGGCGAGTAAACCGAAGATGTTCGCCGGAGATCAGATGACGTCACGTCAGTTTGGCGGATGGAAACAAGTGACGACTTTCAGTGTTACACAAGGCGGGAGATGGAAGACGGGTAATTTGAAAGTGCCGCGGTTGTTTCAGAACTCTAATTACGCTACTGGTCGGATAAACAATAAACAAATTACTTTCCCTACGGGAAAGTGGTTTATTCAGTGGATTCAGTAGCCTGAGTTTCAGACGATTACTTCGAGTCGTTTTCTCCTGTGCAGCAGTTTTTCAAGTGGAGTGGGGAGGGGGGCAGGCTGGTTTCTTCACTAAATTTTAAGGGCGTGGGTCTCTGGGGATGAAGGGTGACAAGGGTGTAGTCAGTGTTTTCAAAGCCGGAATTTGCGTAGCTAACTCCTTGTTCATCAGTTAAGATCAATTCCAGTACCCCTATTTGGTTACTGGATTGCACGCCTTTCTTTAAGGTCACGACGACAGATGAGCTAACAGTAATATTCTCCCTTGACCCATAGTGCTATTAACCTGATGTTCCGTTGAGAATAGCCACCTCATCATCATGGCTTTTGCTCTGAAAAGAAAATCGTATTGAAATATTCATATTTAATTTTTTGCGTTGGGTTGACGACTGCCTTTTATAAAGTCCAAGAAGGGACCTATACTAATTCGAGTGGAAAACCACAGCTAGCCCAAGTCAAAGTACCGGAGCGTGATCTTCGAAAGTCTTGAATTGTCGAAGACCACACAGGAAAGAAGAAAAACACAACTTAAGTGAGGTTAGCCGATTTTTATTTGAATCTCCTCACATTCGTAGGTTACAGAAACAATTGTTCTTTCCCATACAAATCCTTATATTTAAAACGTCACGCAACAGGGCTTGGGCTACCTGTGGGGAATCACACTGGGCAATGATTTCCGGTTTCTCAAAATATTGTTGACGGTTACACAGTTACCTGTTTTAGAGGTGACATTTGAATGAACTGGAAGTGCATGAGCGGCCGTTGAAGATTGTGGACCTTGCGAAATCAATCACAATTGTGATTGAGAATTTCAATATTCGTTCTTTATGTTCAGCCTATGAGCATGTTTAAGAGGATATTTAAAAGCGCAAACAAGGAAAATGAGCCTTCGACGACCGAAGCGATCCAAAAGTTGAAACAGACCGAGGAAATGTTAGAGAAGAAGCAAGAGTACTTGGAGAAAAAGATTGACACAGAAAACACAGTTGCCAAGAAGTACGCAAAGACGAACAAGAGACTTGCCCTTCAGGCCCTGAAGAGACGAAAGAGACTCGAAAAACAACTAAACCAAATCGACGGGACGTTATCTACCATAGAATTCCAACGTGAGGCTTTAGAAAGCTCTGGAACCAACACAGAAATCTTGAAAAATATGAGCTATGCGGCAAAAGCGCTAAAGAGCGTGCATGAACAACTCGACGTCGACGACGTTCAAGACATTATGGATGATATTCACGAGCAAACAGAAATTTCGAAAGAGATTTCAGAAGCCATCTGTGGTGTTGGTTCGAATCAAGACCTCGATGAAGACGAGCTAAATGCAGAGTTGGAGGCGATCGAACAAGAAGTTCTTGATAAGGAACTTGTTGGAATGGAACGTCCCACTCTGGAATTACCAAACGTTCCAGCGGAAGATCTACCGACGAAAGCGAAATCTATACAGCATGAAGATGATCTGGAAGAGCTTCAAGCTTGGGCTATGTAAAACTAACCGTTTACTTCTCACAAATGAATTTTGTTTTATATGCATTCTACCTGTCATTGCCTTTTTATTAACCCTTAAAAGGTTAATAACAACAACAACCTTTATTCGCCTTTATCATATTTAACATTAATATTTTTTCAATACCATCTTAACTAGGCAGGGAGATCTTAAGCAAGCTCTTTGAGCTTTTACAAGTAGGATCTCCCTACTCTTTAACTTCATGTATACCTAATATGGTTTTTACCCCACCATATGTCGACCATCTTTGGAGACCCAGGGGCAGTTAGTCAGGGTGATAGAATGTTCGTGGCGAAAGTTTACTGTAAGATGCTCGTCTCGATCTTACAGTAAACTTTCACCATGAACATTCTATCATTCCGACCAACTGCCCCTGGGTCTACGAGGATGCCATATGACATGTTATGATGTTTTGCTGTGGTGTCTGAGGTGCCTTCTCAATACTGTCAACGTTTGAAACAGTTTAGCTAGTTTAATGTAGAGACAAATTATTAAAGGTGTTTTCTTTTTCTCATGCCTGGTACCTGTACTGTAGGTGAAGGATAGGACTGAGAGGAGCCATTTCAGTAGCTTGATTACCAGCTGCTGGTCGGGAAATGAGCCCGTGTTCCTCCCCCGAACAGACATTCTCTTTTCAGGTCCCGAAGACCGAGCGGGGGCAGCAGATATCAAGCCTACCAATTCAGTAGCAAAACTAAAAAGACAATATGAATCTTTATTTTTCACCATAGATTATTAACCTTGCAAGCAAGCTCTCCATTTGGGGGATGTTGCGAGAAGTGACAGCGTGCATAGCAGGCTAACTCATAGGGCCCTCAAAGATAGGCTCATACTCGGTATAAAAAACCTGTGAAACTCAGGAATGACGTACTACAATTAATGCAAAGAGGCCACTGAGAAGTCTACCCAATAGAGCCAAGGAAAAAGGCTAGAAAACAAAGAAAACTTCACAGGTTACCGAGGATGACTCCATTATATGTAGCACTGAAGTAAAAGAATTATATGAATATAACAATTATATGTACCATCTCGAATTGAGGGAGGTGTGTAAAGCCTCCTATCCCACCCGTTTTAAAGTCCCTTCAAACATTTGTTATCATCTCAGAGTGATTCCACTGAGTTATGTGTACAGGAACCTATTGCACCTGCTATATAATATTAGCTGAAGCTTATTACAATATTATTTTTTGTTCCAGGAAAATCCTAAAGGTAACATTTTTTCCACAAATGTTAACAAAGGTTTCCAGCTAGCACTTATTTCCTTGAATGAATTAAATATTGATTATTTGATTAAGTGGCACGATGTTGTTTTCATTATGACATCATTGAACAAATTTTGATGAATTCTTACCCATTGTGGTAATTTGTCATGGCTGGTAGTCATTGACAGTCACTCAAGGGTAACTCATGTGTACTTTTAGAAACTGTCCTGCAAGACCCTAAGATCATTAAAACTCATAAAAGTGGGTTATTCCATAGGACAAAGAGTAGCCTGTGTACAGCCACCCCTCCCCTCAAAAACATTTTGAGGGGAGGAGCGGATGTACATGCTAGGCAAAGAGATGGAGAGAAACTTGCGGTAGTTTTTGAGTTGCTGGTGGGGTACTCCTGCAAAATTTAGATGGAGGTGCATGGCATGCATTCAAAAACCTTGACCCTATTTTAAATCTATCATGTGATTTTTTGTACCCTGTACTTTCACACCTGAGCTGATCTTCTTTGAAAGAGGCATATCTGACCCAACTCCAGACCCTGACTCGAAAGCAAAAAATCCTTACTCTACGTCAGATCCAAACAGTTAAAATCCATACTCAGTTTAAAAGCATAAGGGCTAAAAACTAAACCCTTTTGGGTCGCAGATACCAATTTAGTAAAAGGCAGTACCCTCCCCCAGTTCAGGAGACAATATCCTGTTGAATAACTTGTAAAATTATTGAAAAAAATAATAAAAACTTTGAGGGATAAATAATCCTGCAGATCCTTCATCAAACACGGATTCTTACAACTATCGCAATCACCATAGTCGTTGTCCGCCACATTTTCTCCATTTTTCCAAAATCCCCTTCCAAACTGCAGTCCAATCCCAGAGGTCCAATCCTGATTTTACCGCAAGTTTTGCATGATGAAAACTGGGCACTAATAAGGGCTCAGTTTTCGCGCTTTTCGCTGAAAACAAATTTCACATAGCACATAATTTCGACGGAAAGTGTGGTGGGGTTGTTTGTCTTCAGGACCGCAACAAAAACATCCTAACAGTCTCTACAAATTGACAGCTTCGTTTTGAAGTTTGAATTCTTTGTTTTGTTTAGAGGAATTCATTTGTCGTTGTTTTCACTGGCTTAGCCTCTTTCATTCGGCGACATCATGTGTGGTATTTTGTCCGTCACCGATCAAAGTAAATGATCGTATTAAGAAAGCAATACAGATAAAAATTGACCTATCGATGGATCTGGAAGAACTGTCGAACTTTTGGGCAAGGTTTCAGATTGCCTTTTCATGGGATTACCCCGAAGGACTTGATGTACAGACTGTACAATCGGCGGTCTTTCACGTAGTAGGCGATGGCGAAACCAGGTAAGCTGTTTATCATTGACGAACCTATTTTGTATACTTATTAATGTCGTTAACGTTTAAATCATGTGAATTTTGTAACGGCAACGAAGGTTAATCGTCTCAGTTTGAATCAAGGTCTCGTTATATTGAGATCGATCGCTAAAATAGTATGGGGCTTTTCAGAGCGTATATTGATGTATAAAAAATACCTATTTCCTGTGGGGAGGAAATTGTTCGCGCGAGAATTTACAGCTTATGTAGCGGGCCACAAAAACAGTTCATTGAATTAATCCCTAGGGTGTTTAAATAAACATCCCTAGGGTGTTTAAATAAACGCGTGTTAGTAGATCGTAGAAGGTCGTTCTTTATTATTTCCTTATAGCATTTTTCTCATTCAAGCCAAGGAACTAATGTTTTGCAAGCATCAGGGGGTCACATATAATTTCTTCTTTCTTGTCACGCGATTTTGCGAGATAATGGTTTTGTTAGCCTCAGAGTTATTCCTAAATGCCTCTTGTTAGGTTCACCATAAGTGCTTTGACCATTAAGTTTCCAGACAAACCCGTGTTCCAATTATCTGCTTGTCAAATTCTCTTGCACATGCACATGTTGATTTTACTGTTTGAAATTATAATTAGGTTCCTATTTTTAACTTGCTCAAAATAATAATTTGTTTTTGGTACCATTTTCAAAATATTCTATAATTAAAACGAATAGATAGATCACGGGTCATTATTGTTATGCATCAGATTTTCATATCCGTGAGTTGTGATTATAACTGCTGTCACATTTTTTCCCAAATATTTTTTGAGTAAATGTTATTCTCTGTATACTTAAGTAAACATCAACAAAAGCATGTGTAAATGCCTTTTCAATTGTGTACACATTAAGTAGATTCTTTTATTATGCAAAATATAGTCAGTTGTGAACAGTCTTTGATTTGTTACTTTCAGTTAGTTAACAGGGGTTGCCAAATGATAGTTTGGCTGAGCTGAGGAGGTTTTATTACAAATTTCCATTGTAGTTACATAAATATTTATACCTAATAATTAACTTGTGTAACAGGTAACTGATTTGGCAATCTTACTGCCCAAGAAATATGCTATAGGAAATTATTATAATGTACAGTGGCAGTTGTGTGTCTTCAAAATGGATCTTGCATAATTTGGCACCCCTCGACCAACTATTGGTCAAATCTGTTGGCCAATACTTGGTTTACATGGCGGCCAACTCTCAAGCAACGTCCTAGGGGAGGGTACTCCAGAGTTCAAGTGATGGGGATAATCAAATGGGGGCAAAAATCAAAACCCGAAAATCATGAGGGCTTCCAACAAAACCCCAGAAAATTTCTGGACCAAAAATTTCCCATGCTGAATTTCCGAGCCTTAAAATTTTCCGGGAAACATTAAATGATGTAACATGAAAAATAAATTAGAAATTGAATGTTCGTGTTCGTGCCCTGGATATGTGGGCACCACCACAAATCTTCAGATTATTTTGAATACCCCAAAAAATCCCTACTTAAATGAAGCCACCCAAAAAAATACTTGCCAAGTTTTCGTACCCAAAAAAATCCTGGAATCGAAAATTTCAAACCCAAAAAACTCCTATTGGTTGCCTATCAGTAGACATGTCAGCTGACTAATCTGGGCAATATGTCGGTGGACATCAGACAGCCGTGTATGTTTGAAATGTTGGCCATGACATATTTAACAATTAATGAATAAGGCTTAGTATCCTATGAAGAATTATGGAGATCGAGGAGGGTGTTATCCGTCAAGGCCGTAGGCCGAGGCAGATAACACCCTCCGAGATCTCCATAATTCTTCATATGATACAAAAGCCGAATTCAAGAATTGTTTTATTATTCATTCAAAATAATTCCTAGTTTAAAAACAAAGCTAAAACATGCCTACCTATACGATAGTGCACATTTAGGGTTTTTCAGCTCCACAAATGTTCTCCAAATAGCAGATGTCGCCCTTTAAGTTGTGTTCTTGCTGTTCTTGCCATGTTTTTAGCTATAATTTCGCCTAGTTCTTACTCTTGAAATGAGTAAAATGTCCACAATTTTTTGTTTTCACAACCTCATCCCCAGGTCTTCTCGGTTAACAGTGCTTTAACCTGCAAGAATGCTGCATTTTTGACGTCACTTCCTCGTTAAACACAAAATTCTTCCAAATTTGGTCATCAGTTACTGAACTGGTTATGGTGAATTATGCGTGTGCTTTTAGCCAATCAGACTCGGGGAAATATTTTGAATGAATAATAATGGTTGATAGTGTTGGTTAGTATGTCGACAAATAAGCCAAAAATTATATCGATTGATAGGCCACCGACATTCAGCAGATACTGAACTGAAACTTGTGTGACTCTCTTTTTGGAGTTATATTTATCTCCTGTCCACTCAAATTTTTTTTGTTTCCATTGTCCAGGCAGCAATTTGTTCAAGGCACTTTGGTGGCTTTGAAAACCAATAATTATTGGAAACATAGTGACTGTGTACCACCAAACTTTGCTTTGGCTTGATTTTTGGGGTTATAAGGCCAATCTAATTGAAATAAAGCTGTTTAACATACGTAGAAAAGGGAAAGGGAAACAATAATATAAGCAACCAAGAAGTATATGTTATAGTAGCTATGGAAAACGAACAAGGCCTTATAAAACAATGTTATTTTAAAAAACTAAATATAGTGGAACAAGTTGACATGGCAGATAAATTGACGTGAACAACAAAAAGGAACTATTTCAAACCCCTGAACGGCATTGCCTTGCATCCAACACTGAAACCTACAAAGTGATCCCGCTCCCTGCCACCAAAATATTAAGACAGAATCCATCAGGAAATTAAGTAATCTTTTAATTTTTATGGGACAAAAACCTTTTACCAGAATAATGTAAAGCATATTGCATTTTTTCACACTTTTCAAGGGCTATAGAATGATGTAATTAGTTTCTGTAATAACTTGGAAGAAAATTTCTTAGTGGAGCCCAGAAAATAATTTCAAATTTCATCTTACACATGAAATTTTACCTGTGTTTTCATAATGCCTGTGAAATTTGAACTATATTCTATATAATTTCTATTGACACGTGACACTTGCCATATTGACCAAGTGTTGACTGAGGGTTACATATGGTCACTTCATTGCGTGGTCAGATCATTTCAAGCCAGATCGTTCCATTTTATAGTCAGATCATTAGATAAGAACTTTATTTTAGCACGATAAAAAGATCAGCATTGCTGGTGGGGTCGTGCATACTAACAATTACAAGAAAAATAAGAAGTACGATTAAAAACTAAAAACTGTTAAAAATGTTTGAAATAGGTCGTGAAAATGTACAATTAAAAATTAAAACTGTTAAAAGTATTCGTAACCGATATCTCTATTTTTGGTAGTAGCTAAGATTGGTTCGAAATGCATTTTATCGGTATCAAATTTTACGAGACAGCGTTTAAATTCTTTCAAGGTTTTGGCCCCTGTTTCCTTGTTCGTTAAAGTGTTCCATGCGATTGCTCCTCTAAAGCGTATGGAGTTCCTGATAAAATTTGTTTCTGGTCTTGGAAGAATGATGTTCTCATTTCTTCTGCAGCCTGAATTCCTCTGTAAAAACAAATTTTTAAATTCCGTGACGGTGTAACCTTTTAAACATTTGAAGACAAACTCCGTTAGTCGCAGTTTGTACATTGTTTCCAAACTATCCCATCCAGTTCGCATTAAGACATCTTCAGCGCTTGTGTCCCATGGCAGCCCATTTACAATCCGTCCAGCCCTTGCATGGAGTTTCTCCAAGTTTTTAGGTGTGTCTTGTTGCACGATCCCCACACTGTCAGACCGTATGTAACTGATGGCAGTATCACTTTTGTGTAGAAATCTTCTAATTGCTTCTGAGGGAGGAATCGCATGCGTCGGAGTAGACTTAACTTGGATACGAAGGACTTCGCTACATTTGCAGCATGATCTGACCACGACAACTTGTTATCAACTTGTACTCCGAGGAGTCTTTCTGAGGTTGTCCACTTTATGATGTTGTTGCCAAGGCGCAGAGCTTGGATAGGGCCAGTAAATGTTGATTTGCGCTGCATGATCATTGCTTTGCATTTCTCTGGGTGTGGTACCATCAATTTCTGTCGCACCATTCCTGGAGTTCAGCTAGAACATTGTTTAATGAGTTTGTTAGCAAATCCATCGTTTCTGCAATACAGTATATTGTTGTGTCGCCTGCATACAGGTAAGTTTCCGCAGAGCGTAGTGATTTTGGGAGGTCGTTTGTGAAGAGGGAGAATAACGTGGGTCCGAGGACCGACCCTTGAGGCACTCCGTGAGCTATAATGTGTGTATCGGAGTCGGATCCGTTGATTCTGACGAATTGTCTTCGTTCTGTAAGGTAGTTCTTTAACCACAGCCAGACATCTCCTCTGATTCCAAGGTCGCTCAGCTTTTGTAGCAATATATTGTGCGACACTGTGTCGAAAGCTTTGGTGAAATCCACAAACAGTATTCCCACAAAAAGCTTTCTTTCTACTGCTTCTCTCCACCTCTCAGTTAGGTGTATTAATAACTGTTCTGTTGACTTTCCCTTTCTATAAGCCCATTGTCTGTTATCGAGTAAATTTTTTGCGTAACCACGTGATTAGTGATATTACTTGCGATGCAGGATTCCATTAATTTACTTGGTATACTGAGCATAGACAGTGGTCTGTAACATGTTCTGTCTTCCTCTCGTCCTTTTTTGAACGCTGCACTGACTCTGGCTATTTTCCACTGGTCTGGTGGCTTGCAGGCTTCAACACTCTGTTTAAACACGCTCGTGAGAGATAGGGCAATAGACATACCTGCATACTTTAAAAGACGCGCAGATACGCCATCTGGCCCCGTGGCTTTCTTCACTTTTAACTTACAGATCTTTTCCTCGATTTCCTTCTGACTGATCGTGATGCTGGTCATAATCGGCATGTCCACATTCTCACGGCTATGGGCGTGTAATGGCTGAATTTCATCGGCGGGGCCAATCAATTTTTCAGCAATTGTGCAGAAATAATCGTTTAACATGGTTGCCTTTTCAGTGTCATCTGTTGTAAGGGTTCCATCGTCCTTCTTTAATTGGTGGGCTTGTCTGTTTACTTTTGTTGTTCCTGATGTCTTTTTCAGTAGTTTCCAGTAAGCAGCAGCGGATTTTACTTCATCGAATAGATTGGAGTAATAATCGGCTTTGGCTTTTTTCGTCATTGTTGAGACTTTATTTCTAAGTCTTTTATAGTCATCCCATAGCAGTGGATCATTTGATTGACGCTACCGTTTTCAGAGTCTTATATCTTTGATTCATGGTTATTCTAATTTCCTTTGTTATCCAAGGCAGGCTGTTACTGCGTACTTTAATTTGTTTAAGTGGCGCGTGTTCGTTGCACAATTCTATGAAGAGCAGGTTCCATGCGTAATAAACATCAGTCGGATCATCAAAAACTTCGCAGACTTGAAAAGGCGCACGGGCAATGTCACTTTGAAAGTTCCTCTCGTTGAATTTGTTGAAGTTCCTGATGGTAATTATTTTAGGCTGGTCTCTCGGGATACTGGCTGATAAGGTTGCATAAATCATGTCGTGATCTGAGATACCCAGGGGACATGTGCCCTTTTGTTTGACCAGATCTTTTCATTCCACAGTTTTAGTGTAAAACTTGATGTTAAGTACACTTTTTTGGCTTCTTGGCTCAAAGGATAAGGTATACACATGAGTAATGCTCTTGTTTCTGCTTATGACTCTAAGTTCTCACTATATTGTGGAACGATCTTACTATTTTGTGGGATGATCTGGCTTGGAACTATCTGACCATGGAATAAAGTGAACGGATATGTCGACTGATTTACAACCAAGTATCGTCCTGTGGTGGTTGACATGATATATGTTGGGCGACACGTGGCTGGTGTCGGTCTACCAGTCAACTGATGTGTCGGCGAACACCCTTTTTTACAGCTATTATTTCAGTTTACATGTTTTTTTAAGTGTGGAACACTTCTTTAAGATATAGTGGCATCTTGATGGTTATTAAGCAGATGTTGGACTGCGTACACTTGAGTTTTACAATCTATTTTGCATGATGATCGTTCAATATCGATCCTCTGCTGTATTGGATACCCTTTTTGCCCCGGTCAGGCTGACCACCAAGCATAATTTTTTTAGTAGTGGTATTTAATTTTGATATTCATTATCTATTTTTAATGTACATGTAGACATGCACTTAAACTTATTTCTGGATCAGATATAATTTACCAAGTACTGCAGAATAAATGCTGTAGTTCATCATTTTACCCCCAGAGCCCAGGATCAGCTTGTTGTTGGGTGTGTCCAGTCTGCAGGTGCAGGTGTGACTCTTACACGACCAAGATCAGACTCTGACATCATTCCTTGTGAAATGAGTTTCACTGCACATCCTATGGCTCAGGAGTTTTATATCAAGAATATTGTTATTGTTTCTGAAGCAAGAAATGTTGAGTTGTACATTGATGACAACTATGAAAGAACAGCAAAGGGAATAATGCTTACTATTAGAAAAGGAAGGTAATGTGGAGTTATCATTGTGCTGTCCAACCCTTTTGTAATAAGGTTATAATCCTTTAAAAACCTAATCATTGCATTTCTTATTACAAGGATAATTTTCTATCTAATGGATAAGAAATTTTTTTATGATTATTACTTTCATCCAAATTTTAGTGTCTAATGCTCAGATAACTTTATAATAAATGATGTTATGCAGGTACTGGTTACTGCAGGATTTCTTTAACCCACACTGAGATAGCCAGATATAGATGGCTTTGGTGCACAGCATTAATGGCAGGGTTCTCAATAGATTTTTAAGTAGGAGGTGATCACTGATAAAGTAGGAGGCTCTTCAGCAAAGCCAGAGGTGTCAAAACAAAGCAAAGAAAAGCGACTTAAACACAAAGTAAGCGGCTATAAATCCCAAAGTAAGCGGCGATCAATCGCCGGGTGCCGCCTTCTATTGAGAACCCTGAATGGTGTTATGGGAATTGAACTTAATCAACTAATATTTTACAATAGCTGTTGATAGTCACTGAAACAATGAAAGGTTTTGAATCCAGAAGTCAATTCATAGTAGGTGAAATGTGATTGTCCGGGTGTGTGTAGTCCTGGTCAGGAATGTTGTGGACAGTGACTGACACATTTCCAAAACCTGCGTGGTACATTAAGTCATCTTCAAATTCAAAGTGAGTTGTATCACATGACAATGTCTGCTGTTAAAGTGCAATGATTCTGGTCATCTATTAGTAAAGCTATTGTCATTGCAGTGTGCTCAATGCTGGTTGGGTAATTTTCTCTTCCTCTGTCACACAAGCACAAAATTTTCCAAAACCTTCACTAGGAAATAAGGCATTCAGCAATTTTTCTCACAATGGTTTTTAAAAACAAAATGGACCAGAAGCCAATTGTTTATGCACTTATAACTTAACAGGCAAATCCAGTTTCACTTTTTTAATTTTATGATGTCTTTTCTATTATATAACTCAATAGAAAACAGTATAGTCGGTTTGCTAAGTGACATTTGCTTGCAGCTGCAGGCTTAGTGAGATAATACGTTTACAATGTTTTCATACATTTATATTTCATTGCTTTTCAGAAAAGTTTCATTATTTGAAACTGAGTTTGATCTGACTGAGTTTATTCATGGAACTTGTCGCTGCTTAATAAAGGTAACCCAAATTTATTCATTTGATAATATTATTCTAGCGTTTTTTATTTATCAATACTGTGCTGAAAAAAGAAAAAAAAGTGCTCAGAGGGTGTAGCTGAAGTTATGCACCTCTACGTCCAGGTTGGTTAAGTTATTTGTTTACTCTAAGTTCTCACACATACTGATGACGGACAAAAAAAAACAAAATAAAATAAAGTAAAGTACTTAAAAGTAGATAATTTTCTTAAAGCTATCCATGATAAAGGTCATTTTTGCCAGCAAACATGTATGTGAATACAAATATTTCTTTCTTTCAGTTTTTGGTGCGCGGTTTTGAGACTGGAAAGAGTCTTAGTTCTTAGATCTTTGTTTTTGAGAGAGTGATATTTTTCTGTCATTGTTATCACAAGGAAAACTAACTTTTGTGGAAAAATCTTGTTAAGGAAATCTTGTCAGACGGTGTAAAGAGGGCTTTGGAGTTTCCTAACTTGTAAACTGTTTCCTTGTTTGTGTTTATTTTACTCCATAAATGGCATCAGACATACGCTATTTTTTACTGCTAGACACAAGTAAGGCCATTGGTTCAAGTGACTTCTGCGCGCAATCATTTTCTCTTATTTTTTTACCTAAACTGCATTAATCGGTATGAGAATGTTTGATTAGAAAGTTGCTTACTAGACAATCAGTATCTATTATGATATATATGGCAGGGCTGAAAATAACAGACAGCAGGTGGCCGGTCATGATGACCGGCCAAATATTTTCTTGCCCGGCAAACCCCGATTCTGGCCAGTCAAATAATGAATACTATATTTTTTTTTGCCTAAGGAATATGGAATTACACTGGCAATAGAGCGATCTTACTACATTGAATGACGTTCGCATTTTTGACAGCAAGTTGGTGAAAATGTATTCACACATTGTAGAGTTCCTTTTGGCAGTTTTTGCGCGTTTTTATGTCCGTTCTACCTTGAGTATCTTTGTACGGCAGTGTCTGAAGTCTCTAAAGGTAAAAAGTGAAGCTTAATCCTTTTCAAACTCTCAAGGTTTAGGAAATGGAATACATGTACAGTTTAAAAAAAGTTTAGGAATAATGAAAAAAAATGATTTGGGTTATTAAAGAACAAAATCTGCACATGTTTGTTTCACGTTGATGTTCAGAAAAGAACATCGGTGAAACTTGATCTTTTTCCTTGCTGGGCAAGTGCTCGAAAGTCTCCTCCACAAAGAAGAATCGTCGCTAATATTTCAGCAAAGAAGTTGAATTGCATTGTTCCACAAACAGTGTGTTTGTTGTCAAAAGTCAATAGATATACAGCAGAGCTTTCATTTGGGTCATTGCTCAACACTTTATAGTGAAGGGCTCAAATGTCAACAGAAGTTTCCATAAAGTTGTTTACAAGAAGGAGAATTAAGTGCCAAGATAGACGACGATGTTCCGTCTCGATTAGCTTAAATTTTTATCAGACTATTCTGGAATCGAGTCTGCAAACGAAATTCTTGTTCAACATAAAGAAATTATTATTATTAATAATTGATGCACAAACATTATTCCCAGGGAAACAGAGGACGACCTGTTTGCCCAAATTCCGTCAAATTCCGAAAGGAGGTCACATTACTGATTACAGTAAAGCAGAAAGTACAGTACAACCAGCAATGTTGCGTTACTCCTCCACAAGTCAGTTTGTTATTCACTTTGTTGCGTTTCATTACAACATGATATGAAATTAATTTATTGCGGCATTCTTTTTCTTAGAAGGGTTTACTGCAAAGCAGCAAAACACGCCAAAGAAAAAAGAAATTACTACAGCGTTACAGAACATTAAGCGACAACTGTATGGAAAATAAAATGTTCGTATCCAAAAATGACCGGTCAAAATGACTGGCAAGACCGGAGTTTGACTGGTCAAGTCCGCGATCAGGCCGGACATTGTCCATTGACCGGCCGTTATTTTCAGCCCTGTATGGCCCCAGTTGTTCAAAAGATGGATTATCCAGCTATCCACTAAGTAAATCCCTATCCAGTGGATAATGCAATAAATAATTGGTTTCCTTAATACTTATCCACTGGATAGTAATTTATTCGTTGGACAGCACTATATGACAACTTATATTTGAGCAACCAGCTTCTGATTGATAGCTTTTTGTTTTTAGCACTCGGTATTAAGAGATGTCTAATGATCACTGTTTTGTTATATCATATAGTTTCTATCATTCTCTGATGAACAGTCTATGAGACTCCAGACGATTGTTGTAAGAGTTGCAAGATCCACTGTTCCTGCCATCTCAGCTACACAGGTTAGTTTATAAGTAAATTTTACCTCTGATATTGTGAGTGGATTAAGATAGATCAGCTTCCAGAACTAAAAATATTAGGTTCCTTATCCAATGAAGTGCATTTGAGACTGGTTATACTGTGTGGACTCCTGGTTGCAGGTAACAACCTTGGACTTATTAGTTTCATTAGATTAATTTCTTACACTCTATCGTAGAGGTTGGTTTACTTTACTTATACATAACTCTTCCAGTGGTTTTCAAGGAAGTAACAATACCATCTCCACACCAAACCAACTTAGAAGGATTTCCATTTTACCTTCATAGATAAATATTAAATTTTGGTTGTTAATTAAGGACCCTCTGTACCCATTCATACCCTTGGTTTTATTGCCTGTGGTGGGTGGGGGGGGGGGGGAGCTGTACTCTCATAAAGTTTTATAAGGGAAGGCTCCGCCCTAAGGTCCAACCCCTTACCCTTTTATAATTATACTAATTTTGTCTGAAAAGATCCCCTTTTCGTAAACCTTCTATTGAAAAACAATAACCCTTTCACATACTTACCGGTAGTTCACAACTTTGCATCCCTTTTAACTGCTGTATTAAAATTCACTGTCTTTAAAATACAAATAACTCACAAAACCAGAATGTTTTATCGACTTTTTTACAACCAAAACAATACATCTGATAGCCCTTCTTGGCCTTTTTACAGACGGAAATGACAGATTTCCGTACCCTTTCATATACCTGAAGCCTGAAAAAGGTACCCCTTTCAAGCAGAGCATCACCATATAGGCCATTATAGGGAGTACCCCCCCGGTTTTATTGTCTCCTTTGAGCAGGGGCAGGAATGGGGGGGGGCTGTTAGATGGTGGGGTAGGTGTTGTTAGATATTTCCTGGCAAATTAAAAATGACACACACTGAACCACCAAGACCTCATTTATGATTGGCCATTTTGATGTTGTGAGACTGTTTAGTTATTATTTCTTTTAGTAGGCTATTTAAGAATGTTGCACCGGCAACTGGGTTACACTGGTTCCACAGTGTAATTTGACATCACACCGTCTCATTCTCATTTACAACCTTAAAAAGACCAATTCATAGTACTTCACAGAAAAAACCGTAAACAGAGTATCTTTAGATTACCTAAAATTACCTGCAATTTTCTTGGCCAAAATTAAGATTAGTAATGGACTTAACAATAACTGCATTGTTTGAAGCTCATTTATTAGACTGGTAATCCTGGGTTAAGCCAGCGTTACTCCTGGAGTAACAAATGCTGAGTTGTTTTGGTAACTATAACTCAGCCTGGATTTGAGTGCTTTTAAAACAATGCAGTCCAGATCTACAATGAAGTTGGAGCTATTTAACAAACTCTTAGCTTTGATTGATAAAGTCTTGAACCTCCAAAGTTAACAACAAATTCCTGATAATTTGTTTGTTATTAAACATTGTTGAAAATATATGATCAATTTAATCCATAGGGTTTAATCCCCGGTCAAGTTGATATCACAAATGTGAGAAGCTATTTAGACAGTCTGGGTAAACAGCTTTCTCCAGAAGCTCAGCAACTCCTGGAAACAATAGAAAGCAAACAAATGGTTAGTAAATCCATGGAGAAATTGAAAAGGGTTATGTGTATCACGGGCTTAGCTACCTGTACACACAGCACGCATATGCATACCTGAATAGCCGGGAAAAGATCCGTTTCTCCTCGCTCTTCGCCACTGGGGACGTTGAGAAGAAACGGATGTTTTCGCAGACTAATACCTGAAAAAGTTGTAGATGTCTGAATTGCCAGTGGGATGATACAAATCAAAAAAGCATTGTTTTTTCTTTCTCGGTCATTCTTCGCAGTAGACAAAGTAGGGCATGATTGCATCAACGTAGGGTGCTTTTGTTGGTCACAATCAATGTGGCAAACAGCAATACAAAAAGTCATTCCTTTATAAACAGTACGGTGCTTTTGTTGGTCACAATCAATGTGGCAAACAGCAATACAAAAAGTCATTCCTTTATAAATAATGAATGTATGAGAAACTAATACCTTGTTTGCTAATAAGTTATTATATTCAGCCAATGAACCCAGAAAGGCGACAAAAACTTTTAACGCTTCCATGAACCTTACCGTAAATCATAGATTAAGGACTTTGGTGGTGCAAATTGGAGGTGGGGGTGCAGGGGATTTGGAAAATTGTGCTTACCAGTGCAAAAATCCTGGCCACACCCCTGTGTATCCCAAGCTTTTGATATCGCAGAACTTTGTCAACCTCTCTGATTTACCTGCAGCACATCTGTAGCTGTAAATTACTGCTGTGAAATACAACACAGATGGAGGAAGCTGTCCCACTCTGCCCCACTTACCATTATATCTCTTAGCTAGGTCCCCATTCTGTGATTTCGAGAGTTGCGTTAAGAGTTTTATATTTTGTCAGACCTTTGCTTGCACTCATAACGTGTTTTTTTATTTTGTGAAATGCATAAGTCATTTGACTTAAGGGATATCCTCCAAGCTAAGTAAAGAGCTCAGTATTGAGATCACTCAGAGTCCTTATCTGGAATTACACAAGCTTGATTATTGGAAATCCTGCAGAGTTGTGATGCATGAAAAGTCATGTCATGTCATGTCATGTCTTGATTCCAGGTGCAAAATGGTCATGTGATGGATCGTATCAGATCACTCAGTGTTGGTAGTGGTCCTCGCTCCGATCTTGGTGCATCTAGTTTTTCGGGAAGTGAAACCAGCATCTTAGCACAAGCAATGGTGCGTGCTAAACAGTTTGAGGAAGAAGAGAAACAGGAAAGGATGGGTAAGAATTGTGTACCATTTAAAATCCTAGGAACTGATATTGAATATCACATGACTGGATTACGCTGAATGCATTCCATTCCCTTATTTTTCCATGTAACTTTCCATATATGTGGACGGGTTCTTGATTTTAAATGGCCAGAAAAACCTTAAGAGAGTGCAATGTGTCAGCTGAATATGCTCCCCATTCTGCGTCATGACCCACTGACAGCCGATGTTAACTGTACTATTAGCCCCATCTCAGGGGCAATTTGTATTCCCCCGGGCATTCCCCTTTAAGACTAAATGAATTGTAAGTCCCAGTTTTCGTTTTGTTTTTGTAGGGGGAGATTTACCTGGAAGTCCAGAGAAAGATGAAGGCTTCATTAACATGTTAGCTGGTCTGATGTTAGAGAAGAGCCCCGAAGCGGCAGCTAACACCCGGCCAGCGGAGAATGGTGACGTAGACCCACCTGAATCGCCAGCGCTCGCAAAGCATCGCTGGGAAACTTACCTACAGTCGCGTGTCCGTGCCTCTCGCAATATGGTCCAAAGGTCTAGACCAGTTTCCCTTGGGAGCGCACTTCCTAAACCCACCCATTCCCAGATGAATCCTCGGACTCAGTCGTTCTGTTTAGGAGACAAGCGAACTGTTGAAGGAGTGGTTGCCGAGCAAGCACCTGCACCTCCCCCATTAGGGAAAGCTGAGGCGGATGGTTCAGACTCTGCAAATAGAACTAGGTAAGGCGGCGGGGCGGCGGAGGAGGGGGGGGGAAGGGTGCAGTGAGGTATAGCAGGTATAGCTGAGTTAAGGGAGCAGAAGCATACAAGTATTTAATAGATAGATTTAGAGCCGCGCTAACGGCAAACTTGAATTCGTACCACCTGGCTAAGTTTTACTCTTTACTTCTGCAAAAAAAAATAGTAGTTTTACATTAGTTATGTCCATAGGAACTGTTTTGGACTGTTTTTTGACTGCTCATTCCCTATTTTGAGAAATTCTCAACTTGAATCTGACGTTTGCCGTAAGCATGACTCTAAATCTCTCTAACATCGATATGTAAGATAAATGTTTAAAAAAAACAAGCGTAAAACAAGTTTATTAAGTTTTGTTGTCAGAATAAATGGACCGTCGTCGGTTTCACTTTGTTTCGTAACAAGTGAGTTCTCCATCATGAGATTTGTTTTGTTGTTTTTGCACGAGAATTTTCTTTGAAGAATTGAATAGCAATCAAAACTTGATCAGTTAAGACGTAAAACTGGGGGTGGCACGTTATAGGAATGAATATTGCAAATCAACTAACTATTTTACCTACCGTGGGTTTTTTTTTTCTGCAGGTGCTCTGAATGTGGATGTCCCGGATGTCTTTCTGTTTACAACTCCATCACAACAAATATATACGCCGCAGAGAAAAGGATTATGGGACGAGTAGATGCTAAGCTTCAGGCTTTACTCGAGAACATGAATTCGAGGTTTGACAATCTTTTCGAGAGCCTACTTTTACGACAAGAGCAAATGTTATTGGGTTTTCAGAGCACCCCGAAGAACAGCTTTTCCAGCAGCAGAAAGTACCCGCAAAGAAATGGGCATAAAGGGGGTGATACGTCTGTCTAGATGTCATTGACATGGGATCTTCTAGACTTGCGAAGACTGAATGTGATAATTGTACTACATACACTGCTGGTAAAATATGGAGAAGTTTTGCTAACAAGGATATGGCAAACGGTTTGATTTGATTCGACCTTTGCACTGTTCATGATAAACCAACTTGAAATGGATAACTCGCAAGATTGGCTCTAGAACAGCCGCTTAGTAGAAAGCAAAAGAAAAACACACAGTGATACTACTGCATTGCAGTTAATGACTTGATTACTTGAGAACCGTTTGTGAAAGTTAACGTGATCAAATTTTCCTTCATAACATGGACGTACGCATTTCTCGCTTTTTTCAATCAATCCCTAGTCGTGCAATTAGTAGGTTGTTAATCACTGACAGTCTTTTTCCAGTTTCCCTAGATTTTTAACAATTGTAAAAGTTGTTTTTAGTCCATCATATTTCATGATGTAGTTAAATATTTATATAATGAACGTATTATCAAACACTAACATGTACCTCGTTTTATGGACCTGAATGAGTAGCTTTTAACAATCGTTAAAATATTAACTACGTGGCACTCATCACGAACAAAAAAAAACAATCAAAATTTAAATGAAGTTGCTGTAGCCCATTTCAAGCGCAGTAAAATACGCTCAGTCCGTTTTACTTGCACTTGACATTGGTATGTTGTATGTTACCCTGATATTAGTTCTTATTTCTTCTGTAGGGATTTCCATAAAAACTTAATACGCAATCATTTACCTTTTAAATGAGTTAATCCTTCTCGATGCTCGTCTACTGTCGCAGTCGTACAATCTGCAACGTTGCTTGCAACTTTGTTGGGCACCTTTAACTGTTCAGGTTATTCGAATAAATCTCTGGTCAAATTTCCCCCTTCTTTTCGATTTTATTTCTAGATAGTCGTTTGACAAATTTCAGCTTAGCGTTTCTCCAATTGCTGTAGCGTTTAGCCACGTCAAGTGAAAAATGTTGCCCGCAAATTTGCAAACCACTGTTGCAATGTGTGCGTCTGAGCCTTTGTATTCAATTACGTTAACATATTAGCTTGTATCAATAGTTTTGTTGTCGATGCCGAAAAGAATCTTCATTAAATTAAGAAATGTTGGAAAAAAGAAACAATTAATTCCAACACAAACTTTCAGCGGAAAATAATATTTTGAAAACAATATATATAATTAAACCACCGTTTAAGATATCTCGTGTGTAACATGTCAGTGTGTCCATATTCCTAAAACCTAGAAATGTCCTGCAATGGCAAACATACTGCAAATAGCAGTTGTCATCCGCTGATTATATGATCTTGCATGATGGCAGACATCCTTCAAATAGGAATTGCCATCCGCTGAGTTTGTATTTTTTCTGTTCTTGCTATGTTTTTGGGCAGGAGTTCGGCCATTTTTTTTTTCGCAAAACGCGCCCAGTGAAATTTTCCGACAGTTTCTCTAGGTCTACCAAAAAACTAGCAGGTTATGAAGAATTAGCCGGAGCGTTTGAGCCAATCAGAAAACGGAGATATAAGATTTTGGAGGTAAAAAAGACTTATTGCAGGGAGGAGACCATGGACCAGTTTGGGAAGCTCCAAGCTCCACCCTCTAGCAGAACTTTGATACGAAATGAACCCTTCTCCACAGGACATGACAAATGACCGACAAATGCCTACCGTGATGGGCACGCTTTACAGCTCCCCGAAAATACGGTTTACTGTTATTTAGAATTTACGGGCTTGATGCACATATTGATTTAAATCCCGTTTTTACTCTTGACTAAAGCCATACTCTTTTGTCCTGACCATAACCAACGAATGTAACTTTACTTTCCCTTTTTTTTTACAGGAACTGCTAAGTTAAGTTAATGGAAACTTTTTATCTAACATTCTGAATTTTCTTTTAATTTCAAAATGTCCCCATAGTGATATTAACAACTGGGCCCAGTCATGATATTAGCTCTAACCCAGGGTTAAATTTGAATCCGAGTTTCTTTATCTCTTGTTCAAAAGTATTTTCTGGGATAATTTTCTATATTATCTTTAGAGCATCCAATAATCAAATTATAGCAGGAGCTCCTGATTATAGACAAAAAGAATTGAATGAATTTGCCTTTTAGGTTTAAGTTTCGCACTAATGCTGGGCTATCTTAACCCAGCACTGATTGATGCAGCTTGGTTAAGTCACCTTGTGCATACTACAAGAGGCCTTGGGATGCATTGCGAATGAGGTTTACCGACTGGGCTATGCTGCGGCAGTCAGTAGCAGACGCAGTAGAAAATGCACTCACAACGCTTTGACACAATACCCTAAACTTCCGCTTATAAGCCCACCCCACGTACTAGCGCCCCTCCCCCCTCTGTTAAAGGACCATCTACCTGTAAACAAAAAATACATCCGGTCATAAGCCTCTCCTTCCCCTCTCCCCCCCCTGTTTATAGGCCCTCCTAAAACCCCTCACGAAGTTTACGGTTTAGGTTAATACTGATATATACAATTAAGAGACAAAAAGAAACAGAGCCAGGTATCAAAATATTTTATTACATTATATCTGGAGCTCCTGATTTTATTAATTATATTCTATTTCTAACTAGCAATAAATAAATTTGTAAATACATTATAATAATAATAATAGTATGTTTATCTATTTATTGAATCAAATTACAGTAATTCTAAGTGTCAACTTTCTTAATATATTTTTCATTTCATAAACAGGGGATTCATTTAATTATCTCAGAGCTAAAAAAGTGGCTAGATCAAAATAAAAACTTGTTGCTGGGGCGGACCTACATAAGACGCCATTCATAATGACAATGGGGCACTTCAACGGATGTCCAAAAACCCAATAATGGAATGAATTAAATGCTCTGTATATACAGCACTGAAACGACTCATTTTGATAGTTGTCTTTTATTAGCTATAGTTGAAAGTATGGGAAAAGAATATGTCATATAAAGTGTTTCCTTTCCCTCAAAAAATTTGCTTCAAGTCTGCTCTTGCTTAATGTTGCAGGAGTCGTTCACGTAAAAAATTGTTGTTGATCGAATACTTCTGAGTCTTAGGACTTCCCGTGACAGTGCGCCAGGCATTATTAAACCCATTGATTGTATGTGAGTTTCACTAAAACTGCCAAAAGCTTGCATGATTAACTTTTACCCCCAGGTATACATTATTTTTTTACAGCTATAACACAAGATAAACTTGAATTCTGGTTGTTGTACTCGACTTAGCTATCGAATACAATTTTTTAAAAAGAAAAACGAGACAAATTTTGGGTAGATTAATTCGCAGCATAAGTGTATAGCTCAGTGTCGTTATTTACCTGTTGGAATTTTTTATTGTTTTTAACCTCAAAAACAATAAAAAATTCCAGCAGGCAAATGCGACCCTAAGCTATACGCTATGCTGCAAATGAATCCACCCAAAGTATGATGAAGGCACGCGCTTGTGTAAGACTAGTGTTAACATACTCAAAGAGTTTATCGTCTTCTTCTCATGCGTTTCTAGAAACTTAAAATTTGTTGTTAAGGATGGACTCGTTTGCAGCATACGCGTATTCGCCCATTAAAATTTTCGGTGTTCTTAAGCACACAGCCGACAATGAAAAATTCCAGCAGACAAATGCGATAGCTATACGTGTATGCTGCAAATCAATCCAGCCTTGGGAAACTTTGATACCAAATTACAATTTGAAAACGTATAAGGCTAAAAAGGAATAAACGATTGCAAATGAAAGATTTAAAGTCTTTAACAGTCTAGCAGTTCAGGAAATATTGATCATAAGGTCATCGTTTGTGATGTTTTTAAAACATTCAATCTCTTCATACGTTTCTACAGTTGAAGTCTTCTTGTCCTTTGTTACGTTCATAACACAGTTCCAGGTAACGGCTTTCTCTCTCTAATTCCCCTGATCTTCATCTCCCGGCCTGAGTACATGGCAAACGTAGCTTTTCAGTCAAACAGTTTTCTTTTTAAGCATGACGCAGAAAGAGTAAAAAGTATTGAATTCAAACAGCTTCTAAAGTTTTCTAGTCGTAATAATTGATTGTTTGTTTATATGAAGAGAGAGAAAGTCAGTCTAACATGGCAAACCAGGGATGCATGAGAACTTCAGACATTGCTGGGCGATTTGTTGGTTCAACATTAAGAAGCGCAGATATCAGGTTCTTGACTTCTGCAAAGATACCAAAAAATTGCAGCTTTTAGTGGTTTACAGCTGTAATGTAGTCATAAAGGTTTATCAAAAAGTCGGTAAATGTGAATATTTTATCATTGTTATTTCACCAACTTTCATGCAGCGTTAGCTAACTTACAAAAAACACCGAAGATTTATTGAACGGCGAGATAGGTTAAGTAACAATAATAAATATAAGGTAATGAAGAAAAAAAAAGGAAAAAAGGAAGGGGGTTTGGTGGGAAAAGGTTAAGTAAAAAGGTGTTTCTTCAGTTTGTTTTTAAAAGTTCCCGTCCATAACGTCACATAATAGTCAAAAACCCGCTTTCATCGCAGGCTGTACTCCGACTCTGTCATAAAAACATAAGAGAATGCAAGGCGACAACGGCGCATGCCATATAGCCGAGTCTGAGTGATCAATCTGGTCCAATCAACCTCGTCCCCAGAGCCCGCGTTACCCTCATCCAGCTGAACGGGCAACGGACGCTCTAGAAGAATCCAAAACCGGAACCTCAAAATCCTCGTCCGGTTTAATTGTGCCCGCGTAAAGTTGTTCACCAATTTGACCAAGAGAAGTTCTTGAGGGAATTTGGCCTTGCTCGCACATTGTTATAATTTAATCGTTTCAAAGCAGTTTTTTTTTCTTAGCGTGACCTCTGATCGATGTATTTAATACTGAAGAAAGAACTCGAAAGGACTGTTCAAGAAGACCGAAAAAAAACGTCGCGATTAAAACATTCGTTCGTCATCGCGACACACTCATCAGCAAAGCTGTATGCAAATTTAAAAGGTTCAGTATCATGTATGAATCTCAGAAAAAGTGGCGTTGAAATGACTTTCAAAAATAAGGCAAATTTTTGAACAAAATCACATCGTAGCGTTGTTTCGTGTTTTATCGAGATAAAATTTTCTTCTTAACTGTTTCAAGTAGCATAAGATTGGTATGTAGCCAAATGACCCGTCATGTGCTCTCAGTTTTTTGATTTGCAAAGTTGCAGTATTTTCATGTGATGAACACGTTTTTATCGGCCAATCACATATGGGTTTTTTCGGGTTCTTCCAAAGGTTAGTGATCCTTAGTGCTGACCAGAAGGATCACAGCCTCTGAGAACGAGATTGCTGAGTAACTAGCAGCCATTCCGTTATGAGCTCTCGACTCAACCAATCAGATGAGAGAGAAGCTTGTATTTTACATTACATACTGACCTGGCGAGAGATTTTCAGGGATTCTAGGTGACACTGTTAGAGCTTGCTCAGGTTTATCAAACGCCATGACTGGAGATAACATCTCAACCAACAAAATTCCCAGTTGCCACACTGTTCCTTGACATCCGTCATACTTCCCTGTACTAAAGTACTCGGGTGGTGTGTAAGCTTTGGTACCTAAACAATCAGCAAATGAAAAAGTTTTTTACCATTTTTATGCGTCGCTAAACGTTGGTTTCAGTTATGTTTCACCACATTAAGAGTTATCATAATATTAAAGCAACGATTAGGTAAAATTATTTCAGTATTCAGTATTCTGATTGACTGGCCTAAAGAGTGAAAAATAACAAAACATTCGTGCTGTTTTCTTGTTGGCTCAATTCGTCTACCTTAATCCGCATATTTTTCTCTCAAGCTTACACTCATAAGTCATGAGACAACGTGTTAAGCTACAGTAAAACCGGCAACAAAAAACGTGCAACTTGTTTTGCAACATTGCTTCAAAACAAGTTAAATAGCGATGTGACGTGTTTTAACCGACCCACATTCGAGCCTGTCTTGCAGCTAAGGTTCCCAGTTTTTCCACGTTTTTTTTTTCGTGGGTGATGAAACGAACAACATTGCCATTCAACTCGTTTTGCAGCCAAGTCACAAAACAAGTTGCACTTTTTTTGTTGCCCTTTTTCCCGTACCTTAAGGCTGGAATGCATTTAAGAAAGCTTATTCATACCTCTAAATTTCAGGAAAGGTTCCTCTTGGACTTCAGAAGCCAACCCAAAATCAATGAGCTTAGCTTCGTCATGGAGCATATCAACCAGGATGTTTTCTGGTTTAAGATCTCTATGGAGGACGCCATTTTCCTCGCAGCAAATATTAGCCTTCAAGATCTGAGAGAAGTACCTTCTCGCTTCGTTCTCTGTCAGTGTCGCCCTGACATGAAGGATGTCAAACAAGTCTTTGCAAATTTCTGGTCTTTCCATCACATAAACGTAGTGTTCGTTCGTTGTAAAAAGTTCGTACATCCTGATCACGTAACGGTGGCGTGTCTTGTTTTGAAGATAGGCCTCAGCTGGAACTGGTCTGCCATTAATCTGCATAGAGAACAGGAAATGGTTAGCTTTAGTTTCTTTAAACTGCTGGATTAGTTTTCTTAACGTGACCCAGTTTGAAGGAAAATTGTTACAGTGTAAATTTAAGGTCTAGTTTTGCTACCGAAGGACTATTTTGTTTGGATCTAACAAATGGCGCTTATCAGGACATGAAAAATATTTGTAGTCGCTTGTTTTCAAGTGAAGGACACATTGTACTTCTCAGCCTTGTCTTTTGTATCAGATAACTTATTGTAATTACAAGATGCGAAAAATCAAGTGCTTCTGGGACTACGGTTCGGTAATAGAAAATGCCAAGGGGTTTTCCCGTTCCTCTTCCAAATTTTCCAGTGTAGCCATTATCATGATATCTCGTTCCATTTAACTGCCCAAACTTGTGCAGTGTAAAACTCACCACTTTAAACTCGTGAACAGACTCCTTTGAAACGAACTTTATTGCGACCTGAAGCACAGGAAAAAAAGAAATTATCGTAAAACTTTCTTGTTATCAAAGATCATAAGACACCCAGACAGATAATATAATAATATGTATGATTAAGGCAATATAAGTTTGGGGAGCAAGAAGAACAGTTGGCACTGCAATGTGGACTGGCCCGGGCTCGAATCTGTTCTCTGCCTCTTTTCTCTGCTCTAAGATGTCAATTTTTCTCCGGGTACTCCGGTTATCCCGCCTCCTAAAAACCAACGTTTCTAAATTCCAAAACGCGTGCGCAAAAATTGTATAAAATTTACGGCAAGTCAGCATCCTTTTGATTTCGCAAGGTTTGAGGTTTTATATTTTGGATCAAACTTTTCGAAAGTTTTTTCGCAATTGGTAAGAGAACGAAGAGACACCAGCAAGTTCTAATAGATTTGTGAAAATCCCTCATAATAATTATGTTTACGAATTTGATTGTTGAAACTGCGGTCGGTTGTCGACAGTAATACCTTGACCTCTTTTTAAGATTCTTATAGTTTCTCTTTACTTGGGCCTGTATTCTCTGACAAAATCCTTGTCAATTGCCAGTGAAGTGGCTAATTCCGGCCTCATAAAAAATGCAGGTGCATGAAATAGGCGGTAAGCAATTTCACAGGCGGGCTGATTTTTGGGCGACTTACACTAAGGAAAAAAGACCACGTACTTGAATTCGAGGATAAATAGGTGTTTACAACTGAAAGTTAAAGCGGGTGCGGATTTATTTTCATACCGGTGCTCCATCTGTTTTTCGAGTGGCGGCGACAACGAGGCCAAAGGAGCCATAACCGATCAGATCTCCCATTACATATCTAGCAAAACGATCTGGAAGACAAAATTGAAAGGATTACTTCTCAGAATTTTTACTGACTTTACAGTGACGTTCTGGAGATCGAGCGTAACAATCGTGGCGTGTAATAGTTCTAAATTCCGTTCGAAGATGGTGACAAAGAATAACAGCAAGTTATTTAAGGGCCGGATATCGTAGTTATTTCGTTAATTCTTCTTTTTTCGCTGATATTTTACTTACGGTCTGAGCTGATTTTCCTGATAAATTCTGAGTGATTAGTTTTTTCTCCTTCAGCGTCGAATAAACCTGAGCCACTTGAGGTGGAAGAATAGGTCCATGTTTCTTGTTCTGCTTTATTAAACCAGTTTTTTACCTAAATTAAAAGGGAAAAAGTCATTACAATTCTGAAGTGCAAAAATGAGCAAAATAATTCATTGGATAACGAACTAATGTTGCCTATCGTGATCAATTGTTCGAATTCAAGATTGCTTTTTGGTGAAGTTTGCCCCGAAAACTCCCTCGAAATTCCCGAGAAATCGGCCGATTTTTCCGCGAATTTGTCCCTAAAAATCGCGCGAAATTTGACTTTTTCTTCCGCGACCTATCAGAAGCCCTGTCTCATAGAAACTTCCCGTCCCGCTTTATATTAATCACCACCTTCGGTTAATGGCCAAAGAGACAAAGTTTAGCTTTTCACAAAACTCATACGCCTATTAAACTTTAAGTCATCAACAGTTGTAGCGATTACAAGGAAAAGAATTTTGTCTTTATATTCTCTTGTAGTTTTGTTACTGCTTATAGCTTCGCTCAACTAGACAACAACGGGAAGTCAAAGGAATTGTTGGAGCTTGGAGCTGTCTGAATCTTCGTTCCACTGGTTCACTTTATACAACATGACCAGTTTTAAATAATAATAATAAAAAAACAGCAAAGTGGACAGTTTTGCTTGTGACAAAATATACTGGCACTTACTTTAGGGTCGAGGCAAAGTTTTTCTTTGGAAACATTTTGCTTGTCGACCAAATCTTTTGCTGTCTCGCTCCAGGCCTTTCTCGAGCTTTGCCTGCAAGAAAACGACAGCAATTAGAATGTTGAAGAAAGTCAAGGAAAGTATTCGATGAAATATTGATTCTTAAGCGAAAATCGTTACCTGTTCTTTTTCAGGCTCACATTGGGTCTCGTCTCACTGAAACAGACCTGTGTAGAGAAACGACATGGGCTCAGAGATACAGAAAAACTGATTGTAAGAATATCATATTCATTACTTTCAAAAATAGCCTAATTGTAGCAGTTAAATGAATTTTTCAAGGTATCCGACAAGTAAAAAAACACCAAGAGAGCGAAAGACATTTTCTTACAAACTTAAAACCGCTCCCATGCATGTACAGGAAAACTGAAGAAAATCTTTAAGTTTCAGACTAAAATAATGAGTGTTTCAGAAGTGTTTTGAAATTTTCCAGATTTCAGCAAACAGTGGTAATTCCTTGACGACTCTTTAATTCTTTGATATAAAGACTTACTCGTTTGGTTGTCTTCTGTGTCTTAACATCCAGACACGGCGTGTCCTCACAATTGTGAGTCTTTGAGCTGGGAGTTTTCTCTTCAGCTAAGCGTGGGCGTTTTCGTTCAGTTTTACTGGACGATTGACGCTTTCTCTTTAAGCTTTGCTTATGCAAAACTTCGTTAGACATCACTGATAAATTCGCCAAATGAATCAATAACAGCGCCAACAATTTAAAGACTGAAATTCTCTCATGAAATTGCGGCAAAACAACTTGAGGGCAAATGATTGTTTCTATGGTAAACTTCAAAAAACAAACCAGTCTGTCCTTTATGACGTTTTGCTCGCGCTTTAGAAGCCATAAAAGTGCGCGTGCAATTGAACGTTATATTTTTTTGTCATCGAGGGTTTCCAGTTGTATCCATAGTTGTATGGAGTAAAACTGAAATATTTAAATATTGTAAGGCACCAATCAAAAATCGAGAAAAAAATCGCATTAACTGTTAAAATCTGACACACAAAAAATTAGTATGCTTTTTGAGTTGTCGACGTCCCCTTTCCGAACTTGGACAGGGCGTAGGTTCAACAGTGAGTGAGCAGGACAGTTTTTTCATGGTCACCTTTCGATTTTTTTACTGTACGATTGACACGATTTTTGAAGTTATTTTCCTGATTTAATAAAAGATAAAATAGTGCATGTTGAAATAAAAATGTCATTTTATCCGCCGCACTTTGAGTTTATATCAGTCTAGTTTAAAGAATACAATGAGCACTAAATTAATTGTCCAAGAAGTTAATTATAACTAGAGCGTTCGTCCCCTCAGAGTCTTTCTTTTATATCGTTTTTCACAAAGGTTTTTGATAGTAGGAATTATTTCGTGCCAACGTTTACTAGATATGAGCTTAGAACTTCATTCTAACATCGATAACTGTCTTTTAAAAGAAATAAAAACAAACGAAACAATTCTTTAAGGCTTTCGCCGGGATAAACCATCCCTCGTTCTGGGAAGTATATTTAAGCTTGCATATAAAAATGACGAAAGTCTACATCGCCTCAAACAGTCAATAAATTTTAAATGTAGATAGATTTTAGGAAAACATGCGAGCCACTGAAATAGTAAGCTTATAATTTGATATAATGCTGAGTGACTGAAAGACTTCATGCAAGGTAAAAACGACAACAACAAAACACTAAAACAGACTGCTCATTACCTGAACTAGTGGTTAGAAACTCATTGCTATACTGAGGTCCTCCGTTCCAAACGAGCACGTTGGTCATATATCCGTTGTTTGTTTTTGTTGTTCTGTTTATTTTTCTGCCGTAACAGCATAAACAAATTGTCTTCTCTTGAATAAGTATTATGCCGTATAGAAAATAGTTGTACCAGTGGTTACACGTTCTCAGAACAGTACTTTGTTCTCAGTTTCTATGTTTTCTCCTATAGATGATAAAGTATGATCTTTAGAGTTAGCATTTCTCCGCCAATGGAAGCCAAGGTCACACGGCCGATACCTACCTGATTCGCGCCTTTTTTCGGATCCGACTTTATGAATGAGATTGGTGTCTCAACGATCATTTTGACATTATTTCATCCCTTCCATTCATGTCCATTGTCTTTCCTTTTCATAGTCTAAAACCTGAAAAAGAGACCAAAACAGCTAGTGGAACTGCTGTAATAAACTAAGTAACCAAAACCCTTTTTAACCAAGTTAGGCTTTCACATAAACCCGAAAAATGAAGGTAAGGACTGTGAGCTATTAACAAGATAAGAATCTTGTTATAGCTGACGTTCATTTATATTGTAAACAAAAGCTTCACTCCTAACGACTCTACTGAAAAATTCGAGGGAGTTACATGCAGCTACATGCGCTAGAACCACTTCTTAAAGTTTTCTATGTATTTATCTATAAAATTTTCTTTTCCTGCCGACAAAAATTTCCCTGGAAAAATTTCAGACAAATATATGGAAAATCTAAAGCAAGCTAGTTTCTGGACAACATGTCTGGAAAAATTTAAGCGCAGTTACGTTCCCCCCAAAACTCATGTTAGTAAAATCCTTTGCTGTGTAGCTTTGGCGGTTTACAAGTCATATTTTTTTTTCAGAACAGCCGTTTTACGGAAATTATTTGACATTTCACATTTTAGCGATCATATGGGACCAATATGCACTCTTCGTTTCATACTGATTGGCAAATCAATAATGGCTTTTTAACACGCCGATCATTGCAGGCCCGTAACCAGGATTTTTTGTGGGGGGGTGCTAACGAGGCCAAAGCGGACCCAACTACGGAAATGTATTTTTTATCGTCTGATCCGTTTATTTAGGAAAGTAGCAATACATGAGAAATTGTAACGGCAAAGAACACGGTAAGAACTGAATATTACATTTTTCGAATACAACTGTTTGAATTTAGTTATAAAGGAGTAATTTTACGATGTAAAATGACACATCAAAATACTGCGGAACTAATCCGTCAGAACAGTTCCGAGCTCCAGCCTCCGTGGGTGTAGCGACTAAATCTCAGAGCGTAATAATGGGATCAAGACTGGTGGACATTGCGAAAATGAGTATGATTTACCGTTTATATCTCGCTGTAAAACTGTCGTTAACTGAGATAGATCTGAAGTCGTGGTTTCAGCTGGGCTGTCGTCGCAGACTGCACTGTCATTGTCAGCGTCTGATAGCTCTTGACGGGGTACTTTACTGACCCATTGCACAGGAAAAAATAACGTATTCCCATTTTTGGATATTTTAGGGTATTTAAAGAATACCCATATAAATCCCAAATTTGGCAAAGTGAAACAAGTCCCAACCGGGGAATTCCCAACTAAGTTCCCAGATTGGGACTTGTCTCACTCTTCCAAATTTGGGATTTTTGTGGGTATTCTTTAAATACCCTAAAATATCCAAAAATGGGAATCCGTTATTTTTTCCTGTGTTGTATCGAGAGACTGGCAAGATTTAACTGCAGCCTTCCTCTTTCTATTTTCCTGTTCTCTCCTACCCATAACGTATTACACAAAAAACTAATTTTGCATCTTCAGGCGTTCATGCGCTCGTACAAATAGAGAATACTACCCGACGCGTTAGCGAACGTGTCTGACAAAAATCCTGAGATCGCTCCCTTGTCATTGTCTCGCTCGTCGTAAACTCCCGTACAAAGCCTGCGCCCCGGGGCCTGCGCACGTTAATTTCATTATTCATTTACATAAGCTCGGACATCTGTGCGCTCATTGAAATGCTCTGAATGACTCGGGCTACTAGAGTGTAGCTGGTTTTATTTTCCCAGTGAATACACCACTGCTTTTTCCATTCTTTGATTTTGTTTAAATATCACTGCACTGTTAAGTTTGAAACTTCAGTTTAACCGACTGCACGCCTTAACTTGGATATTGAGTATCAAAATGCGGACCTTTGGGGCCTGTGGGGAGGTGCGAACGCACCCCGTGCACCCCCCCTGGTTACGGACCTGCATTGGATTTGGCTCTTTTTACTATCAATGTTTTATAGAAGAAGTACAAAAATACGACTGGCTTTGACAACAAATTTTCCACAGAATATGGAGACTGTAGCACAAGAAAAACAATTGCTGGGAATCAGTTTGGGAAAAATTCGACCAGAGTCCTGATCAGACTGAGAAAAACTTTGACACAAGAACAGCGTAAGTGAGAAAAAAGAGTCCGTGCCGTCCCGTCTAGATCTGGTTCTGGAAGAGAGGCAGTGTGACATTGAGATGGGCATCCTCATTCCAAAAACCCTAGCGATATGGGCATCCCCTTCTCATACTGGATTACCTTAGCGGTTTGGGTTAGGGTTAGGGTTACAAAAGATGTCCATATCACTAGATATAGGGTTTTGGGGATGAGATGCCCAAAATGCGGGGATGCCCATGCATATCAATGTGACAGCGGTACCACTGTTGAATTTGAAGAATGGCGAACAATGGCGGGAACGATGTTCTCAGATCCAGGTCCCCGCGATACTTTCTCAGCGACCCCAACTTGGATCAACTTACTTGGATCCCAACCAACGAGAAGTTGGATTGCAACAATTATTGCAACAACAAACCCAACCTCGTCCTCAGGGTCCTCTTGTTTTTCAGTATGACGGTGGTAAGGTTCCTCATATTGGCAAACTAGAAGACCTTAAGGGACGAGGTTGATGGAAACCATCAATCGCGAACATCACTGGAACCAAATTTTTCACTGATCGCAGCCATCGTAGCGAACATATGAAATCGGGCTTTAGTGTGTTTCATAAAAGGATACAGCCGCGCGAAAGCTTAACGGAGGTCAGAAAACGATGGGGGAGGGGGACTTCCTTCCTTCTCCTCGTTCCTAAGTGTGCGTGGGAGGGAAGGCTAACAACAATATGATTTGCTGCAGGACAGGCATTTTTTGCACTTCTTTGTTGTCCTTTTTACTGTAGCTTTCCTTCATGAAACACAAACGAAGAACACACCAAAAAAGGACCCGTGCGCTACGCAGGCTAAAAATTCGCAAGCACCGCCAATCGTATTTGCGTCCAATAGCCTGTGAGAGCAGACGCCTTTTTCAGCCGAAAAAAGTGTCTGTTCTCGCAGGCGAGGGTGGACAGTCTTCGTCCAACAAAAGGCGGCGAAAGATGATAAAAGAGACAAAAGAGACAACACGAGTTTTTCTCCACGAGAAAAGTAAAAAACATACAAATGATGTAAATGACAAATATTTATTTTCACTTCAGCAGAGCAAACTACTATTTCAAATTTCTCATTTACGGTTAATTAATCTGCGAAATAGTAAATTCTAAATATCACGCAAGTGATGAAAAATTTCCGCAAATGTACCGTGCTGTAACGAATATTTAAATACTCGACAGATCATGACCATCGCTTGTTTAACCAACTAGTAGCCTACTAAAACTAAAACTAATTAAATATCAGGGCATTGCACTGTTAGCTTCCATTATTCACTTCCACAATTAAGCGCTCGAAATATATTGTATTGTACCGATTTGATACCGGTTATATCATTGCAAATGTATTATTAGGTGAAAAAAATACAAATTCTCTGATTTCACTCTTCATAATGACTAAGACTGGGAAAAATAAGTTTCATTACCATTGTAACAACTTTTGATGAAGCACTACACTGTAGTGACGAATTATATAAAATATAATTAAAGATAATAATAATTTACTTCTAACAATTGTCAAAATTACACAAACCAAACAAGAATAGATATTACATCTCACCTTCATACGATTAACTAGCTTCAAAAAAAGTAAAATGTACCAGAGCCTCAGTGAAAAGATAACGATGTCAATTAATTTTAGGGTTTATTCAAATAAGAGGACCCTCTACTGAAACTGAATAGCAAGCGCCATTTTACAAGAAAGAGGGCTAAGGTATTTGAATTTTTTTTCTACCATTTGCTTTGAAATTAATCTTCTTCTTTAATCTACTCCTTTTCATTGTTTTTATTGCTGTCATACAATTTTGAATTTTTCTAGTTATATCATTTTCAACACCAGTAACTGATAAAATTGCTTTCAAAATTGTCATTTCAGTTTTTTTACTTTTCGCGTTCTCACAACCATGAAAGATGCGATCACACCTCCCGCCTGGTTTCTCCCTGAAGAACGTGTACATAACCGGTACTGGGATCTTTGTTTCAGATTGTTTTAGCACCCCATTTGCTGCACTTACAGAAATTTCTTGCCAATTTTTTTTTTAATCGCAAGAAATTATGCAATGCCGCTTTCTAGAAAAAACCCAGTCAAATGCATCGTTTCGCTTGCAGCTCACCGAGTTGGTTTGATAAGTTGGTTTGCATAATTTTTTTGTTAAGTACAATGTACATGTATCTTCAGTTCACCACATCTTCAGCTCAGGATAACTAATTTTTCTTCAATATCTGAAAATTTCATAAGTTTTAGAAATTCATACAAATAGTCTACTTACAACCCGTCAATTGCAATTAACTGTCAATTTTATCGCATTGTTTCGTTACATAATTTTTTCGAATTTTTATCTTCCTCTGCAAGATTCTTTTCTATCCTTTAAATTTTTCTGTGACAATTGAAGAAGTGTATCAAAGTCCATTTCATCAGAGGAGGGAGGTCGGCTGACCTCCTGTTCTTCAAGGTAACTGGTATTGGAGTCTAAAAACAGGAAAACGTTTCCATCAACAATACTGTCGATATTTTCATAAATATCATACCAGTTGACCCCAAGATTGTAAAACGTCAGTATATTAGTAAATCTTCAAGCAATAGGAGCAAAGTACAGAGACTTAAATTTACTTATGAGCTTGAGACTATGGCTCAAAAGTAACACAAAATTCACAAATACAGTGTAATACATTCATATATCTCCTAATAGCCAAGTTGGAGGTCAGGAGTGCACAGTATGGAACAAGGTTTTTTCCTGAGGCACAAGAAAGAACTACCGTATTTCTTCACCTATAAGCCGATCTCGGCTATAAGCCGAGACCCTGAAAGTCAGGGTCTTTCCACTAGACTCAGGCTGCCCAAAAAAAAAAGTAAAACCATCGGCTATAAGCCGAGAGCGAAATTATTGATTGTAACTGGCCATTTGAGCAAGCGAACCTCACAGAAAACATAAGAAATTGACTCACTGAACACAAAACGTAATGAATTACAATAAACACAAAAGAAAAAAAGCGAACCAATGAAGAGACAACAGATCAACCACAACAACAATCTCAGTTAAACGTTTCAAAGTATCAATCGATCGAGTATCCCTTTCGTCGCTGTTACTTTTATCATCATGCCTAAAGCACGCCGTTCCACGTATAGTATGGCTTTCAAGATAAAAGTTATCGCGGAAGCTGAAGCGGTAGAAAACAACTCGGAAATCGCTCGAGAATATGGACTAAGCGAGTCCATGGTACGACCCTGGAGAAGAAACCAGGCGACTATTCTTTCTGGTGAGCTGAAGATGTCTGCAAAACGTGCGACGATGGGCCGTTTCACTCCGAAATATCGCGAACTAGACCAGCAAGTGATGGAGTGGTTTTCACAGCAACGAGAACAAGGTTGGTATTTACTTTGTTTATCGGAACATGTAAGAGTTTTTGTAGAGTTGAATGATATCGTCTTTCAGTGCGTGGGAAACAGAGACTTTGATTGGCCAGAAATGTGTTGTTGTCATGACAATTTCATAACATGTCACGAAAAGAGTGCTGCAGTCACGAATCTATGGTTATCTCGCATCAAAATAAGATTGTTATTTTATTTTTCGTAGGTATTGCTGTGAGTGGATTGATGCTTCGCCTTAAAGCTAAAGAGCTCACCGATGATCCTTCTTTCAAAGCTTCCCGTGGATGGTATGAGAAATGGAAACGACGCCACTCGGTCAGCATGCAAACGAAAACAACTCTGGCCCAGCGATTGCCCGCCGACCTCGAAGAGAATGTTGTGCGGTTTCACCGCTTCGTCATTGCACCAATTTCATAAAAGTGACTAACCAATATTCAGAAGTTATTTTTGTTGTGTTTTATTACTTCTGCTTCATTTCTAACTTGACGACAAGCCGGGGGGTAAAGTTATTCAGCAACTGTATATTTTTAAAATCCAAAACCCTCGGCTACAAGCCGAACCCCGTTCTTCGTGAAAAATCTCCCAAAATTTTGGGTCGAAAACTGAAAAAATCGCTCGGCTTATAGGTGAAGAAATACGGTAGGTGCCAGCATCAAGAGAACAATTATTATCAATATTTCCTTTATTATCCACATGATTTTTGAGAGAGCTTTTGCAAATTAACTCAAAAAATATATCACTATTTTGTTCACAGGAATTTTCATATGGTTTTTCAGAGGTGTTTTTGAGGAAATTCTGTTTGCTTACTCAAAAAACCACGTTTTCTCAGTACAGATCCTAATTCTCACTATTGGATGAAAGATACGTTAAATACCCTGTTACAAGAAATCTCCCAGTGAAAAAACCTGTGAATTTTGCACAGCCTAAATTTTGAGCAAAATTTCAAAATTTAGAAAATTGTGACTAAAATAAGCCTGTGAAAAACCATGTGGAAAAAGCTGAATGAATTTTGATACCAGCGATGTTAAACGTCTTTGATCAGATTCGATCAAATCCTTGGCAAAACAACTCATAAATACTTGGGAACAGGGGTAAAGACAGCTAAATATTTTTTGGCTAATACAGGGTTTGGGTTCCCGGTGGAACAACTTATGTTAAACATGTTGAAACTGTAGCACCATTTGCTTCCAAATTTTATGTTGAAACTGTTTATACAGGCCCTTACAGACGATTGCATCCAATTAATTCTTCTCATTAAATCACTGCTTAATCAACCCCAAGTCATATGGATTAAAGGTTTACCCACAAGACCACAACACATTAGTCTCCAGGCAGCTCCCAGTACTCACCAAAGTCAACATAGCTTCCACCACAAAACTTTCTCCTTCCACCAAAACAGATGTCCAATACAGGCTGCCTTGAATCTTCATTACCTCCTTAAAATCAACAACAAGTTAACAGCACAGTCATAAAATTGCTATCACTACTGTATCTGTCCTAGGAACGGCTGAATCTTCAGTAAAACTGAAAATAACAGTGTACCTTTATTTAACCTCATTTTCTACAGTAAGTACATTGTACAATGTACAAACTACTAGATGTACACTGTTACTAGAGTTATACACTAATTAACATTATGTTTAAATACTCATGATATATTTAGCCACTAAATATTAAATAAATAGCTACTTATGGAAAATTTAATAGATTCCATGTCCTTATATAGCCATATGTGTAAATAGTTCTGTTGTTTCTCAAGGGCTCACTTTAATTGAAGCCTTGCTCTGTTTTGTGACCCTCGCCATTGTTTTTATCATAAATTACCATACCCCAAAACAAAGGGAAATAAAATTTAACCCAAGGATAAAAATCATTGACCCACAAAATCTACAATGACTAACAGTTCAATTTTCAAATAACCAATTCACTATAGGAATCTTTGGGGTACACTTGACTTTCTTTGACAGTAAAGAATTAAAAATCTGCTGGCTGTTACGGAGTTTTAGTAATAATAATTAATATCCTTGATGAGACTTCATGATGGGACAACAGATTCTTTACAATCGGCATTATTATTACAAATGTTTTACCACAGCTATACTCAGTGGTCTGCCTTCTTGAAAATAACAAAAACAAAATGTGCCACCAAAAATTTCTTAAACCTACTTTCAATGGCTTCAGCAGCTGCTGAGTATTCAAAAAATGTCACAAAAGCGTAGTTGTCCCTGTTGAAAAAAGTAAGAAACAGCTGTAGGATCCATTCATGACAAGTACAATACAGGTAACACAACACTAGGAAAAAGTAGTTTTTTGGGGGTGGCAAAAACTTAAAATTAATTTCCAGAGACATATTTTAAATGTTCACAATATTATTGTTGGACCAAAGTCACATTAAACTGTTAGTATATTATAAACCATATTACTGCACCATTGTAATAATAATATATATAATAATAACACCAATTGTGAATAAAGTTGAGTGTGCAAAGAAACTGTCAATCTTACCCTTCCTCACGAAGGTGAACAGTTACTTTTTCAATAGGACCAAATGGACGAAATCTTCTCCAGATGTCATCTTGTGTTGTCTTGTTTGATATTTTTCCAATGTACACAATACGTCTTTCCTCCTAAGGCAAAACACAACAAACTGAACATTCAATTCCAAATTTACAATAAGCTTGAAAATTCAATGTGAAATAATGAGTGAACAGCACAGATAAAAACTACATTTGTTCACTTGGTTTTTAGAAAGTAAAAGAGTTTGTTTCTTTAAAATAAAATTCATTTACATTTGCTGTGCCTTTGATGTGTTGGTCAAACTTGAAGCCCAATTTCCTTTCCATTTCAATATCACGAACAGATTTGTCTCCTCTGTCATGACTGTCTCTTTCTGAATAATCTTGGCCGACAGAACGTCTTTTCCTTCTTCTATGACTGCTTGAATTTCCATCACTACCACTTGAATGTCTCTGTGATACATAAGACTCTGATTCTCTGGGATCATATCTCCGTCTGTATTCTTTGCCGCTGTCATCATCTGAGGTGGAATAATGCTGATCATCAGAGCTGTCATCTGAGTATAAGCTATGTCTACGTTTACTTCTTTTACAACAGCTTATTTCATCAGAGCTATAACTCGGTTTCCTTTTGTGTTGCTTTCTTCTGTTTTCATTGTATACATTTGAACTACCATGATGGCTGGAATGCCTCCTGTCATAGCATTTATCATCATCAGAGCTACTGCACTCCCCATCAGAACTGTCCTCACAGTATGGACCTCTATAACGCTTTGGAATTCTACTCTTCCTATCAGCGTCATCTCTAAAGCAACTTGATTGTCTTTTGCTAGAGATGGTGTCAGTCCTGTCTGACACTTTTTCATCAATTTGATTCCCAGTATCAGAGTCTACAGATTTTTGTGGACTGGGTCTTGACAAATCTGTAATTACGGTTGTAAAACTCTTGATTTCAGCAGCATCCTGAGGTGGCTTTCTCATTGGATATCCACAGCAAGCATAATTATGGTCAGTTGAGTGGTTATCAATAAGGCATTTTTTGTTGTCCCCAGAGCTCTCATGTTTTGTCACACCATTTTGTAAAGGTTCCTTTTTCGGCAGATAAAAGAGATCTAGAGTTTCTCCACTTGCAGGACCGTGTACATCAGAATTAACAGAATCATTCTCTGTTTCATGGGAGAAGACAAAATCCCGGTCATGTGCTTCTACAAAGGAGTTAATCTTGAGTACCATGGTTTCCTTCCCAGGAAATTTGTCCTTCCTGAAGATTTAAAAAAAAAACTGTCAGTGTTGACATCATGAATTACAACATAAATTCATGATCTAGGACAATGAATAATATTTTAATACTTTTTTAGATTCTTTTTGGGTTATAGTAATGAACAGTCTTTTTTCAGTACTCTTAGTTTAACAGTATTGGACGATTTTGTGACTAATCACAACTATAACAAAATTCTCAAATCTGATTGGCCATCAACTGGACGTTGATGACAGGAAGTGCGCATAATGCCTAAATAATAAATGGTACAACTTGTGTGCACTTAAATGGCTTTTTTCTCACTGTTAAAAGAAAACTTTTGGAATTCCTTGTGTTTCAATTAAAAAAAGCCTAAAATGTCACAAAGCTTTTTATAGTTATGATTAATTGGAAACAGAACTTTGTTTCGTCCAACTCAGTCCGTAATCCTACTTGTGATTAAACAAATCGAACGACCGCAGATTTTGTTAACCACTCGTACGATTACAGACCAAATTGGACTCCACTCAGTCCTAAATTAAATACCATTACAAACTGTCCATGTTATTATAAACTGGATATTAATCTTTCATATGGAACTCAGAACTCTTCACAGGATGGGTCCCAGGACTCACCACAGCTATTTGTAACTAAATCAACACTTCTATGGAAAATATTGCTTCCAAAAAACGAAGTCCTGTCACAGCTAAAGACTAACTTACATTGAGGAAAGTGGAATCTTAGATGATGAACGACCACCCAAAGACCCTAGAGAGGAAGAACAATAATTCAACAAAAGCAAGTTACTTCCACTGCCTTATACTGGTAAACACCGTTAATCATGTTAACCCATCACCATGGTGGGAACAAGATTATGTCCTATACTAACTGGTTAATTGTAAAAAATAAATTAAAGCGAACATTTCAAGTCATAGTACCTTGGAGTGTCTTAAACATTTCCACCACAGACCTGAACGACATGGAAGTTTACATTGTACCTCCACATATCAAAACATTTATCAAGCAGACACCAGAGAGTTAGCTGAGGATGTCTACTTTAAACATTTTCACTATCCTCCCACTATAACAAACATCTTTTCCCTTTTTTGCCTTTTTTCCCCCACCATACAACAATATAATGTTAAACATTACTTGGAGCTTAACGTTGTCAGGCTCCAAAACTATACATTTATCAACCTAAAGTTGGCTGAACAATTATTTTACCTTGTTTCTCTTCATATTCCAAAAATTGCTCTAGTAGATTACTGACATCGCTGGCCTCAATACCTGGTTTTAGATCAACAGATTGTGATTAGATGACTGTGTATGTGTCCACTACAAGTTCTTTAGCTCGACATACCTAATCAAACATGACCAAACAAAATTTCAATCAAAATCAGTAGAACTTAATCATTTTATTGAATTTGATTGATGTCCACAATCAAGTAAAATTGAACACGGAATCCTTTATGAGTTCAATTATTGAACAGATCTAACATAATTAATTGAACTGAACTGTTAGATTTTGTTGATTTGTTCCCCAATCAATGAAGGGAAAGATCATTGAAAAGTGGGGAAAGGCAATCAATTAAATATCAATTGATTAATAATCAATGAGTCAAGTATTATTGATTGCCTGGATTAAGGCATTTTAGACCAAGCAGGCAGCATGCCTGTCAGCCTGCCCAGGGCTCAAAGTTAGCGACTAACTGGTTGCATATGCAACTGGATTTTTGGTTGTACGCCTAGAAATTCATGTGTAATCGCACCTGTGCGCCGTAAAACCCAAAGCACAGTGCGACTGACTTACTTCCGACTATACTTACGAACTCGAACTAGAAAGACGGTGCATGTTTAATTTATCTTTTCTCCCAATGGATTCTACGAACTTTTTCGTTTCAATGTTTTACTCCATCCCAGACTCTTCTGTTTTGTAATAAACACCGCTGACACATGCAAATACAGGCGACTCCCGATAACTCGAACCCTCGCTAACTCGAACCAAAATCGATTTCCCCGGGATTTCCGCCATACATTCACTGTAATTTTACCTTCGGTAACTCGCACCCTCGATAACTCAAACTCCCACTAACTCAAACCAATTTTCGTTTCCCCTCAGGTCATTTTCTATATAATTTTACCGTCGATAACTCGAACCATGTTTTGAGCCCTTAAAACGTCGGGAAAAAAGCCGTCTACTGGCGTCCGAAACATTGAATTTTGGACTTCCTACTGACGTGTTGTAGAGTATAGTTTACTAGTGGAGGCTGATATTGATTGTCGTAGGCTAACGTGAAGCAGCTTTACTTCTCAAAACAGTTAAACGCATGCTCTATTTAGGCTATGGTTTGTTACGTTACGTTTTGATTTATATTCTAGAAGTATCTTTTAATTTTCACTTGATATTTCTACAATTAAATGTGATTAAAATGTTCACTGTGCAATAAAAACTGTTTTTTACCTTACTCTTGGCTATTTTCTTCGAGCTCCCGATAACTCGAACTTTTTTCGATTTCCCTTGAAGGTTCGAGTTATCGGGAGTCGACTCTATATGCTACGAACGAAACACGTACTTTTTGCACAATGAACGATCATGTCGAACGTTCAGTTTTAACGTCAATCAAACCAAAAACAGTGCGGATTAAGAGACTTTTTGAAGAGAGCAATTTCTGGTTTGATGTTAATTTTTTTCAGTCTTTATAGCGATTATTCCTACCCACTTACTTTGTCAATTGTAGGCGAACCCTCCTAAAGCTGAATTTCAAGGGACCATATTCAAGCTTAGAAAGAGAAATAAAATTTTGTCGTTGCTTATTTACGTCCTCCATAAAACGTGAAATTAGGCATTTTCACGTCGTAGTCGTGCAAAAACGGGAAAGAAATGAACAAAAAAGTGTGTTGCACGTGCGAAGTTGTTGTTTTGCTAATTAAACCTATTGTTTTTTTTAACATTCTAGTTGTCGTCCGCGTCGTTGGATCTTAAACTCCCTAAATTGTACAAACGACCGGTTTCAATAGACCGGCGAAATTTCTCAGTTTATTAAAGCACTGAGGTTACGACAACTTCGAGTTAAACTGATTTCACGGGTTGTCAAAGAGTCCAGCGATTCCTTTTTCCCAGGTGAGCGCCGACTCATTTTGCTTCAATATTCAGGAATGCTCTCGATCTTTTTACGCTTTTATTGCCTCTCGCCCGACATGTTTTGCACCGCGTTTGGTCATGCGAAACCTCCACGAAACATCCACGCCTCGCGCGAGGTAACTTTATCCCGATTCTAAAAATAACTCGAGACGAATTACCTATGGAATAGGGTGTATATGGGGGATGCCCTCTCTGTCCCCCTTTATAGTCTCTTGATGTCAGTCATTGCGCATTTAACAAATTCATTAAAGATTAATTTTCATTCTCGTTTGACACACTCATTGTTGTCAGTTTTGAATTGTTTTTCAAGTGTAAGTTTTCTTAAGTCACAACTCTACTGTCAAAAAGAGAAATTTGTATTAAAATCACAATGGTATTACTGTGTAGCAAATCGGCTATGTTTTATCAATCACAGGACTGAAGTAAAAGTAACAAACTGAAGATGAAAAATAAACGTGGCACTGTTAAGCTTTTTACTTTTTCTTTTGAAATAGATGCTCCCAACATTATAAGCTGTGCTTCTAAAATTTTCAGCTGTGCGCCCGAAATTTCGGCAGTGCGCCTAAAAATTTACATCTGGTAGCACAAGTGCTCCCAAACTGAAATTTAAACTTTGAGCCCTGCTGCCTTGCCAGTTCCAGGTTAGGTGGACAGAAGAAAGCGGTAAAAATTCACGCATGGGTCCTGGAAGCAATTTTTCCCTGCAACACCAGCCAAGACAATCTATTTTCAACTGTCAAATCAAAACTTTGGAAAACAAATGTTTGTTTGTATTAGATTGGCCAGACTTTTTTTGCGAGATCAATTTTGTTTGATCGTGTTGGGCAATCAAACTTAATTGCTTGATTAAATTCAATTGATTTTGATTACTGATCGTTTGATTTGGTACGTCAGAGTTTACAACTGGTCTTCACTACCGACGGAGTCGTAAGTGGAGTCATAAGAGCACTTATGACTCCGTGAAAGTCAAAAATCGGAGTCCTAAGCACAGTCGTAAGCACGACGGAATCGGGGTCGGAAGAATCGGAACCTTTCCATTTTCTTCCGACTCTACTTATGACTCCATCGCTTATGACCTAGTCAGATTGTCGGAGTCAGAAGCAGAAGGGGAAGGATAAACCAATCACAATGCACATTCCCACGTCTGATTGGTTTAGTTCTTCTGCTTCTGCCTGTGCCTCTGACAACCTACTTTTCCCTTGATTGTAAACGACAAAGTCATAAGTGGAATCAGAAAGCTGTTTTCACTTAATCGTTAAGTTCTACGATTCTGATTACGACTCAGACACCGACTCAGTCACTTCTGAAAACCAGCCTTTAGTTGTGTTCTGACAACACAACACTTTCCTACATGACTACATTTAGCAGTAACTAATTCTTAAGATCTAACATCTAACATAACAATCCAATATAGTTTCTTTAGAATATAATATATATGATGTTCAAGCAAAAGGTAGTTCTAATTTTAGAGATACTATGAATCTGAGCCGTGTGTTGTAACTGAGTACCTTCCATCCGATCACTATGTAGGGTATGATATTCTGGGGCTAGACTCTGGGAACTACCATCACTTCCCACAGTGTGCTTGTGCTAAGGAAAGAAATGAAACACAGGTGAACAAACGGATAAATACAGTAAAAACTCGAAAGACGAAGAGAAGTCATTAGGCAGGCGATGAAGAAAGAAATAATTTTAAGCTCAAGTGTATTTAATTACCTCTAATTATTAGAGAAAGCTTTGAGCTTATGTTGTTTAGAGTTAAAATCCAGTTATTAATCGAAAGATACCTCTAATTCGCTTATTACTCCTTTGCCGTTATCTCCTACCTCAAGAATGGAATCATTTCTTCGCAAGCTACTAACATTGCCTCGTATACGATAAACCACGTGTAACAATTAACAACATGATAAGCTCATGTACGAGTTGTTTTCTTATGTTTCCATAAGAAATTCAAATCAACATTTCACTTTAAACGTCTAAATTTGTTTGTACCTTTAACGCTTCACAAGTCGTAGATTCATTTAACTTTGCCGCAAAAAGAGTTGTCTTTTGCTCTAATCCTCTAAGTTCGACGTCACCTTGTACCTCGTGGTACGGCGGCGACACCGGCATTCCTAAGGCTTCGCTCTGAATCATTTCGCTTCTTCACTATAATTTCACAACAAAAACCTGTATATTTGGCTTTCGAAAAGAAAGCACAATAAATTAAACGACTGCAGAGCAAAATATCCAAGACACAACTTCCCCGTTTTTACCATGGACTACTCTCCCACGAGGAGCGAATTGCGAAATGTTGCGTCACAACTTGATACAAAGAGGACTGGTGCGATAGGCGGTGACAGCGGTGGCTCAGCGGTAGCAGGCAATAATCCAAAATGGCGGCCTCAGCATGCACTTTTGTAAAAATCGTTATTTTCATTGTATAATGCTAAGATCTCTAAAGTGCTAATGAGTTGAAATGCTTCGATGCCTTTGTAAAAGTCTTAGGCTGTTACCCTTCCGAGAAGAATTTGCTTTTCGGAAGTCAAGATCATTGACAGGTGAGTCAGAAAAGTGAGAGGGTTTCAGAAGGCGCTGTGGCTACATGCCCGACGGCCGGGAAGGGTCTTAAAAAAACTAAGGCTGCATTCATTAGGTATACCACAGGGGCTGGGGTGGGGTGGGGTGGGGAAAGAAGATTTTTGTGGTGGTTCTTAAAATTTTTGGAAGGGAAACAGGGGGGGGGGGGATGGTAAAAATTTCGGAAGGCAGGAAGGGGCCGGGGATGCCAAATTAATTTTTTGGAGATGCCATTCAAAGATTAAGTATTAAGCATTTATTGATAAACCACTACACAAGTGAAGTTCCTTTAATATTTTCTAGTTCAATGAAGGATGTGTTTATTATTAATACACTAAACTGCAATGTCCTTTACTTTGTGCAGTAGCCAGCTCTATCTACATTAAAACTGTGACAGGTTTGAACCCAGGAGTCATTTCAAAAGGTTGAGTTTGATCGTCCGGGTGAGCGTAGTCCTGAATAGGACTGTTGTTGTTGACAGTGACTGACATTTCGACAACCTGTGCGGTAGTCATCTTCAGAGTCAAAGTGAGTTGTATCACGTCAGTTGATGGTATTATACTCTGGTTATTGATCTGGTTGGTCAATTATGTTGCGATTTTATTGGTCTTCTGTCAGTTAAGCCTTAATGTTATTGGCTATGAAGACTCGTAATCAGTGATTGGTGCATTTCGATCCGTCTATTGTCACAGTTAAACAGTTGTCTATTGTTAGTCAAATTGCCAGTTCAGTTGTTCTCTCGTAGTTAGTGTTGCTTGAACTGACAATTTGACTAACAATAGACGACTGTTTAACTGTGACAATAGACGGATCGAAATGCACCAATCACTGATTACAAGTCTTCATAGCCAATAACATCACGGCTTAACTGACAGACGACCAATAAGATCGCAACATAATTGACCAACCAGATCAATAACCAGAGTATAATACCATCAACTGACGTGATACAACTCACTTTGACTCTGAAGATGACTACCGCACAGGTTGTTGAAACGTCAGTCACTGTCAACAACAACAGTCCTATTCAGGACTATGCTCACCCGGACGATCAAACTCAACCTCTATCTACATTATCATTTAATACATCACACCTTTACTTTTATCCTGCTTTTATTAACCCATTCGCCCCTGGACCGCCCGTAACCGCCCGTGCGGATCCAGGTCCTTTCTACCCTTTGTGACGTCATCAGTTTTAACGGTCAAGGACAACTTTCTTCGCTAACTTGTGCAGAGTGAAGAGATCTTTCAAACCATACCAGAATGAGCACAATTCAGTCAAGGACACCGGAGAAAGAAGCAAAAAACCACGTGACATTGACCTGAAAATCTCCATGAAAATCTTGTTCCATTACCCACCTACCTTTCCTTTCACCTAATCCTAAGATCCTAAAGGCTTTCCTAAAAACTCTTCCCACCAAAATCAAGCCTACTAAATGCCCAGCAAGAGAAAAAAAAAATGAGGCAAGAAAAGCGAAAAAAGAAGGGAGGAGAGAAAGCGAAAAGTAAAAGTCAAGACTGCTGTGTCACTTTTAAACCCAAAAACTATGTCGAAATTTTGCTTTCTGCGCATGCCCGAAGTTTGCAAGCTGATATTTTGCATCTGGATCAGAAGGCCGCCAAGTGTACGACCTGTAAACCGGTTTGTGGTAAGTTTTAGCTCTTTATAGCACGACAGTGACCAGAAAACCACTCGACTAGCTTCAAAATGCGTTTTTCGGCAAAATCTCCAGGAGCGAATGGGTTAATAACGTCACAGATTGTTTTCATTGTCATTATCACCATCATCATTGTCATCATTATCATTATCATCATCATCACCATTATCATCATCAAAAATTAACCCACCTTTCTCACTTTCTGAGCTTTTCAAGTTATGTATGGTTAGGTCTTCAGCTCTATGCTTGCAAGATTTAAATCAACTTTCACAGCTTAGAAGGCAGAAAAAGATAAGTAGTATTTGGTTTGTTGGCACTCCAGTTACGCTGCAAAATCCACTAGCCTCAGGCTATTGGACACTACTTTCTTTGCATGCTGGTGATCAGGGAAACAAGAATAGCTTTGCAGCTGAGCGGTTGTGGTTTCTTGGGCATAGAGTAGAGTCGACACCGTTACGACAATTAGATGATGCAGCAAAATGACTTGTAGCAATGACTCATGAGACTCTGTATGAGTCAGACAAATTTAAGTTTTATTTGCTTCAGTGTTTTATCTTAGGGGACAAGAAATGTTAAAATAAAGTAATTTTCTTTCAGTTTATCAAGTGAGGTTTGCCTCTGAATTGATTGAGACTCTTAAGCCACACTTGAAAAACCTTGCAAGACAACATGCAGATATTACACAGAGATTATCAGTCACACAGGTAAAGTTTTAAAATAATTTTAAAAATATGAACTAATATCAAACCTCTATATATGACCACCTTGTAATAAAATTAATATGAAGTCCATTCCTGATGGTAAATTTTGTCTGCGGTATTTGAATCTCACAAGTCAAAGCATACATCAAGTCACCTTAAAGGGGTTGTTTCAAGGCTGTCTAGTTAATTTTGTTTATAATACCAGTCATGCATCCGTATTTATTGGCTATGGAACGTAGTGGAGAAATAAAATATAATTAAATATATATGTTGTAGTTGATTTTTTATTTCAGTTAATTTTTATTTTTCCATTGTTTTACCATACCTAAAACAATGGAAACATAAAAATTAACTGAGATAAAAAATTAACTACAACATACATAATTGTTGTATGTAATGCTTTCTTAAATGCATTGCTTGATTTTTATTCCTTTAAATCATGTGATAAACTATTCCATATTATTGCTCCTTGTGAATGACAAAGTGACAGCTTTGTGTCAACAAATATGTCTCCCAAGCATTATATCAAACCCTATGAACAAAAAAATTAAACTTTAAAAAACTGTTAGGCCAACAAGTTTTCAAAAACAAATTGTTGTCTGTTTCAGTCTTCTTCAAGTTGGTACATCCATGCCTTCCTTTGTATATATGTTGTGTTATTTATACTTTTTTTGTATTATGAACAGTTATTTGAGCAGTTATTTGTTTTTAAGATTTTGTTATTTGCATTTAAGGCTATCCATGGTATAGCCCTACATACATTCAGAACTTAGTTTCTTTGAAATCGCAAGGCACTTATAACCTCAGATTGTCAGGTGGGATTTTGCTAGCATCGTCAACATAAATTTTAGAGATAAGGTCACACTAGGCGATAGGTCCTTCCAGGTGGCTGCGCCCAAGTTATGGAATGCTCTTACGCGTGAGCTTCATGATATTCCAAACTTACATACTTTTAAGAGCAATCTTAAGACATATCTTTTTGAGTTTGCTTCTGGTTGAATGAATTTTAATTGTTCCATATCGATATTTTAGATTTTTATGGCAGAAGTGTATATATTTTTATTGTTTTGCTTATTACAAATTGTTTGTAGTTTGTAATGCGCATTTGATCATTTTTATGAATACCTGCGCAATATAAGTGATTCAATTATTATTAGTAGTATTAATTATTATTTTAAATTTTACTCCACATCGTAAGGGTTCCTAATGTCTGAATTTGAGAAGTAATGTGACACGGCTCCGTTTTGATTTGTTAAAGTTATCCACATTATTGGTACAAAATCTAAATATTTTATGATTTTAAAATAAGAGTAGAGAAGTTGTTAAAAGTCAATCAATACATGAATACAACCATAACAACAATATTACATTACATTACTCAATAAATCTGTTCACTGACCTACATTTCTGATTGTGTGTGGCCAACTGATGTGGCATATTTTCCAATTTTTTAGCTTACTGGCTTATAGCCAGTAATGCTCTAAGCTATCATATGCATAAGAATGAATGAATGAATGAATGAATGAATGTAAGGTCATTTAATTTTTATTGATCCAGCCTGCGAAAACATCCGTTTCTCCTCGCTCTTCGCCACTGGGAACGTTTCGCGCGGAGGAACGTCTGCGACTCAGCGACAGAAATTCCATACTGATGACGTAAAATCTGTCCAGAATCCGGTCAGAAGCGCTGATTGGTCGACGGAGTAGTTACATTGTTTTAGCTATTGTTTACGAATGACAGACAAAAGACAAAAGGCCACAAAGGTCAAATGTAAACGCGAAGAATCTCAAGCAAAACAGTCAATATTTGTAGAATATACTCTTCTCGAGAAGAAGCGTTTGAGTTTTGCTGGAGCTCGTTGGCAGATGAACACAACACATTACCAAAATCGACCAGAAGACACTTAGAATTGGACAAATTTGTATTTGGAACCCCATGACTACCGGATTTATTATGTAAACATTGATTTGCGTCATCAGTATGGAATTTCTGTCGCTGAGTCGCAGACGTTCCTCCGCGCGAAACATCCCCAGCGGCGAAGAGAGAGGAGAAACGGATGTTTTCGCAGGCTACTATTGATCTCATGTGTGCAGTACAGGGCTGTCAACCCCCACCCCCCACATCATCAAATATTGAGAACTGATACAGGAAGAAATGGTAGATGACATCATATCACACAACAAATGACGTCTTTTGTGCCAGAAAAAGCTCGTTGATCCTGTCATCGATGTATATAGCACATAAACAGATCATATTATACCATAATTTATGGGAAAACGTTCCCGCAGCAGCTCAAACAATGCAAAATATTTGAAATTTTATGGTTGGAAAAACGAGTGTACAAGAAATAGCAATTTTGGCGATTATCCGGGAGGTATCAGACTCTAATATAGAGACAGGGAGATACAGTACAAAGTCTGGAGTCTGCTGGATTATCCAGGAGAGTTGACAGTACTGGCAGTAATGCATAAACTACGGAGCTGAAGGGACTGAGTTCCATACCTGCTATCTTCTAATTTTTTTCAGCCTGTTTTATAAAGTGTTGTTATGACAACTTGGAGGAATTTGATACTGATTGTTCTTATAGGGCTTTTTAAAAAGGTTAAGGTGGCTGAACACAGTTTTGGCAGTTTGTGAGTATACGTCATTTGCGAAATCATGGCAAGAGAAAGGTTGCAACTCACAAGCTGAAACTTGCAGTGAAAAAATACTGATGTGAAAGATTTTGATTGACAGGTAAAATGTGACTTTTTCGTAGTTTCCATGGCAACATGAACACTTGAATAAAACCTTAAAATTTCTCTTTTGCTCAATTTACATAAAGTTCACTCATTAGATTTTCCTATAAACTTGCACACAGCTTACTATAATAATTAAACATTACCATTTGAAACTTATTTGACCAAATTTTAACAAATGGGTTTTTTAGATAATTAATAATATAATTGTACTGTAATTATTAAATGTGTCAGATAATTCGTCTGTTCAACTTCCATTTTAAAGTTCTCATTATTTAAAATACAATAAAAGTAAAAATTCTGCCAAATATCTCAAAATTTTAATGAGTAGATTTTTAGAAATCGTCTTCTGTGTACTTATTTATTTATTTATTTATTTTATTTTTTTTTTTATTCCTCCAATTCCTAGCTGATACATAGTTATGTAAATATAACTGAGAAAAATAATATAGTAAGGGATAAAGATTTACAAAGGAAATAAACGCGTAAAATAGAAATTACAACACTTAAATTGAATTACATTGTATATTGGAAGGAGAGGAGAGGGGCACATCTAGTTAAACTAATATTGTGCCCCTTAAAGTTATGTATAACAAAGGACTTAAGATTATTAATAAAAAAGGAAAGCAAAAAAATGACAAAATAGCTCAGAAAGTTATAGAAGGGATATTGATTCATTAGTATTGAGCCAGGTACCAGCGCAAAAGTGCTTTTTTAAACATTTTTTTAGATGGTTTGTCTCTAATCGATTGCGGAATATCGTTCCAAAAGAAACTTCCAATAATGCTGGGGCAACATCTCCTAAGATTAGTTCGAAATAAAGGTATTGCAACTTGATTGGATGATGCACTGCGGGTACTGTAATTATGTAGTTCAGATACTAATGAAACAGGTATATTAGGAAACTTTTCATGGTGGAAACGTGACTACTTTGAAGAATGATTTTGTTTTGCAAGCACGTGTTTTGTACAGACTATTCATTGCCAGTAATCGCTAGCTCATGTCCTCTCATAGGACTATGTTTCTTTACCCTTGTAATCTGAGGCAATAATTGCTCATTTGAATGTGATGAATGTCATGAATCTGCTAGGAGTAAACAGACAAGATTAGATGGCAAATTGATTCTATGCTCCTGTTACTTACAAGCTCTGTCACAGAGAAAACATACTTAAAATCCAAATTACTTCTTATTAAATATTTTTGTTTCGTTCTTCAGGGAGATATACCATCAGCAAGTGAACATAAGATGTTATCCCAACAACTTTACAGACTTTCACCAATTGTCCAGCTGACAAACAAGATTGAAGGAAAGCTTAAGGTAACAATAAACTCTTTGGTTCCCTCTGATAAATGTGATTTACGGGTAATGTTTACACCCTAGACTACCCGTAAACAAAAGTTCCAGAAAAATTAAAATAACCAACCTTCTCCCTTTTTGCTCTAGGAAGCACACAATAAAATGAGTTTGAGGTCACTATATTGCGGACCTACCATCAAAACATCCATATGCAACCTCCTCTCATAAGCGATCACCTCCTATAAGCAACCATCTGTCCAAAACACCAAAAGTTTCTGGTCAAAGACCTATAACAGAGGCGGATCCAAGGGGAGGGTTGAGGGGGTTGCAACCCCCCTCTTTGGGAAGTTTTCAAACTTGTCTGGCTACCCATGTCAACCCCTTTTTCATACTAAAAATAATGTCACAAGTTATAATGTAAGTTCCTGTCCGATCGATCATTACAAGAAGACTGTAGCTATTCCTCTTCTTGACTCCTTAATCATCAAAATGCAAGATCGATTGTCCGACGAAGATCGCCACGCCCGCCATCTGCTTTGTCTCGTGCCATCGATTATAGTAAATAAGGCACTGCAGCTGGATGATGAAGTAGAAGGCGTGCTGTTCTGGGAGAAAGATATTCCATTTCTCAGTCCCCTGGAAATGAGGTACGCAGAAGGAAAACACTCTGTCAGTCAACAGATACGGAGTTTCCAAACAACCTTTTATTAGCATTAGGTACAGGCGATGAAGATGCTTCCGCAAACATCTATCGCCTTCTGGTCATTGCCTGCTCCCTAACGATCACATGAAATAAATCAAGACCTGCTCTAGGTCAACAGTGTCGGAACAGCAGTTCTCTGATCTCGCAGTGATTGCCATGTACTACTCCGAGGGATTGGAGGTAGAGGTAGACGAGATATGCCAGCAAGCCTTTGTAAAGGCTCATCTAAGAAGGCTCTTTCAAGCTAGTCTGTTTCATTAAATAGGCGGGTAAAAAGGAGACAAACAACTATCGGTTTTGCACTGTACTCTTAGTCTTCAATAATAGCGTCTTGAATTTGACAAATTTATACCTCTGAAATCAAAATAAAGAAAATCTACATATTCAAACATTACCCTTCCCTCCCCCATTCCTTTGCCCCTGCGACGTTTGCCTTGAACTCTCATACTTACAACCCCCTTTTTGGAAAAATCCTGGATCCGCCCCTGTATAATAATATTTATTAAAACCTCTTGTAAGGGACCGCGACCACGTTTTTGGTGATGGTCTTTTGACTTTCCTTTGTTTTTAACCTCTTGAAAACAACCGCTTGATGTGTATGTATGTACTACTCCCCTCAGAGTCTACAAAGAACTTTCAGTGACAACATGGAACTACACATACTGTAATTAGAAATTATGTACATGCAATAAATTTTCTTCCAAAATGTAGATGTAGCCGTACATCTTCTTAGAAGAGACCACCTGTGGTTTGATTCTCGTCAGTGATCAACTCCCATAAGTACTACTTAATCTTGAAAAGATTTCATTTGAATCATCAAATCATAGGAGTTTTATGACCATCCAGAAAGTGAAAAACTCGAAGATGTTTGCAAAACGGTTGCTCAGTTTTTGCCCCGCCTTGCCTATTTAGATCTTTTTGTATAGTGTACAGGTTACACAGCAGATGACATTTACAGTCAGTTATTTTTAACACCGCTGGTTTGAGTCCTGTGATCCAAGTTAGAAATGAAAGGGCAAGTGCTTGCCGTGTCCGCGCCCATTATTCCAACTTTGTCATTAGATTTTAGAGCTCTTCTATGTATGAAATTTGTCAGTTGTTTGGAATATTCTGCTAGTTTTAGGTTCATTTTGGACTGATTGATTGAACGATTGATGGTACACGCAGGTGGGGATGGGGGGGTATTGGTTGAATGGAATTTTCTTGTTGCGGCTTTTCCTTCTGTAACGTTTGTAGGGCTGACTACCTATCAATCTGCTGAGCACTTAACTGTATCCACAACAGAGTCAGGATAACCTCATCTTTTTTTGTTGATCATGGTTTTATAAGTTTCCAGTGAGCGCTTGATGTGTATGTATGTACTACTCCCCTCAGAGTCTACAAAGAACTTTCAGTGACAACGTGGAACTACACATACTGTAATTAGTAATAAATTTTCTTCCAAAATGTAGATGTAGCCGTACATCTTCATAGAAGAGACCACCTGCGGTTCAGTTCTCCTCAGTGAACAACTCCCTTAAGTGCTACTTAATCTTTGCACTTTGGATGGTCACTGACTGTAATTTAGTGCAAGTACTGCTGAAGAGATTTCATTTGAATCAGAAAGTTAAAACTTGGAACTGTGAAATGCGCCTGCAGAATTGACCCTTAGAAAGCTGGTGATGATGAGCTGAAAATGTATAATTAAAAAAAATGAATATAGATTATGGAAAGTGGGCATTTAATAATTTGTTTAATTGATTATAACTTTGTTGTCAAAACAATAAGACAAAAGGGTGTCACCAGAGAGGAACTAAACTCCCATAATAGGGTAACCCCCATGTGTGGTATTTACACACAAGTTATTGATTTTAAAGAAATCAAATCTGGAGTGAGCAGCAGTGAGCACAGGCTTTATTGGCATTGGCTCCATCACTTGTGATGATTATCATTGTCTCTTTCATCTTGCTGGAGGAATTCTTTGATTATTATACTTAGAAGTCTCATTTTACAGTAAATACAAGTGCTTTGATATGTTTCCAGGAAATAAAGGACTTAAATGAGATGATAACAGAAATTGGAGGGGAGTTGGGTAAAATTGCTGAAGAGGAGAAAAGGCAAACACATGATGATATCAAAGTGTTGGAGGTAAAATGTTGACTAAACATGATGGACATTATGCTACTAAAAATGTCAATGATCCTATTGACATAATGTTCAAGCAACACTCTTTCTATCTTAGGATAACCTACTCAAGTGTCTTGTTCCTCAAGATGATGATGATGAAAACAGTGCTATTTTGGAGTTAAGAGCAGGTATGTAGATCACTAGAAACACTCACCTGAAAGATTTGGATGATCACTTTATTCTCAGTACCAGACATATAGCAAGAATAAATGTCTATTTTCATAACAAAAAAAAGAGAGAAACGCTATAACTGGCTTAACTTCCCTTTAACACGGTAAAAAGTCGGAATTATTCTGCCATTATATTTCGTAGCTCATAGCTACTAAGATGCATTATAAGCAATTAGTCTACATTGGATGTAAATACAAGGTAGGCCTAGATGTATAAAAAAACATATATATATGTATAAAAAAAAAATTGGTAGGCATAGATGTATTCCAGAAACCTTTGGATTACTACATGCTGTAATATTATTGGAAGATGCACTGCAATGTTACATTTAAGTCATTATTAATAAAGTACTTTAATTTATTTATATGCGATAAAACTGCTCAACATCTTTTTTAGAAAGCGTCTTATTTTGTTATCCAGGAGCTGGTGGAAAGGAGGCGTCCCTCTTCACTCATGAGATGTTTGTTATGTATCACAAGTAAGTAAAGATTTAAGCTGCAACTTTTTTTTTGCCATAACAGCCAAGAAAAGGCTTCCCTCTTCAGTTGCAGATGTTCTTTAATTATTTGCTTCACTTCCATAACACTAATAATGCGATCTGCCCCTGACCAGTATTTCTGCAATACACAATGAAATAATACCACCCTCAAAGGTTTGAAGCATAGGGCACTTGTCAGCCAAGCACAAGAAGACATTTACAATTATTTTAGAAGAACAATACTTAAAACTTCGGTGAGGCTGAACTTGCATATTCATGAGTGCATTGTATGTACGAAGTGGTCTTTCCAATGTCCATTAAATTTACAGTCACTCTACAATGTATTACTACCACCCTACTAAATTTTAATGTAATATAAATTTCGATTTCCAGGAGTTTATTGTGAGCTTATTATAAATTTGGTATTCCTCAAAGCTCTAACTAACTTGTAACTGCATATTCATTTTAGGTTTGCCTCATACAAAGGGTGGCGGTCTGAAGTTCTTAATATGAGTAAAAGTGATTTTGGTGGACTGAAGGTATTAAAGAAAGTATTGTACGATCATGATAACTATTTTTGTCCTTCATTTCCCCCAGCATTTTCTTTGGTTTTCTCTGACAAATTTGAGGTTTTTTTCTTGTTTCTTTCTCCAACTTTTCTGTCTTATGAAAAAGTTTTCAAGTACTGGTAATAGATACCTTTTTTTTAAAATTGCCAACTTTTATTTAAATTCGTAAATAAATTAGAAAATATACCATAAACTGCCGCTTATAAGCCCATCCACTTATAAGTCCCCCCGGTTATAGGCCCACCTACATGCAAACAAAAAAATACATCCGATTATAAGCCCATCTGGATATAAGCCCCAGTTACAGTTTTGATTTTGTTTTGAAATTGAACTGAATTCGATTTATTGCTGCCTTTTTAAGGCTTCAATTTTAAGAGTAATAAATTTAAATCATACGTCGATCAACAGTGCTGTTGCCCATTTCGAAACGTTTTTTTTTTCGTCCGCTTATAAGCCCATCCGGATATAAGCCCCCCCGTTTATAAGCCCACCCAAAACCCCTTACGAACTTGTATAAGCCCAGGGCTTATAACCGGCAGTTTACGGTGTTGGGACTGGCGTGCAGTTAGCGAGGCTATTCGGGGCAGGCCAGGCTACATAATTATATTACAACAAACGGAACTGGACGTTATGTAAGTATATATTACACAATAAATAAATACTTTTGTGTAGTTCCGTAGATATCCATACCACGCAAGATTCGAGTTGTTTTATTAGATGTCTGGAGAGCGAGAAGAGGAAAAGACGAAAAAGGGGCGGAATGGGGTGGGGGGGGATAGAAGATAAGAATCTGAATACCAAACCAGTACTCAAGAATATGGAATTGCCAAAACTAAAGCAACATAAAGAACAAAACGAAGCCCTTTGATTGGTGTAGCGAACATTGGAAAACAAATGCCGCTTCTGATTGGCTTAGTGAACAGAGCGAAACAAATACGGCTTTTGATTGGTTTAGCTGACAGAGAAATTGGTTTAGCAAACACAAGGAAACACCTGCGGCTGTTGATTGGATAAGCGAAAATAGAAAAAGACGTAAGGCTTTTATTGGCTCAGCGAACATAGGAAAACATGTTCAGGTTCAGGCATAGTTACTATGGTCCAGGGAAACACGTGTTGCTTTTAATTGGTTTGAAGGGTTTAGTTGATGCTTGGTCGGTGGAGGAACAGAACACAGCTTTGTCTTTTGAGTTGATAAAGCTAATTAACCACCCTTTAAAAAATCTTAAGTTTCAAGGGCTATTCCTTCGTTGGAAGAGGCAATCAAGATATTGTGGGTTGTGTGTAGTTTATCGAATGGTGGAGCTACACTATTAGTGGTGTCATGAAAAACTGAATAATAAATTAGTGGAATGGAAAGTGTGCATTGTTTCCTTTCGGATTTAGAATGTCGATTTCAAAGATATATTTCTGTTCTTGACTTTTGCGTCTTTCTCGTTTGGTTTGGTATAAAGAGAGACCATGTTTTGGCCATAGTGATTCGGAAGATTAAAATGTCGCAAGACTGGTTGCGAGGCGTCTTTGTCATTTCTTTCAACATCTCGAAGATGTTCGCGAAACGGTCGCTCAGTTTTTGCCCTGTCTCGCCTATGTAGATCTTTTTGTATAGTGTACAGGTTATACAACAGATGACATTTGCGGTCAGTTATTTTGAAACACCGCCGCTTTGAGTCCTGTTATCCAAGTTGGAAATGAAAGGGCAAGTACTCGTCGTGTCTGCGCCCATTATTCCAACTTAGTCATTAGAGTTTAGAGCGCTTCTATGTAGAAAATCTCTCAGTTTTTTGGGATATTCTGTTAGTTTTAGGTTCATTTTGTAACGATTGATTGAACGCCTGATTGTACGCGAATGGAATTTTCTCGTTCCGGCTTTTCCTTAGTTCTGTTACGTATATAGGGCTCAGGCACTGCCTATCAATCTGCTGAGCACGGTTTTTAACTGTGTCGACAACAGTGTCAGGATATCCCCGTCTTCTGAAAAACTGATACATTTCCTCGTGAGTTTTTCTCAGAAAATCTGAAGTTTCATTACAAAGGTGTCGAATCCTTAGAAATTTAGATCAGGAGATCAAGGTTTTCACCTGAAACCTCACCCTCATTTGATAGTTTCAATGCGAGGACGGCCTTTGTTCTGACTATTTTTCTCTTTTGTAGGAAGCTTCCGTTAGTGTTAGTGGTAATGGGGTGTTTGGAATAATGAAGTTCGAAACAGGAGTTCATCGCGTGCAAAGAATTCCTCTGACTGAAACAATGGGCCGCATACACACGAGTACAATGACAGTGGCAGTGTTACCACAACCCGAGGAGGTGAGAACTTCTAAACAACCTTAATGAATGTCTAAACTCTGGACAGATCCATGAACTGACAATTTTTGACACAAAATGATCAAAAAGGGGCGGAGAATTGATATCAATGTACAAACCATGCTTTTAGTTTCCACTTCGACGATATAATTTTTCGGCTTTGCTTTCTCAATTTTGTACTCTAATTCTTTAGGCCCAATTATTCGCGTACTTACGTTTGCTTAAATTCTATATCCTCAACTGTCTCTATGTGTTACTATAATCGTTACCTCTTTGCTTTTTTTCCTTTAGGTTGATGTAGCGATCAATGCCAGTGATCTCAAAATTGAAACGATCAGATCTTCAGGGTAAGTGTGTCTTTAGCCACCCTACAAATAAAGACTTTATTAATACACTCAGTACCACCCTGCTTAACCTGTGAACAGCACAAGGGTAGCTTGGGTCGCGGAGGAATGAGGAATGATCAATACACAGTTCGTAAACACGTTCTGTTGTTTTCTTAGAGCTGGCGGCCAGCACGTGAACACGAATGACAGTGCTGTTCGACTTACTCATCTACCGTCGGGAATTGTTGTTAGGTGTGAAGAAGAAAGGTCGCAGATAAAGGTAACTAATTAGCTTTGTAGTTCCCATTTACGTAGTTGAATTATTCTGCTCAACGTTAGGGACTCATGAGTAGTAGTCCTATCGCTGATTTAGTATTATCGAAGCATGATCAGTGCAAACCGAGAACACTCGATTTATAGTTATATGGTACACCCTTTTTTTCTGTCCTAAGGGCTTCTCTGTCGTAGGTTACTCCTGTTCCCACCTTCTTTTAACGCAATTCTTATTGCTGTAATAAGGAGTGGTTTGTTGGAACGCGAAAGACGTTTTTGTTAGCCCGTGTAGCATGGCGGTTTTGTCTACTGAGCGGCCCTCCTCTGCCCTCGCCCGCCTTTATTGCTTTGCGCGACCAACCAAAACCGCCATGTTACGCAAGCTACGTTTTTGTTGGTCAATCATTCTTAAACCTTATTTATCCCGGAGCTGTGGTTAGGTTTCAGTATTGTATTGTATTGTACTTGTGTTGAAGTTGGTTTTTCTTACTCGATGCACAGTTCAGACTATTTAGAAAAATTTCACCATATTCCCTAGATCGGAAAAAATGTTGTTTAAAATCTAGTCGGCTCACTTGTGGCCTTACAACCCTCTAAATAGTCGTCTGTTGTCGTCAACTCTCGTCCTTGTCTGGGAGGAATTACTAGTTTTTAAACTGATCAGAGTTACTGTCAGGTCATGCCGCTTAACACATTGGTAGTACACTAAGATTTTATTCGCCTCAGTCAAAAATGTTTGTTTGTTTGTTTGTTTGTTTGATTACTGAACAGAATAAGACCAAGGCAATGAAAGTATTGCGGGCGCGACTGTACGATATAGAACGACAGAAAGCTGAATCAGAAAGAACTGAAGCGCGCAGAAAACAGGTCAGCTATTTACTTCGTTTTGAGAATGTTTAATTTGTCCGTTATCAAGAGAGAATCATGAGACAGATAGGGAAAAGCCCAGTACATCTAGCCCTTGGGATATGTGAATTTCACTAAAGTTGCAGTTGATTTCCGAAGAGGTCCGCAAACGTTTGTTCAGTGTTTTCAAGAAAGAATAATGGGAATTTATACTCTCTGGGTGCTGATATTCTGCATTGTTTGCTTTGGGGCAGTCGCGCGTGGACTTGATGACTTTTCAAAAAATATATTTAAATGTGCGGACGTCCCAGGAATTAAATTTCCGTTCAATTACAACCCTCTAAAAATAACTTAAGTGAAATTCACATATCCCAGCCAAAGCCTTAAGTTTCCCTCTCTGCCTCATTATTCTCTTTTGACCTTTTTTTATGAAAATACACCAATGAATCAATCCACAATAAAAAAATTAATTTAATGGATAGAAATGCTTTCACAATGAAATAACCAGAATAACGAACATGTATTACCGGTAACGGCGAAACTTGATGAATGTTGATGAACTTGATCGTAATGCTTCCTTGGTCAGCAACGTAGCACCGGGAGGGTGCATAAGCTCCTCTTCGCTCTGTATTTTCCAAATGTCTGGAAAAGTGTAATTCCACGTTTCTTTTTCTTGTATTAGATTGGTGGTGGAGAGCGCTCCGAGAAGATAAGAACTTACAATTTTCCACAGGTAAGTCTTTGACTTGTTGCAAGTTAATTCTCCCCCTATCATCAACTTGGAATATTTTCACATCCTTTTCTTAGCTCGAAGCTCTTTATTTTTCCGTATTAAAATTGGTTTGAGGTTCATTTTATACCTAAGGTTTACTTGAAACTGTCTAAACTAAAACTACGTCTTACAAATTTCTTCTTTTTCGGGTGTCTTCGTTGTGGTTCAATTTTATCCGTGGTTTAAATTTTATTTCCCTTTGTTTTAAGCTCATTATCATACATTACCATACCCAAAGACAAAGGGAAATAAAATTTAAACCAAGGGTAAAATTGAACCACCATACTTACAAGAAAACGATATTAGTTAACGGTTGTTATGCGGTCATGGCGGCTTTTCAGCGTTGTTTTCTCTTTCTTTTCCGTGTGGTACGACCCAAAGAATCCAAATTACCGGTAGTTCTTGAAACCTTCCGCACTGTTTAGTTGCTACTATTCTTAGTGTTTTTTTGCCCTCTCTAGTTAATTTAGTCTATCCTTGTATACTTTTTTATTTGGCAAGTAATTAGCAGGTTGGTTGTTGTTGTTTTTTATCTGTTTACAATCTAATCAGCGATCTAGTTCACACTGGAAACCAACTAAAAAAATGTCAGTTTACGATCGTTTCATAGTCTTGACGGCCATATACGTTTCTACGCGTTTGCAAACTTGAACAGACTCGTGAAGACATAGCTTAAGAAAAATATTCTTCCAAAGGTTTCTCTATTTGCGGAGAGTGGCCAACTTCTCTGCAATTATTAATCTATTTACTGTTTTTTTCCCCGCAGGGTCGAGTGACGGATCACAGGATAGGCTTGACCGAGCACTGCCTGGAACTTTTTCTTGAAGGAGAAGACAAACTAAATGATATGATCCTGGCCTTGCAGTCTCAACATGAAGCCGAGGCCTTACAAGAACTCACCACTCAATACACCGCTGGAGTTGATAAACACGTCAGATAACAGACGCTGTAGTTGCGAGTGTTTGTTTGGATTTGCACTAGTATATGATGTTTCATTGGAAACGGCAGAAGATGTATAGTAAAAGTATCCGGAGTTCTGGAAGAAACAAGCGGGAAATTTTCGCGATCTATTTTTCATAAGGAATTCAGCTTGTTTCACCGCCTTGCAAGGTTTAAAATCACTACATCGAACAAACTTGGGACTTATGTCCAATAGTAATGACAAAATAGTACTAGAATGAATGCCTCATAGAGCCTCAACTCAAAATTTACTGCCACCTTGTGAAGCATATGAACAAACATTAACACAGGAAATTACTCTTCAGTTTTATTTTTCGTGTAAATGGCAACGCGGCGTAAGCATTTCAGTCACAAACTGAAACGTTAAACCACTTCGTAGCATAGTAACAGTGTAACAACAGGCAGGAATGAACCTGAGTTTAATATTAGTGTCATTGAAATGTTCACGCTGTGAGATTGTTTTGTCCTTCAGCAATTCAGTTTCATTTTTAACAGAACAGTGAAAGAAAATAAGAGTGATGAAGAAAGAAAAATCAGAAAATTCCCAAATGCAGCTTAAAGGAGTGACCCAAAATATCTAGTTAGTGTGATAAATTATGGAAAGGTCTAACTCAGGTGCAAACTTTCATTTAAACGTTTGATGTAACAAAGTTTACAGCCATTATATTATACAAAATGGGATGATTGTGGTTGTTGAAAGACAGTAAAAAATAATTATGCCGATTTATATGCTGTATCTTTAACTTATCCGTTTTTTAGGTTTTTTCCTTCCTTTGTTTTTTTTATTTGTAAGAGAGTTCTACTTTCAGATATGTTTCGCTGCCGGACAGCTCGTAACCTGCCATGGAAACAAACAAAGTCCTTAAAAATGCGCCATCACCTGTTTCAATATACACACGTTGGTGTCGGTGTTTTATTTTAAGGTCTTTTGCCGATACTCAGCGAAAAATGAATTGATATCTCAATCCGACTCAATATAATAATTAATAACATATCAATATGGCAGGTATGTTTCTGATTCAGTCAAATGGAGTTTTAAGGTGACAAGTCTTTAGATGTTCCATGAATGATAATATTGAATACACATTAACAATTTCGTAAAAGCGCGTAGCTAATTTTTGTTCTTTTTGACTTTTACGATAATTTTGGCTCGATAATAAAACACCAGTTACTTATCAGTTTGCATTAAAATCAGCAAGATAGGGAATTTTTTTCAGGTCTTGTGAAATTATACACTTTTCTACTGCATGAAAATGCTTTAAATAATGTAGAACTATAGGAGATCCCCATTTTTGTTCCTACTGTTATTTTTGTGTCTCATTTATAGAAACAACAAATTAGTTCAGAGTTACTTGCAATATTAATCACATTGTCGTGAAAGGGCCCTAGGTGACTTGCAAAATTTTGTTTTAGACTACTAGATATTCTTTTTCCTATTCAATGATTACGACATTTTATGGAGACAACTGGATTAATAACCGGTCTAAAGGATCGACTCAATAAAGAATATGCAAATTTTGAGATTTCGCGAGCTTTAAGACTATAACGGCTTTGTATTGAATACTTTGATCCAGAACGCCGTCAATATATTACCGCTCGTGCTAGAAACCCCGTCCTCACTCAAGGCCGTGGTACGTTGGTTAAAGCAGTTAATGACACCTTCAAATGACTACTTCTCGACGTGTGTTATCTCAAAGAGGCCTTAAATTTGCATAAAGACAGACAGATAGACGAATTATTGGAACAACTGAATTAGCTTCAGCTGGTCGACTTTCAAGCTTCTACATCGGATGTACTTGTGGCATTTAAAACTTGATTTCCAGCATTTAATCTACCATGAAATACATTTTAACGGACAGTACAATTCATTAGCTCAAGAACAAACAAATCGCCAGTGAGAAAATACTCACGTTGTACGCACCATAACGGATTGAATCTGTCCTGACTCGACGTGTCGCAAAATTCTCTTTCAGGAAGATACACAAGACACATTTCAATGGATAAAATCAACGCAGCTCTTAATTGCTTTCTCGAAACTCACGCCGAAACCTTCGTTCTGCAACGGCGACAAAGATTGATGGAAATCGAAAAAGTAATCAATCCAATATTGTCAGAAGTGAAAAAAATCGACGAGAGATTTGACTTTGAAACGTTAAGTGGTAAAACCTTTTATATCGTTAAGTCGCCAAACCACTATGAAATATTACTTGTTTTTCAAGGGATAGACCCGGAAGAGCTGGCGATTGAGGATGGACAAACACCGCCTGGATTTTCATTGGTTAGGCTAACGGGGAAAAAGATGGTTTCCAAGTGGAAGTTTTGTAGTGGAAATAGTAATCCCAGCAAAGTTTATATGTCAGCAAAGATTGTTAAGAAAAAGATTTTTGAGCTTGTCAAACGAGTAGTGAACAGTGGATCTCTTCGAGAAGAGCATGAGGGAAAAATATGTATCGAAGTCGACGAATCACACGACGACGATGCAATTCTAATCTCAGTCAGCGGTCGCGATAAGGAGTCATACGGCCTCCATCTCATCCCGGCCATTCCTTGTCCAGGACGGTGGGTATTTTCTGCGCATGCGTGGGAAACCAAACAACCTGATGGGCTAAGCAAAAAACTAAAACAAGATATACTACAGAGGGGAGTACAACTCGTTGCCAGGACCTCTCCCAGCAAATCATCTTACCAATGGCAAATCGACTTTTCAGGTCCCATGAGAATGTTGATTGAACTGGACATGGGATGCCGGAAAACATGTCTTCTGATTCTTGAAATAATTTTGGAGGACATGCAATGTGGTAGAAGCGGATGCGATACATTTCACCTGGAAACCCTTGCGATACGTGTAACCCATCAACTGCCATTCAAGTCCTTCTGGGACGAAGGTAAACTTGCCAAACGATTTATGGATATCATAAAAGAACTGCAACGATGTTTGTTGGAGAATAACCTTGAGCACATTTTTCTTCCAAGCATTAATTTGCTTCGAGATGTCGATAAACTGGCGTTAGAAAACTGCAAAGAAGGTCTTCAGCAAATACTGCAAGATACTGAAAAGTATTTCCGTCAATTTGGACTCTTGAAGTACACTACTTCCTTGTAAGCGGAAGAAATGAGAAGACTGGTAGTAGTGCTAGAACGTGCAGTGTCAATAAATCAAAACAGTACAAACATGTGTGGCAAACGCACCAATTCAGATACTGCAATGAGTCAATCAAACATGATGGCGAATCCGATATAGGTGGTTCCTGGCTGTGAAAAACGGCCGACTTTCCTCCTGAATAGACCTCTATAGCTTGTATGTTTTGTTTTCCCAATAGAGGTCCCAGGGGAACTTGATCCTTTGTCTTTTCAAAAATTATACGTACATATGCAAGTAAATAAGACGAAATTTGAAAGAATCAGTTCCCTAGAGTATTATCACATGACCTGTATTTGGAAAACAAAATATACAAGCTAAAGAGGTCTATGATATAAAACAGCGCGGTTTCTTTATTTACTGGCTAGAACTTAAGACCAAAGGAAAGATATTATGTATTTTTAGCCTGTGAACATCACACCAATTGACACCAATGAGATTGCATGCTTGAGCCTTTTTTTTATGGTCACGGTGGATTTAGTAAGTAGATATCTGTACTGTACTGTAATTTCGAAATAGTATTTGTCGGTGCATATGCTCCAACGTTTATTTAGCATAACTCGGCTTTTACTTTGCATTTTTTACTTTGTATTTATCCCTGTACCTATTGTATCAAACTCGATTATTGCTTGCGTCTCCCTCAATGAGGACATTTATTAGAGAGATGAAGGCAAATTGAACCACGTGACCAAGTTTTCCCGTAACTTTCCATCTACTGTTTATTTTATCTACAAAGAAATACTTAGTTTCATGTCCAGTCAGTTTCATCCACAAAAATTATTTTGGATGAGTTTTTATAATTACCTGTTCATCTCCTAATTTTCAGAAATTTTCAACTTGAATCTCGCGTTTGACGATTGCCGTAAACAAACGTGATTCTTGTTCTTCGTGTTCACACTTATTGTAAGAATATTTCTTATTTGTCCTCAGCGAGACGGTAGAGAATGTAATTGCAGCCAGTCCATAAGCCCTTTATGGCGACACTGCACTTGTTTTAAATTATCCTACCTCTTTTGTCAAGAAATGACTCGTGAATTAAACAAACATACAGAAAAAAACAGCAGCGCGGAAAGTCCACGAAAGTAATTACAAATTAGAGGACTGGCAGTGAATTCAATGCATAATGAATCACGTGATGCATATGTAAACGAGGTGGCTTAACACAGTTTTGCGGGCGGTCAGCGGTAACTAGCGTGACGGCGCGTGTTTTAAAGTAGACAAACAAACATGGCGAAAAAAGCAATGGTACACAGAAGACGATTTGTCAAAATCTACTCATTAGAATTTTGTGAATATTTGGCAGAATTTTCACTTTTATCGTATTTTAAATAATGAGAACGAATCTTTTAGGGAAATCGAAAAAAGTTCGAGTTATCTCGAGTTTGAAGCAAATAACCGGAAATAAGGAAATAAGCAAATGGATGGAAAGGGAATGCAATTAAGCAACAAAGTATACGGGGATGGACACTGAATTTGAACAGGTCAGTGACAAAAGACAAAGACGAAGAATTGACACAGTTGTTTTGAAACAAATGTCTCGGACTTCAGTAAACGTTTTGTTTTTTTTGACTTGTCAGGCGATAGGGCGAGTTATCGAGGGTAAAATTATATAGAAATGATCTGAAGGGAAACAAAAATTACGTCGAGTTAACGGGAGGTTCGAGTTACCGAGGGTAAAATAACAGTAAATGTATGAAGGAAATCCAGAGGAAATCGACTTTGGTTCGAGTTAGCGAAGGTTCGAATGTAGAGCGTTTTCACATAACATCACGGCGGCCAAACAACCCTGTGGGAGTTGAACTACTTTCTTATGTACGCGGTTTTTTTGTTCCCATAAATTGGCTGCGTTTCTGTCCACGTGAGTGAAAACGCCCTATAGACACCAGTTTCGGCGAAGAAGAGACGACTTCCACTGAAAAAAATATTTGCGGGCAGCTAAAGTGGCCACCAAACAGGGCATGACGAGGAAAGATCGATCAGAGAGATTCAATTGGGACTGCGCTCTTCGGGTGTAATTACGACATAGACGATACACCAACAGTTTCTCGTGTATTTACAGACTCCTTTGTGCATACAGCTATTTCGAGAAAGGTTGTCGGAGAAAAATGTGTACGCGACAATCCCGAAAGGTAATATGGGATATGATCAATACACTGTTTCTGAAACTGTAGCTGTCGAACTTAGCTTTGTTGCTTTCCTTTGGCACTTTCAAACATGGTCCATGGCCTCTCGTACCATTTTTTCAAATTTCTTTGAAGAACAGTGAACTCAAAACCACCCACAATACCTTTCGGGATTGTCGCGTTCACTTTTTCCGACAACCTTCCTCGAAACAGCTGTATCTTCCAGAATCCCTCCATCGTTACGGGGAATCTGAAAACATGTTTTTTCACGTTGTTAGTGTTTTATTTCACACATAGTAAGGATACTGTGTACCAAGAAAAGATAAATTACTAAGTGTTTGAAAAATGCTTTTCACACAAGAATAAAAATAGACGTATGTCTCTAACGAGTTTCTGAAAACATTGAGCTGTTTGTCGCTTTCTGAGTTGCCTCGCGCCTCGCTGCCTGTGCCGTTCTCTCCTTCAAATTACGATAAAAACATTTCCGGAGTTTTAAAGTGACTTAGATAGGAGGTTTAATTTAACCTCGACAAGTTTCTCTTAGTCCATCTCTGTTCATCGCAGATTGCAATGAATTTTAGGGGAAAATGTAACGAAATTGAGGGAAATTCAGCTTACTATGAGAAAATTAATCAAATCACCCTTAGTCCTTCACATCAGAGAACTATTGAACCTTTCTTACAAATGATACCACAAAAATATTAAAAACGTGATAGGTGCGTACTTATTAGATAATATATCAATATTTAATAACCACCCTTAATTTCTGTTATCTGAATTTTAAAATTGTTTGCAAGTGATCAATTAACCAATGCCGTTATCGTTTGGACCACAAACGCATCATGTTTCCAAGCTACACACTAAATGTTTTGGCTTATTAGCGTGTTTCTTTTTTTTCTAATTCAAAGGAAGTATTTTCTCCTTGGCATCACGTCGACTGAATCGCGTTCGCTACAATTTCCCCAAATCCCCTTTATAGAGTAAAGTACAGAAACACTCGTTGTTCTTCAGATAATCAGTATTTAACTACACAAACCAGAGAACAAATTAAGGAGAAAGGTGAATAATTGGTGAGTGTAAATGGAGGCGTCTATTATCCACGATCCTTCACCAACTGATTCTGATCACTGGTTGAATGGATTTCTTCAACAAAATTGTGAAGAAGCACGGAAGCGGGTTCAAGAGGAAAGAAATATTTGGAACTTGTCAAATAATGAAAATTCATGCGAAGAATTGGACTTGTCGGCAATCTTCAATTTTACTAACGACGATGAATCAGGAGAATACGAGGATTCGTCTGGTGAAGTGGCCACAGAACCAATGATAGCTAACGATGGTGTATCGATTTATGACAATGAGCGACATATTGCGCAAGAAAACACGCCTCAACAGTTTAATAATCTTGTGGATCAATTAGGGACGCCGTCGTCAGAAGTGAAAATTCCAAACGAATCTCAATTCTCTAATTTCAGTCCACTCCCTGAGAGAAGTAAATCAGTCAACGATGCTGTATCGATTGATGCTGAAGACGAGCAAATGACGCAGGACAGTGGTCGTATGTCTTCGTCAAATCTAGTTACGGAGAGAAGCAGCAAAGTCGATTGGGATTTTCAAACCGAATTAGTGGAAGTTTCCAGTATGGGAATTGTGCATGCAAAGGAACAGCTCTCACAAGCAATAGACGAATTCTACTTGAATATAGTAGAGAAGGAACGTTTAAGTTTCAGACACACGATGAAGCAGACCGAAGAAACGGTCAACGAAGTCTTGGCAGAGGTAGAACGACTCGACAGCAGTTTCAAGTTGCGTAGAATGAGCGCTCATAGCTTTTATGAGATAAAGTCGAGGAGTGAAGTCGACATACTTGTTGTTCTTGAAAATGTGACCCTAAATGACTTTGTTATCGAGGATTTAAAAACACCTGCCGGATATGCACGGTTACGTTTGACGTCATCACCAAACATGGCACCATCGTCACCTGTTACGTCATCGAGTGGTCAGATACTTGAGTGGTGTACAGAAACACAGCCGGGCGAATTATATTTTTCGCCAAAAAAGTTGTGTAAAGCATTTGCAGCCCTAGTTTCCAAAGCAGCTGGGAGAATTCTAAAGAATGGATCCAGAGTAACACGGAAGCGAGTGTCTTTTTCTGACACAGAAGCTACCGTCGCCTTCACCGTCAATCTCATTCCTGCCGTGGTTTGTCCACAGAACTGGCCTCTTTGTGCTTATTGGCTTAGAAATTGCACCAAAAAGTGGCCAGAAGTGGAAGTCAAGAACAACATTATTCGAGGAGGGATGCATCTTATTGGCTTAGCAACAGGCAAAGATAACGACCCTTTGTGGAAAATAAACTTTTGCTCTGCTCGACGGCTTCTTTTTCAGTCTGATTGTGACGGCAAACAGAAATGTCTACGCATTTTGAAAGTTCTTCTGGAAAGAGATTTGTCGCGACCTAAAGGTCTTTTGCCGCTGCACCTGGAAAATATTATAATGTGGGCGAGTAGGAAGCACTGGAAAGAGGAAGATTGGGCCGAGAACATGATGGCCGAAAGATTTTTAGAGATGATAGTAGCTCTTCACAAATGCTTAAACAATCACGACTGTTACCATTTTTTCGTTCCAACGATTAATCTGTTTAACGAATTGAAACCCGAAGTTGTCAAAATACTAGCTACGAAAGTTAAAGATATCTTGCAGGATCCTTTGAAGTACCTTAAAAATTAAGTACAGAAAGAGGTATGGTTAACAACTTTTTGGTGCAAAGCAGTTTTAGTAAAGGTTTGGAAATGTCGCAGGAAGCTTCTGGATGACATATCGAGATCAAGAGGTCAAACTGAAGAGGATCATTTATAAATTCTATTATTAACTGATTGATAGATAGAACTAAACTTACAGCATCTCAGTCCAAGTAGTACCACAAAGGATGCAGGAGAAAATAAGAGGAAAGACTGCTATAATTAGGGCAAAACTAGACTCTTTTCGCAAATCACTGGCAAACTCTAGAATACAGTAAGATAAATGGCACTTAAAGTGGATGGGAGGTCCTAGCTCATGATAACGCTGGGGGTAATTCTTTACACGTATGCATAGCTAGAAATCAGCAGTAGTGCACCCTTTAGCAGCCATGCAGGAACTATACGAACAGATGTTACCGACCAAATTATATAGCCAAGGTAAAACGATGAGAGTAAATAGAACTAAATAAATAGTACAGGACATTCTGGCAGGAAAAAGGACACTCATTCAAGCTAAGTAGATCGCCAGGTACAATGTAGTCCTTAGTGTCCTGTCCTTTGAACTACTTAGAGACCTACGATCTTATTTCAAAAGTGCAGGCACGGTATTCAAAGACCCAGCCCAAACTACTGTATGAGAGTGAATGTGCGAAGGCATTATGGGACAGCACCGAGGTGAGGGCTAACAGAACTGATGCCAGGATTACTGACAAAAGCCGAAGCGAGTGGATTAATAACGATTAAGCAAAACCATGGAAAAGACACAGAAATTTAGATGGGATTTAAAGAGGAAAATCCTGGCTACCTAGCAAAACAATATACCACTATCGCTAACGTATGCTGGCCTAACAGGGCCATAGAGTTTTTTGGTATATTGTCTTTTCTTTTCTTCCCCCCTTTTTTTCAAAATTTCTTTCTCTGTCCATTTTTCTTTTACTTTTTAAACTTTCCTTTGTTTGTTAGGTTTTTTAAAATTTATTTTTACTTTTTTCAAAAAATATTTCAGTTTACTTTTCATTTCAATTTGCTTTTCAGTATATTATTTTTGAGGCAAAATTTCAACTTAAAAACAGGTGGAGTGCCATTAAAAATTGCGCACATGGAAGATGGAGACTGCGGCGGATGCACAATGCCTATATCTAAAAGCTAATTTTTCTTTCAACAGGGTTTGATTACAAAATGCGACTTCGGCATGATATCAAGAAAACCAATAAATTTATAGACTAAATGTCGCTAATTTAAACTTCTAATTTGTATAAAGGTATGATGAAAACATTCACAGTACTTCAATAGCTGTTCAGAATGTGAATATCGTCAAATTGAAAAACTGATACTTCAAAGTTTTGTTTTCTTATAACATGGGATAACGAGGGAATAGAATTGATATAGCCCTCGTAGGAGGCGGTTTTGTCTGTGTTTTTCGTTCGTGTTTCGTAAAGTAAGAAGTTAAATGAAAAAGTAATAGGGGATGGGTGAGAGAAAAAAGGCAGAGAGAACAACTGTCTCTCCTCTCTCCCTTGCCTCTTCCCCATCGTTTTCTCGTTTGATTTCGGCTCAGTTTTCTCGCGGCTGTATCCCTTGCTTTACGAAACACAAACGAAAAATCGCATGCTTGGCACGCTCCTACATATAAATGACTGATAGCTGAGAATCAGAAAAAGAAACAAATCATCTGAGCAACTTAAACAAAGCAACATAACACACACCATGCTGAAAACTAGTTTTTATTACAAATCATAACAATATAGATCTACAAGAAATACTTTTTTGCTGTTAAACTACAAGACGGTGCAAACAGAGTAATTAGAAAACTATCCGCTGTGAGGACCCAGAAATTAACTGGGCACTCCAGAGGATGATTTTTTTGATCATATTCTGATCAAACTAAAGAGAATTACTCTTAAGGCCCATTTTCCTACAACTGCCGAGAGCTTTTCATAGTTCCCTCACCATTAACCTCCTAAGAGACTTGTCAACATCAGAGAATCAGGCTTAGAATTGTTCTTATTTGTTTTTCAAATCCACCATAATACATTCTGTTTGCCCCCACACTTTGCATAAACTATGTTTTCCAAATGCTCCTGGCTCCTGACTGCATATGAAAACAATAACTTATGTACACTTTATTATTATTATTTTTTTTGGGGGGGGTGGTTGGAAGGGCACAGAGCGAGTATTACGGGAGATTTGAAACTAGTCAATAAAGGTCCTTCCATAATTACAAATTAAAATCAAACAAACAAACAAACAATATTCAAAATAAAGCTAAACAGAGTAATATTAGCTCAACGTTAAGGAAAAAGTATAGGTTGGTCAATAGGTTGGTAACGCTCTCTAGGAATACAGGGCAACTGACCACATCTTAACAAGCTTTTTGATAACATGGCGGTAAACAAAGTTTTCCTCCGTCTAACAGACTTCAACAGACAGGTAGGGAAGGCAGAGAGGTTATTCTTACGATATGGACCAAAAACGGATGCAGCAGTCATGTCCAACGCTGACTAAGTTGTTACTGTCCAGCCACGAGACACGGGATATGACGCTTTGAGGGTGGGCACCTAAAATACCGCACAAGATAACAGTTTCTAAAACGTTTAACTGCAAGCTTGTAACATTTATTATTATAAATTGTACGCACTATTTGTCCTCTCATTGTCTACGAGCCTACAGTTAAGTTAGGAAATCAGTGCAACCTAAAGATTATGTAGTCCTCTGTCCGCAGATAACTGACTAATCGGTAGTTTGCGCGCACAATACATGTTTTGAAGAACATTGTCAAACTGTGTTCCGTGCAACGGTGTGTGGGTAGTTCTTGTTCTTCAAAAAGTGTATGATACAAAAATTATTAGGTTCAGTATTTTATGACACTCCGAATAATCAAATTATTGAATGAGGTCGAGTATGATGTGAAGAATTATGCAGATCTCGGAGGGTGTTATCCACCGAGGATGAAGGAGGAGATGGATAACATCCTCCGAGATCTGCGTTATTCACATCACACGAAAGCCGAATTCGATAATAATTAACAATTATTGGACGAGGTTGAGCAAAATATCGTCATTTGTCTGTGGCGAGCAGATCAATTATTTGCCGAAGACGAAGGCTGAGGCAAATAATTGATCTGCGAGACACACTGACAAATCACGATATTTTGCGATAACCGAGTTCGATCACCGAGTTTGTTTTTTTTAATGAATATCGTCGGGAGGCGAAGCGATCTGCCATTTTCACGCAAGAGCGATCGCAAGAAGGAGAAAAGCACGGTTTCCTTTACGCATGAGCAGAATATTACTTGCAGCCAAACACTTAAGCCAAACACAGTTGGACGGCATTGCGCATGAGCAGACCATTATTTGTAAGCGGTTATTTGCAGGTCACGTGATGGGCTCTCGGCCAATGAAAAGAAAGAAAAATTTGCTTCGAATGATAATTGCTTTATTTAATATTCATTCAAATTCAAATTATTTCTCAGTTCTTAACAAGATTACCTCCACGGGGACGTTCTTCAAAACTTTGGCCTATTTCTCAGCACGGTTTCAAAATATAAAACAGATGGGTTTTTTGCAGATACCATCCATTGAGCAATATGTTTTGCGTATTTCCGTATTCTTGTATTTCTTCCGTTAGGTTTTGGTCGGAATTTCAGTAGCCTGCGAAAACATCCGTTTCTCCTCGCTCTTCGCCGCTGGGGACGTTTCGCGAGCAGGAACGTCTGCGACTCAGCGACAGAAATTCCATACTGATGACGTAAAATATGTCCAGAATCCGGTCAGAAGCCCTGATTGGTCGACGGAGTAGTTACATTGTTTTAGCTATTGTTTACGAATGACAGACAAAAGACAAAAGGCCACAAAGGTCAAATGTAAACGCGATGAATCTCTAACAAAACAGTCAATATTTGTGGAATATAGTCTTCTCTACAACAAGCATTTGAGTTTTGCTGGAGCTCGTTCGCAGATGAACACAACACTTTACCAAAATCGACCAGGAGAAACCTAAAATTGAATAAATTTACATTTGGAACCCCACGACTACCGGATTTATTAAGTAAACATTGATTTGCGTCATCAGTATGGAATTTCTGTCGCTGAGTCGCAGACGTTCCTCCGCGCGAAACGTCCCCACCGGCGAAGAGCGAGGAGAAACGGATGTTTTCGCAGGCTAGAATTTCAGTTATTTCGTCTTCGAAAAGCCGTGAACGCCTTTTTTAGAATAAACAGCTTTGCGGCCGCGCCTGGAAGCGAGGTTGATCGATGGTCTATTACCCACGCAGCCTCGTTTCCAGGCCAACATACCATCGATGAAACTCGTTTTCAAACAAATATACCAATTGATGGTATATTGCTAGCATCTTCCAAATTTGGGCAACGACGGTTGGTTGCGAAGAATTAGCCGGGAGATTTCGATTTTGATTGTTACGAATATCACAAAAACCTCATCCAATAATTGTTTAATATAAGTCTACAAATACTGGCCATTCTAGCAGTAATAAACACTTTCGAATAAAGAATTTTCAGAAAAAATTCGTTCGTCTTCGTAATCAGAGACTATGAATACAACAACCACAATAAATATTAAGAAAAATAGCTTCCTTAGCCTGAAAAAAACAACAACAACAACGAAAGAAACAATAGAAACGAGCTTCCTGACTGACTGACTGATTTCTAAGATTTTTGTTTGTTGTTGTCCAGTTTAACTAGATTTAGTCAGAAACTATATATTGCAAAACGTTAATCAAAAGTCAGGCCAAAATTAAACTGTTTGGTATCCCGTAGAGGACTAACTAAACTAAACTGTTTAAAAGCAACTGGCAAATCATTGCTGAACTCACTAATTGCTAAGTCCTGGGCCTCATTAAAATTCCGCACATTCAGTGCCACCTGCCTTAGATCTACATTCTTAAAGTTGTTTCTTTGAGGGACTCTGATCTTGCAAATATGTCTGTTATAGATGTTGCAAGATGATATATGTAAATGTTAGAAGTCACGTTTTGATGTGAAAATGTAACTTACAATTGGCAAATATCAGAATGTACTCAATGAAGAGTCAATCAAGAAGGAGAACGAAAGAAAAACACCACCAGTCTCTAAAAACTGTATCAATCCATCTTCTATTTTCCACATATGGCAGTAGGCAAGATACAGGCGTTTCTTGAAAATTGTTTTCAAAGTATGGGCTAAATGAGTGCCGCTGTCACATATGACTCACCTTTTATTTGAATCTTTTTGTTTGGGTTTTCCAAGTTGTAAACGAGTACGTTTGTGTCCAATGCACCACTTGCAATATAGCGGGAGTCTGGTGACCAAGCCAAACAGGTTACTCGTGCCACATGTCCATCAAATTTGGTAGTGTGCTACAAGAAAACACATGACAAGTTAGGTAAATGATGTCACATTTAAACTAGTTACAAAGGCTGATTACGCCTATTATAGCAGCGATGAAAAACGAGCATTTTACAAAGAGCAAATCCATGAAAAACGAATCATTAACGAAACCCTTCTACCCTCTACTTTCCCTCCGCAAAACTATACCGCGAAACGAAAACAGGGCCCTCATGAAAACAGTTAAAAATGGATGACAACTGGTAAATATGGCATAGGTGTGCTGCTTAACTTCAGCTCTCCATTCCTTACATATAATTTGGCTTATTCCTAGAAATCCAAAGACTCATTCATTTTCAAGGAAAGATACAGTTTCTTACATTTGGTTGAGAAGACTTGTACAATTAACGGTTATTAATCAAACAATATGAACAGTTATGTAGAGATCCCGGAGGGTGTTCATCCACTGAGGCTAAACACAAACATTTCTCCGTTGCCCAGTGCAAGTTTTGTTTTAAAATCATTATCATACACTACTATACCCGAAAACAAAAACAAAAAAAAGCTTTTAACCAAGGAAAGAACCGAACCACCGCATAACCACCGCTATTTTTGCGTATCTGACTTAGTATTTGCAGCACTGGTCTAAAGCTTGCTTTGTACTACTGAGTCAATACAATGAGCAGTGAAAACATTCGATACCTTCAGAGAGATCGATAACAAAGCAAAGCAGTATACATACGCCGCTTTGATTACACTGGGACGTTAGCAATGGAAGCTTAAGAGAAGCAGAAACGAATAGGTGGAAAAAGAACTCTTCCTTTCCTTCCTTTTTTATTCATTACTATTCAGCAAGAAATACCTCATAATCAGTTGTGCGAAACACATTTACACGTCGATTATCGTCAGCAGAAGCCAAATAAGCACCATCAGGAGAGTAAGCCAAGTCACAAATAGCAGTGACATGTGACAATGATGAACTTGTCTTCTTCACCAGCGTGTCATTGTCTAGCGTATATACGTATATTTCGCTCTGCCAAAAAATGCATAAATACACAAATAAATAAGAAAATAAGTAGATATATACATAAATATATGTCTGACTACATTTGCTTGCAAATAGTACCAGTGGCGTGTTTCTTCAACAGTTTGACACTAAGCAGGTAAAAGTCTTCAGTTAAGGTCTTAAACAATAAGCCAGGTTAAAAGCACGACTTATCCAGACCGTTTTTCCTTTGTCACACGTTACTACAAGTTTAAACCGTGCCAGTTCTTATGAACGAGATACTCCAGCAGCGTTACATGACCGACTGTATAGAATCGACAGCAGATGTTGACGAAGGCCCGGTCACACATATCCATTTTATATATATATTTAGTATATACACACTCAGTGATCTTGGTAAGTCAAGCAATCTGATTGGTTAGCTATCTCGGACTATGACGTTATATTCACCGCGCTAGGCGGTGAATATAAAGCAGAACAAAATCGCTGACGTGAACTGGGTGTTTTGCCAAGTTTCATTGTAAAGCCTTTTTGAAAATACACGAATATCCAAGTGCTGATGACTTTGAAGGCAAGAAAAGACTTCATGGTGTTAAAACAGCGTGATTTATTGTGAAGTGGTTTACTGTAGCTGACTTTTTGTACGCTCGAAGCTATGTTTACCACTACGGAGAAAAACGAGGTCGCTTTGTCACTGTTTTGTGATTTCGGGATTTTCTTATAAGTTAATTTACGGAGAAAAGAGGAAGGCAAATGTTTTCGAAAATTGTACGTGCCAGCAAGTTAACAAGGCAAAGAACTTTGGAGATAAACAACGCACACCTTGAGTAGCCGCTGTTGACAGCATTTGCAAGAAGCGACAAAGAAACCTTTCCCATTCACGGTGAGTTGACAGAAACAAATAAAGCTCTACTTTTCTTCTCAGGATTGGGTAGTAATTTAAATTTTCGGCGTTTTCTTTTACACCGTCAATGCTAAAGCATATATTTTTTAATATATTTTTTGAATCCGCAACTTTTTTTCTACGGATTCGGCTCCGTCCACACGTATCCGGCGAATCCGGCATACGAATCCGCAACTTTTTATTTTATTTTTTTTTTATTATCCGGTGACGTAACAAGATCGAGCCCTGTATTTAAGATGGCAACCTCGACGCATGCTCTGTTGCCAATATTCCCAGAGGAGTCCTGAGTACTAGAGTGAATCCAGATAAGTGTGGGATACGTGTGGACGTGGAATTTTTTTAATCGACAAAGAAAAAGTTGCGGAATCACAAATATCCGGATACGTGTGTGTGGACGGAGCCTCAAAAGATCGCAGGGAATTTCTGAGGCGACAATCATGAGTGTCAACCGGGTGACAACCTCGTCCTTAGAGTTCTCGGTTCACAAGGTTGCACGAGTGAATGCCCACCCAACGCATAGGTTTGAATTTGTGGAATGGTTACGAAGCCCGTCAGACCCCTTTGTTATATGTTCCTGTCAATTTGAAGGTGCACAGCATTCAATAGCATTCCGGCCAAGAATTTTGATCTAATTGACCGATTAGCACGTCCCATTAACTTATTCCGTCACAATTTGCCAACAGAAAAGATAAGGATTAAGTACCGTTAGGGAGCTTCCAACATAAACTGCAGCACTGTTGTGTTTATTTTGATGTTTTCCGCCTTTCATAACCAGTCTCCTCTACTAACTATGCCCAAAGTAAACTATGATTGCTGTGCACTTCGACAATAACGACAATATGTCGTTTTCATATCTGACAGCGAAGTCTCTCGAGAAAAGTGAGTCAGTGACACATATGCATATTACAGCGCCAACAACAACTCATCAGATACCCTTCGATTATCCACGAGTTAAAAATAATGGCGAAAGAAGCAGAATTCTCATCTAAAAGAAAACAAATAAATAAATAAATAAATAAGGGCAGCAATACCGTCTTTCCTCCCACTGCAACTTCTGTTTGACCGGGGTGAACAGCTGCACACTGAGGCTCAAATTCGACAGGAAGAGAAAACACTGGATTGCCATCACGTAACACAGCGATCTGTTGGCAGTAGACAAGTTTGTCAGAAAAATATCCCACAACCGAGCAAACACTTTCCCTGCCGGGAAACCTTGATTCTTACCAGGCCCCATATAAACAACCGTTTCAAAAGAGAAAGTTGTAGGTAACCCCCGGCTCAGACGTTTATTCAGGAGTGGTATAATAAACTGATTAAATGGTGGTCAAGAGGTTTGAGGCTTGGGTCAAAAGTGTGTTCGGAAAATATGATTGAAATATCTCTCTCTATACCAAGAACAGGATGAAATCAGATAATGCCCTCGCTCCTCGACCTTCTTAAAAATAATGACCAAGCGCGTATTTTTTAAGAAGGCCCTGGAGCTCAGCCATTATCCTATATGTAATGAGCAGTCATTCGAAAGGTGACGAGCCCGTTACCAACTCATCAGTTTTTCAAGATTTTCAGAAAAATGTTCACGTGAAAAATCACGTTTCTGTCTGAATAGATGGTACAACTTTAAAATGTTCAGGACGATAAGGTCCTTTTGCATATCAACTTTTAATTCAGTTCCTTCCTCATTGCCAACGTCATAGCCAACAAAACATATTTCCAAGGTAAACTTCAGTGAACAACAATTGATAAAATAGAGTGGTCGCAAGAATTAAGGACATATTCACACGATGTATTACATAATACTAGTGACCGTAAGATACATAGTTTCTGCCTACTGGTACGGGTAAGCCCGGACGCAGTTGTGTAAAAAGAGAACAAGATTTTCCAGATGAGGGATCATCGTTCTTCCGGGTAGCATATCTGTTTCTCTAATTTCGTATGAGAAAGAACAAATCAGGTTGTTGCAATTTCCGTGAATAATGACCTCTGATTGGATGAAATTACGTGGGAGTCACGCCATACATAGGAGTTACGTCACTTACTGCAAAACAGGTTTGCAGTGGGCCGGTAAAACGCAAAACATGTAAAGATTTCTTGCAAAAAGATGACGTACTCTCGAGTTTTATCTGTACTTTTAAGGAGCAAACTTCTTGTACCTTATCCCATGGCATTTTTTGGTCATTTTATGGTGGTCGAAGTATCCAAAAAAGAGGAAAAACAAGAAAAAATTTCACCACTTTTATGAGGTTTTTCTAAAGGAAATATTTGCATCATGTGCCACCTATCACTTGGTCATGGCGGAAGGTAGCTCTTAAAGCAGTCACTGACAAAAAATGGTTTAAACGCTTACTTCTTTTAAGCAAGCAGCAATTGTCAGGCCATCTTTGCCACAGGCGATACCTGTTGGCTGACTTGCCATCCCTGCAAAGTGAGACCTGAAAACAACAAAGAGTCTGAGAGAGAGTAGTTTTTAAGCCTAGTTCTTATGTATTACCAACCTGTTTGATATTCATAACTATATCGCATATGACGTAATTGAACATGGTATTTAAATGGCACAAGAGCGATGGAAAAGACGAAAACGTATCACCCTAAGGCTTAAGTGTAAAACAAGTCTAAAATTAGGAAGGTAAAACTTCGGTGCCAAATCAGGCACACTCACCTATATTCCAGAGTCTGTACTGACGTCAGTCTCACTGTGTCATCCATACTACATGTCACCAAAGTATCATCGCTCAGAACCATATCTGTAACCTGATTTTTGTGTCCTTGGCCTTTGAATACCTCGGCATTCCCAGAGGCTACCTTCCATTGACCTACAGAGTGTTAAGTATTGATCTCATCTCGTCCCTTCGTTTTCCACTAACACGGGCGAAAAATGAACAAGTATCCTGCCTCCCACCCCCGACACACAAGCTTAGTTTTTACGCCTGAATATGACAAACCTGAATTATATTATATTTACCAACCAGCAGAAATCTGACCGGGGTAATGTGAGCTTCCGCACTCTGATTGCCTCACAGTTGCAGCTAAGTAAAAAAGGCCCGGTTTTGCAGGACATAACTTAAACTAATGTCCACTACAGGGGTACCCTTATGGACGACTAGTGAAGAACTCTTCTTTTGAAATAACTCAAGTAATGGTCCAGATAAGAAGGAAAGTACCAAAGCGCAGTGAACACGTCAGAATGCAAAAAGGTGCTAATTTTACTATTGTCTCTACTATGGTTCTGATTGGTTTAAACGTCAAATTTTACGAAATCTTCGCAAAGCAACACGTACATTAATCCCTTTTTTTCTATCCAACTTCCTTATAACAAAATCTCGTCTGAGTCTAAGTAACACAGAAATCGTATGTGCGGATCATGTAAAATTGTGAACATTTCTTGGCCATTGTTTGCAACTCTTGTGATTGGTCGAAATGTTTTAACACAAAAATACACCTTTTAAAAGTGGAGTTTAAATACATTTTCTTTCGTAAACTGCCTTTTTGTAGGTTTATGCATTCTCTGCGTAAAAATGAAAACATTTCTATGTGAGGAAAGCGTATTGTGCCACAACAAAACAAATTGCTTCCCTTCTTACCTGGATCATTACTTAAACGAGAAAAAAATTTTAAAAACTGGAAAAACTAATTGGTTTGATAGTACTGGAAATTTTGAAAATTGTTGTCGGTCTCTGCTTATTACCGCGATGCCGATGCAAGTTTCCACAGCCCAAAAAACCTAACCAGCTATGTGCTGCCTAACAGGGAAGTGTCAACAATAAAACTGTTTTTCTGGACTGTATTTATCCACAAAAACCCCCAAATATTGAATGTAAAATGTACTGAAAAATATACACAACCTAGATGTTTTAATGGAATAATCTTAAAACTGAATAAACTTTAAGGATACAAATACGCGTATCAAAGCTTCCAGTATATAGAGTAGAGCCATCTTTTGATGAGGCAAGGGACAAAATATTTTTGTTATGACCCTTGAGAGAGAAGAAATCACGAGTTAGTAAATTCTGGACAGGGACACGCTGCAGTGACTTCAATATTTACCTCTCATATACAGCACACAACATAATTATTAATTGGTCATAAGGACTTATTTTATTCACCCATGCAAAAAAAGGTGTTGAGCATAATTGATTGATTAATTATTTATAGGGTCAACAGGAAGAAAAAAATATTACCCTTGACGGAAACAAGAACAGAAACTATTTTTTACAAGAATCTTTGCAACTAATGCTTTCGTTGAGCTATTTTTCGAGTGTATGCTAATTCACTTACTTTAATAATCCTCTTGGGACAAGATGGATTGTTAATATCCAAATAGTTGATTTGTCCTGAAAGGGAGACAGTGAGAAGGTAATCTTGTTGCCAAAGACATCCAAGCTGTTGATCCTCAAGTGCATTTCCAAATGTGAACTCACTGAAAAAGCATTAGTGATCAAAATGAATAACTTCAACATCAATAGTCATTATGTTTCCTGGTCCACATTAACAGGCTCTAAATATTATGTCGATTGATTTAACAGAAAATAGGACAAGACAAATGTAAACAGTGATGAGGTGTGCTGTCAGACAGGAAAACAAATCAATGAATAAGCTGGTAAATGACGATACATCTTTCAATTTTAAAATCATGTATTTTCAAAGCATTCTCTTTCTGTCATTATAGAGTCTTTGCAATACAGAATTGCCTATGTTGCAGAGGAAGAGTTTACACGCCCAGACGCCAGTGTATGTCACAACCCTAACTTTCCTGATCACTAAGAGACGATACAAAGGCCGTGTGAAATTAGCAAAAAACTGAAAGTCATATTCCACAAACACGTCATCAGCTGTGGTTACACTTGACCTTTTCCCCAAAGCCCCCCCTGACGAAATAGCTTTAATTGGGTTTGCTCTGGGTTTTCATCATTCTCATGTTTGCAGTAACACACCTATAAATTGCCCAAGGTAAAGAAAAAACTTGAACCGAGTTTCAGAGTAAACGTTATTGTAAACATTGAAGGCCTATATACATTGCAAATCGTCAACATTTTGGACCATTCTTACACTTTTACATCAATTAAGCTTAGCAAGAGCAATTCAGCCCTTTATTCTAAAACGTGATTTGTGCTTAAAAGAAAGGCAAATTCTTGCTCAAACGTCAGAGTACCGGTTTACATAAATCGTTCCAACGGCTTCATAAAGAAAGCACTTTTGAACACCGATGTAAAGAAAACTTGCGGGTGTTTCAAGCTGCTTTTAAATTTATCTAATGCAAAAACATTCACAGCAGCACTCAATGCATTTAAAGTTTTTTAACTTTGACTCCAGTTTTGCATAGAATTTGATGCCAAGACGAACATAGGTAGTAAACAACAAGTGATTATATCTACTGTTTGGTAAAGTGGAACCCTGATGTAACGAAAGGCCAAGGGACTGGCAATACATGTTCACTACAACCAGGTTTCCAGGTACTTTTGCATATATTTTTACCATTACTTGGGTAAAGAAGATCGTTCGTTGTACCGAGGACATCGTTACATAGAGGTTCGTTATGTCGAGGTTCCACTGCACATTTGACCTTCTCTTGATTGGTTGAGTTGCTTTGGGTTCTTATTAATCCATAGAACCCATAGAACTTACCTCGCGAACTGTTATGCGTAATTCTTTTGTTCTTTTTGACGTATCCATGGAAATTTCCCCAAGGCAATTTTACCTTGGGAAAATTGGTCACACACAAAAAGTTGCTTCAGTGTGGACAACAGCTACTTGCACATGGGTAACATGGCCAGCATAACTGAAACTATTGATTCATGGACTAATACTCAAATTTCTTTAAAAAGGAGAAGGCCAAATCTGAACTAGTTGTAAAGGCAACAACGGGGTGGGGCTACTACCATTTTGTAAATGATACAGAAAAGACACTACACTCATTCTTATCATTTGATTACTTGGGAAAGAACTCACGTAGAGACAGTGTTGGCTGCGATGTCCCAGATTTTTGCAGTCTTGTCAGCAGAAGCACTGAGGAGAGACTTGCTGTCCGCACTCCATGACAACTGAAAGAAAAAACACAACATAATGTCGTGGAAACAAAAATATGAAAAAAAGTCAGTTTCATAGTTTTTAACCTTTCTTTACAAGTTGGATTCTGTATAAGTTTAGATTCCAATTAACTGGAACTAAAAGATGGCTGCCGCACAGGTTGTTGAAACATCAGTCATTGTCAGCAACAGTCGTATTCAGGACTCCACTCACCTGCATGATCATATGCCACCTTCTTATCAACTTACATTATATTTAATCACATACTCACGCCATATACTCCTCCTTTGTGAGCTTTTCCACCTCCTAAGGTGCAAGTTTCCTCTCCAGTTTTGCCATTATAGAGAAAAATCTGAAAAATACATTGTTAAGGGTCTTTCATTACAAAGCAACAACTATGGAGCTAAAGAAGCTGACCAAACATTAAAGATTTTCATTTCTTCAATGGCGTGGCCACATAAAGCTACATAAGTAAGAAAATTTGCTTATCTATTTATCTCTGCGAGAATTTTGTCACATGACCAAACATCGGCCTGTTCACACAACAGGGATAAAAATGTGAAATGTCACACCTGCTACATACTGTGGATGCCTTAAGAAAGGAGGGGGAAAGAGTTATGGAGTCTTGTGTTTAACTTTATATTGTACACCCATATTGTGGCCAATTGACAGCAGTCAAAACAGGGTATCCATAGAAAACAAACATGAGACTATATTGTGTGCTCAGGCATACAATGCAACAAGGATTTTTAGAAGTACTCCGCTAAAGCAGTTGGTAGCTACAACTGAGTCTTATTACAATGAACTACATAATTCAATGAGTAACCATCACCTGGCCATCTGCACCCCCAGAAACAAAGTGTTCACCATCTGGAGAATACTTCACACAGTTAACAAAGTTGGTATGACTCTGTTGAGAACAAAAAACAAAAAATGAATACATTCAATTTCCATTACTGGTTAAGATAAAAACACCTTGAAACAATTCAAGACAGTTCAACACAGTTCAGTTCAATTCAAGACACAGTTTCAAAGAGCAAGGGTGGGCAAAAATGATGACCCCAAAAATGAACAATGATTATTAATCAATTATGTTCAGGGGCGGATCTAGGGGGAGGGTGCAGGGGGTGTGCACCCTCCTCTGAGATGACCTGCAGTTTTCTAATACTGAACTGGTATTATGCAAAAAAAAACTATGTGGTTTATTGGTGTTGAAGTAGAGCAAGAGACGAGTGCACCCCTCCTAAAAAAAATCCTGGATCCACCCCCGATGTTTTGGTAGTTTCCAAATCAACTAAGGTAAGAGTCCCAACTTGCCAGAGGAAGACTAGTTGGCTATGTACACATGAGACTACCATGAACAAATCCAGTGCGGGTGATCGGGTGGGGATTAAACTTGGGGCCTTCATATTGTAATTTCAACACTCTTAACTGCTCAGCCACACTGCCTCCATAGTTTCAGGTTATCTGGGTAATTATAATATAGTAATCAATGAAGGTTTGGTGGTGACTGACTTTTACAGAATGAGAATAGACTGAAAGACTTGTTTATTGACACCTTTTGCAGCTTAGAGCTGAATTGCAGGTACAGGTCAGTTACATAAATATCACATAATTAGAACGCTAAACTGTAGTATACTTAACAGTTACGAAATTCGTGAAACTATCAGTATTAGATCGTAGGGTGGTAAAGGGCTCGAAATTGCAACTGATATGGTCACCAATGTGACTAACATTTTCTCCTTGGCGACTAAAATTTTTGGTTTAGTCCCCACTTTGGCAACCAAATTTGTCTATGATTTAGATTTAAATTAAAAGAGTAAAGTGAAAACAAACATTTTATCTTATCTTGCTTTGCTTTCGTCATAATAAATGTGCCAAATCGCATGAACAAAGCCAGTTTACCTCCAAATTTATATGGACTTCTGTTGGCGATACTTTCAAACAATCAAATCTGATGGATTGGGCCATACTATGAGCCTCGTCATTTACATTATACAAAACTGGCAACTAAAAATTGGCATCTGGTGACTATAATTCTCCAGTTGGTTGCCAAAAGGTGACCTGAGGATATTTCTAATTTCGGGCGCTGTGGTAAATGTCATTGATCAATTTGAATGTGTATACAGTAAGCCATAGGTGAGTGAACAATTATTCTGGTATGAATTAAAGGGAAGATTGGGTTGTCAGGACTAACTCTCAAAATTGACACAAGCATCTTCACAATGTTGCTTTAAGCTCTCGATCCCTGCCTTAGCTAGTGCATCTTTGTACGAAGTAAAGGAACAGATAATGGAGAAGGTGCACTTCTGGATTTTCTCCATGTCAGTGGTGAGACAATTGGGGAGATTAGCAGGGGCGGATCTAGGCGGAGGGTGCAGGGGGTGCGCACCCCCCCCCCCCCTTGAGATGACCTGCGGTTTTCTTATACAACTGGTATTCTGCAAAAAAAAAAACTATGTGGTTTATTGGTGTTGAAGTAGAGCCAGAGACGAGTGCACCCCCTCCTAAAAAAAATCCTGGATCCGCCCCTGATTAGCTAATGCAGTGGCTGCATACTCAAGCACAGATCTGATGTGCGAACAGTAGACAATAATAAGATCATCAAGATGGACTCCACTCTTCCTAAGATTTCTTAGTGAGTAGAGCCTTCTGCTGGCTTTCTTAATAACACAATTGAAGTGAACAGCCCATGATAGATCTTTGGTAATGTGAGCACCAAGCAATTTGAATGAATTAACGGACTCGCTGTATGTGCTGCTAGTGGCAATGGGCTGCCACACACAACTGTTACAGCAAAGAAAGTCAAAAATTTCAGTTCACTTGTCTTAAATTGATAGTTAATTAATGCATAAAACCATTGAGCACTTTGTGTAAATAACCTTTAAATTCTCTGAGTTATGATTCATAATCTGTCTTGGACAACCAAAAATCAGGTTTCAGTAACACAAACTACTCGACATTATTCTGCTTAACAACACACTCCAACTTGTCAATCTTACGGCCAAAGACCAAATAATACAAACAAGATTTAAAGGGATTAAAGCACGAGTCCTCGCAGCATTGGATTGGCATTCCTGGTCACTTAAAAACAGTGGGGCACCTATGGTGGTAATGGCTGGAATGCAGTTAAAACTATGATTTCGACCACCACGTTTAGATCTAAATGGTTTTCTTATTCCCAAATCGCCAAGTTTTTGCCAGAGAGACTCATCCCGACGTTGTTTAGGTTGTGATCTCCTACAGTACAGCCCAAAAATAATGCTCGTGCAAGAAGTGGCACAAGAAGTTGCTGTACCGCAAGAACATGCAAGCCACCACAAGTGCCACATTTCTGCAGTTTACCCCCAAGAACTTTGGAATGCAAGAAGTAAAAAAAAATTCTAACTCTTTTGTCAAACGTACTACAATCGTCCCTTATTTCTTATTGAAGCGTTGCTTATTTTTATCAAAATTGTACACATTTCCTTGCTTAAATGGTTACCTTCGCACAAGATAATATTTTATAAATACCATTTCAAAATTCACCCATCCTTATTGAAGGTATTTTTAGCTCATCTTTTTTTGTTTACACTTGTTATCTATCTATTTTTTCCAGTCATTGTAAACCAGCAAGAACAAAACAGTTTTAGGGTTTTGAATGTTCAAAACTATGTGCCTGAAGTATAGATTACTGATGAACAGCTGACAAAATACGGAAAGTGGCACAGCTATTTTATTGTAAATAATAAATTTTCAGTGTCTGAGACTGGATCTCGCAAATGTCGGATGAACCAATGATCATTAGTCAAACTCCTTCAAATGGCTACTCAAACAAGTGAAACAAATGAAAACTGTCATGATAAAAATCACAAGAAAACTATAGAGATGATATACAACCGAAAAAATTGACCAAATGACAATGAAAACGATTTAAGCACTGAGCAAAATGCCTCGCTTGACCTTGATCTGACCTGTTGAATAATTTTGTCTGCAAAATTTTCAATGAAATCTATGAAAGTAAAAACGACTGAAGGGAAAAAAACTCCTGTGGTTTTAGTCTGTAAAAATATGCACCTTGATTTTGAAGACTTCTCTCCACCGTTTCAGCTGATATAGATTCATAGATTTTAATTGTACCGCAAAGAAGTTGTTGCACTGTGGTTCAAAAATCCCACCGCAAAGAACTTCTTGTGGTTTTCTAACCGGAAAAGAAGTTCTTGCGTCTTGCATGATTCATGCGCAAGTGCAAGAAGTTGCCAGCTTGAAGATGCAAAAAGAAGCAGGGTTTTCAATAAGCACCGATGGCCGACGAAACGCGTCGGCTACTTTGCTCATAGAGATCACCTACTTTTTTCTAGAAAGAAAAAGCAACTAGTTTGTAAACGTTGTAAACAAAAAAATATATCACAAACTCTGAATGAAAATGTAATTATGGTGTGTTTTCATAAAGGCTCACTGGTTTTACGTTATGCTTCAGTCATGGGAATGCTGTATTTCAGTCATTTTTTCACAAGTTTCTTTATAGCTCTACCTAGAATTTGTTTACGTGCAAAAGTACGTAATTTAGTTTTCATCAATTGTTTATTGCTTGTAGGAATTGATTGTGTGACTGATAAATTGAAAGCTTCATTTTCTTGGATGAAAAATATGCTCTTTTGTCCTCAAATTTATTCCCCAGAATGCTGAAAATCGTATTTAAGGACTTTGAAATTTCAAAATTTTCTGGGCTAGAATGTGCCCAGAGCCCCTCCTCCCCTAGAAAAAGGGGAGCAACGGCCCCTTGTTGATACTGTCGGTTACTCTATTCAAACCTGCTGGCTACTTCAATTTTTAATGAAACCCCTGAGAAGTTCTTACGCGTGCATTATTTTTGGGCTGTACTGTACCAAGCTTATTGGTATGAGATTGAAATGAAGCGGAGATTATTAATGTAGAACCAGCAGTCTGCAACTTTGACAGAAAGGTACACAAACAGCACAAACGGAGCCTTATAAACTACGTTTGACCACATATCAGGCATAGAACAATGAATGATGCAACAACTACAAAAAATACGCAAAATGAAACCTAACAACAAGTGGCAGCCATATTGGTGGCGCTGACAGCTGATGCATCACAAAATTTCTGAAAGAAAATTTGCTACTCTTGCAATGGCCTGGGATAAAAATCCTTAAAATAGGAGGGAAAACGATTAGGCCCAAACAAAATTAATGTAATAGTTGTCCGTAGGATAGAATGGTTAAATCTTCCTCTCAAAACATTAGGAAATTCAGTGAGTTTGTTTCAACTTTGCTAATGTCGACAGTGTCTTAAATTTTGGGCAAGTTCTCCAAACTGCATTCAAACTTTGCTGTAATTATACATGTAGTTGGGATTTTTTTTTCCAACATTGCATGGTGTCATTAGTTACTTTAACATCAAATGACATCCAACAATATAACTGTATTCCTGCCAAAAGTTTCTGTATGAATTACAAAACAAAATATTATGCAGGCTCCTGTTCATTGGCTTCAATTACACTGATAAAGAGAAAGAGTAAACCTTTATTTGCACTCCAAGACACCTTGAACTCAAACAGCTAACTAGGACTGAATTAAAGGGCTAATTTAAGTTCAAGGAAGTCTTTGAGTAAAAATTAATGTTTAAAGATTTTGATACTAACCTTGTTTGAAGTACTAAACTTAAAGGGAGGTCCCTCAAAAAAACCAACATCAGAGTCCTCACTGGCTGTACAAATGCGAAATGGCCGGGTTGGTTTGTAATCTACTGCATTAATAGCTTTTGAATGGCCTGATACACTGCCAACTGAAGAACCACTGTCCCATAAAAACACATTGCCAAACCTGTTGAGAAGAAAAGAAAACAATCATACTGTCCATTTCAAGAAACAGAGATAACACAAAATTCATGTGAAGCAGATGGAAATTCACTAACTTCTCAAAGGTCACTTTTCAATGTGTGACTTCTTCTTTCTCTATTTAGATGTATCAACTCACATGCAAAAATATTAATTTTAACTAGGGTATCTAAAAGATAGTAATGCTGCGGCACATTCTGTTGATACTGGCATTAGTTAGGTAGTGAGACTTAAAAGAATCGAAAATGACATTGAATGTTCTATTTACATGTTGGAAAGTACTAGAATATTTACTATCAGTCTCTGGAAAGAACTCGTGGGAACGTTGTTTAGAAAATGATCAAGTGGTTATAACTCTGGTTTTCCCACAGTAAATTGTAGGAAATAATAGAAATTCAGATTGTTTATCCATATATTTAATATACAGTGCACGATATTTTCTCTGGAAACACAATACTTTTCTTGCTGTTTGATGCACTTTATTAAGTAACAGTTATTTAGCTATATATTTATAGAAAACAACAACACAAAAAGCGGAAAAAAAAAGAAAGAAGGAATGAAGAATTCGGTAGGACTTGAACCCTGCACCTTGGGCTCAACGCGACTACACCTAACCACTACACCACAGAGGCTGATTACGTAATTTTGTAGGAAAAGTCTTGATTTTATTCCTTTTCCATGAAACTGCCGCTGACAAGATGATCACCAGCTGCATTAACCAAGCTATTAACAGTGGAAAAACAGTGGAAATGCATATTCCATGGCAATGAACGAATGAAAGAACATAATTATGCTTTTCAAAATACCGATACACGTTTTCGTCTGCAAAGTAGGACACAAAACATATGTTTTGTTATCTCGATTTCCGCTGTTATTTTGAAGCGAATGGTCAAAATCACATCCATTTTCGGCTCATACAGTTTCTTAAGAATAGCACTGCATGACATTTTCTCACTTTCACATCACCTTCTAGCAAGCTGGAATTTGTATATCCCCCGTGTTGCGGAGTCGAAGAGCAAATGCTCATCTTCTCGTCAGGTTTAACACCTGGACGAGTCAAAGGCTCTTGAATTGAAATCCAATCCCCAAGTTAACCATCGTACTCATCTGAAAGACTCCTGCGTGTCTTAAAATTTGGTAAGACCTCTAACCGTGCTGTAGAAAATTTGCCACAAAGAAAACTCTAAGTCTGAGCAGCGAACGATGCACTCTCTCACCCACCAAACTTCCCCGTGTTTTTCTTTGAGTTGTTCGGGGTGCAACGCACTCTGGTTGTGGAGAGGTTTTAAACAAGAGTTAATGTATGGATTTTTTGTAAGCTGGGACAAAAAAAAAGTGGCCTCTGTAAAGAACAGGCCGTTAGCAGAGGTTCAAGTGTACCACATAATTACAGCTTACTTCTCTCTGCCATCTCCAGTCACCACTATTCTTTTGCTGTCTGGTGACCATGCAATATCTTTTATGGGACCACTTAGAGGCTGGTATTCATATTTCAGTAAATGTTCTTCCTGTGTTGTGTCCCAGATTCTGAGTTTTCCAGAGACATCTGAAACATGAATGTTATTTCAACAGATTAACCCATTCATCCTTGGAAAACTTGCTGAAATACCCAGTTTGAAGTTATTCAAACCATTAAGTTTTTTTCTCCAGGATTAAGCCAAATTTTAAGAAAAGTTTTCTTGCTTATAAGACCAGTCAAGTAACTCATTGGCTTGAACACTCAGGAGCACACGTTTGCAAGAAGATTTTGGACAAGGTCAAACAGACTTCGACTGGAAGACCAAAACAACCTGGAACCAAAATCATCTTTGTTAAACCTACGTGTAACATGGTGCAAAGTGCATTACAATGTCACCTGTCACCAGCAAAGGTGGAGGTCATTAGTGTTAGAAGGAAGAGGAGTAGGTATTCTACGACTACCTGCAAAAATTGAGGAACAACTCATTCTGACATTCTTTTATTAATGTGATTTTTTTTTAAAAAAAAAAAAAAAGCTCTTGATTATTCATGCAAGTTTCAAGGTCCAGGTTAGCCATGTCAAACTGAGAATTTTTAAAGCTAATATTATTTAAGGCTGTTGGTTTACAGAACAATTGATCTTACCTCCTGAAGCAATGTAAAATCCACTGGGTGCATACACAGCCACAGTAGTGTCCTTTGCATGTTGAGTGTAGACATCACAAATTTCTGGATTCTGTAGAGAATTAATAACAGTTCAGTGGCGTTCACTCCCACAAGTCCCCTATGGCTTAAAGGTAGAGCATCTGGACTAGTACCCACAAGGTGACATAGGCTTGACTCCTATTGGAATTAAGTAATCAGATTTTTTCTTCCAAGCCTCCGGTGTCACTGACTGAATAAATATCTTCCTCAGTATAATATTATCATCCAATGAAACCCTTTACTTCAGAGAACCCCACAACAAGGCACAACTAATGCAGAATTAAAATTTTAAAGAATGTCAGTTGAGTTGAGTTGATCATTATTTTCTAAGTAAAGCTAAGCCAAGAGAAGCCAACATGCAAGTGAATGAACTAGAGTGAAATAATTTGCGTCATTGCGAATTATCCTGCATTAATATTCTTTCAAATGCTATCCTTTCTTTCTTTTCCTTTACAATTAACCTGAGTGATCCAAGGAACACTGGTATGATAATACTACGAACAGTTATTCCTGACCTTGAAGTATAAATACATACTTGTCTAATAACTCTTATTTACTCTACACGTCCCACAAAACTAAAACACTAGAATGAGTATCAGGCCTTCTTTAGGAGTTAGGAAAGAGCAGATTTGAAACTAAAGAGGGACTGGGTAAGAGAGAAAGGAAAGCCTGACACAGACCCTACAGTGAACCAGGTGACACATCCAAGAACTGGATGTGGCAGTGGTTGGATATTATAACACACATCTGACATTGCGCCACTAATGACTATCTTTAATTTGAGAAAACCAAAGAGGATTGTTTTGAATATATATGTGGCAATTCTATAGATGGCCAAGAGTTCAATGAATAACACAATAATGTTCTGTTAAAAGACCAAATAGTATTGTGTCTTGAAAGATTCACGTTTTTTATCAAGAAGAGGAAGATCAATATAGTCTTTGGAGTTCCTCTGGCTGGCTTCAGCAAGTGAACATACCGAGTAATATACTGAGCGAACTCATCTTTAGTATCAGGTCCTCATTTCTGAATTCAAAATTATATTATCAGTAATTATTTTTAGGGGAGCTCTTGCGCACACTAGCGTGCCAACGGAGCACCATGGGTAAGAAAATTTTTTTAAACTATCCATCCGAGAAAATTTGGTTGTGACGTAGTGTACGAACCCCAACGGTCCGTACATCCACTTCACATAAGCCGGTGCCAAATGTCAGGTTATTTTGGCGGGAAAGTGTATGGCCACCTGCATCTTGTGAAGCAGAGACAGCTAAAGGGTCAAAAACGGAAAGTGGATTACAGTGGATTGGAATTTTGGCAAATAAATTTGTCTTATGAAGAGAGTTACAGTGGTTACGTAATTGAGCCTAAAAATCTATTGAAACAACAAACCAAACACCAAAACACAGTAGAATACATCAAAGGTAAGTCTTTTTCATTCATTTCCTTGAACAAAAGTTTAAATTTAAAGTTTTCTACCCTTGTAGATCTCAATACTTTATTTCTCATATAAAGTCTGTTATTCTCAATGGTCGCCTGTTACGCTAGCCTCCGCTGCAAACGAAACTAAACCCTGGTTCAGAGTCCATCTGCAAAACAGCACTGAAATCCTTGTTCTTTGCCCCCACTTGTGTACTTATGTATTTAAGTATGCACCATGATTGGCCTGTTAAAATTGCCACTGTCGATCTGCCAATGAAGATGAAAGGAAATTCAAATGCCCTTCTGGTAATTCATTATGTCCATTAGGGACCCAGAACAAGCATATCGGTGCTGCTTCACAGACATTTCTTACTGAGGTTAAATTACGTCTGCCATGCAGGCTACCGTTATGCAACACCAGTACGTCCAGCACAAAGGTCGCACATCACCCATGGCATGTAAATTACTTGACACCCTTTTCTTGTAACATGAGTTTGGGTTGCCTGTGGTGAAAGCAGCTAAATTGCAGCTAAAAGTGCCTCACTTTATTATTCTTTATTGCACTGTTTTTAAGCACAAGTTTTGTGATCTCAGAGCTAACTGACTGTATTCTATTTACACTCTGCATTTGATAAATGTTCAGATTTAACCTGTTCTTTGAAAAGTATCGGCTTGATCGTTTGAAATGCTCCTTTGGTTTAAGGATGGCGTATATAGAGGATATTACATGGCCTTGCAGAGATACAAAATTTCTTTTCGAGTGTTCTCTTCTCGTGTTTTCAGCACAAGGAGGAGAGAAATTTCGTATCTCCCAGCGGCCATGTAATGTTCTATTTATTATGTAAACACCAATGAAATACCAAACCATTTCACTTTAATAGTTTTTTTGCTGTGAAAGGCACAATTTATGATGTAGCCATAGCAACGGTCATATTTCACGTGTGAAGATAACATGTTATTTTCACATGTGAAGATATCAAGTTTTTGTATGAAAGCTCGCCTGGTATTTCATTGGTGTTTATATAATAAAACAGTTTATCACCTTGATAACATCACGACCATAAAATGATGTTAATTGGTTTATGTTGAATAATGCTGTGCTGGTGCAGAAGGCTTCAATGAAAGAGTCTGTGTCAAGCATTTCTTTCCCTTCACTCTACTCCTTTTCCCTTCTCTCTTTGCCCTTTCCCCTTGAAACACCTGATGCTTAAGAACTATAGTGTTCAACTGGATGTCAGTCTTCATGAACAATCACCGAGTTCAATCATGAGATTATGTGTATTTAGTCATGTCACAATAGTGAATGGCTTTCTATCTTCACTAGATTGTACCAAACTAGGCCATTTCAGTGTATGTGAGAGGTCCAAACAGATCCACCTCAGACATTGTCTGACAAAATACTGTTGGTGGAACAGTGGACACTGAAGAGGCCCTGAAGAAAGAAATTAATCAGAGGCTCTCCCATCCTTTCTTCCTCCATCCCTCTTTCTCTCTCTTTGTTTTCCTACACTAGCTTTTCTTTTGCTCTTCCCAAATAACTGAGAGTCTGGAACAAGCTAATGTATTTGTTAAGAAACGGAAAGGAAACCTAATCAATACTGCAGCATTGCATCATGGAAAAAAAATGTAATGGTTACTGAATGTTTCCTAATAAGGCAAAAGTTCTAGATATCATCAAACAATCGTGCACAAGGGTTGCATGAGAGAGCATATAATTATTCGGGTTTAATGCAAAAAAGCTTTAAATACTTTCCATTATTTAACCGAAATTTTCGACTAAAGAATTCTGCCAGTTACGCTGTTCGATGCAAGCCAAATTTCATGGCTAGCATACTCTGTAGCTCGAGGCAAAAGCAGGGACACTGTACTCTCAATGAGATCAGAAATACATGGGAAATACACTCAGCTTACCTCAATGTCACGGATAAACACGCTCTTGCCGTTCGTGTATAAAAAATTCTTCCCTTTAGGATCGCCTTTCAGCAGAGTCGGAGCACCTCTCACAGTTTTCGGTAAGGAAGCAAATACTTGTCCTGGGGAAATTAGAAATTGTTGGAAAATAACTTTAAACTTAGCTGAGTTAATACATGCGATTTGGCATCCTTGCTCTAATAAAAGAAACAAACCTTTTTTAAAAGACATTATTGATGTTGTCCTTGATACTATTAACCTTTCCCTTTGTGAATAATTATTACCAGCCCGTCCGTCGACCCACCTCTTCACAACAGGGTGGGTGGATAGGAACTTCCCTTGTACTTTATGTATGCTGACGCAGTAGGTGCTTCATATACGAGAATAAAAGTGTACCGTATACCCGGAGGGGGTAGGAGGTGGGGAACATTGGGAATTTTTGGTGAGGATGTGCCGCTGGGCCCTGGAACCCTTAGCCAAAACCCCCTATCCTAGAGTAGCTTTTAGGCTGAGTTGCGTCAGAATTTAAACTTGCCTATTTATTTTATATTTTAATGAGTGGCAATTCCTGGTTTCCCTAGTGTAGACTAAAATCTTCAACCAATTTATCAGTTTCCTGGAAATGATACCCTATTCTAGACCCAAACTCTCAGATTTATATACCCTATCCCAGAGTAAACTGCTTGAAAACCCATCCTCGGAGACCCAGGGGCAGATAGTGGGGGCGAGGGAAAGTCTAAACAGGCGGGAAAATATGGCACAAGAGAAAAGTAAAGAACGGTGAGAAGAGCCCCTGGGGACAATGTCTTACCAGACCAGTTCCAAACGGTCGCCGCCGTTCTGTCTTCTGATTGGTGCCAGAAATCTTAAATAAAAACTAAAAAATAACTTCTCTAGACTTCTCCATATATAAGGGCCAGTTTTGAAAAGTAAAGAATGATCACGAAATTTGATCCGTATGGCATGATATTTAAGATTAAATTCAAATACAGTGCTTTTTTGCACTGAGCCGACTGCCTTTTTTTTAGAACATACTAAGATCGCGCAAGAAAGTCACATTGCGCGAGGAAATGCGTCGCAAGGGGTAAAGAAATGGACAAACATTACGTTGCTACGTCCATTTTAATGATATGCCAATTTTCATTGAACCATTGTGTTCCAGCAAGCATAAACAGTCTAAAAAAAGGTATACATTTTACTGGATTTTTGAAAACGTTACTACCGAAAAAGGCCTCTTCCCTCAATGACCAGTTTTTAATTTTCGTTCAATGTGGCCAACATTAAAAGTAAGTAAGAGTGCAACCATTACTTTTTCGTTTCTCCTCATGATTCCAATGCTGATCAATTCCATAAGATGTAAATTAGTTTTCCTTTAAAAGAAAAGTTTTGCTACCTTCGCAAAGAGAATAAAGGATAACGAAACATTCATCTGAATACATTGTTTGCCAAAACATCTTCTCAATAAAGGACGGGAAAGGCGGATTTTCTGACGGGGATATGAATTTTTAATGAACAGTTAATCAAATATTTCACCCTCTTTAATCTTGGAAATGTATATTAAAGGATTATTTAACAAATATTGCTAAGAATTTACTTACAGTATCCAAGGGAAGTTCATGATACAATTTATCATTTAAAAAAATTCATATCCCCGTTACTGAAATCAGTTAAATCTGTCTTTCCCACTGTATTTTAGATGTTTTACATCAAAGAGCACTTGCAGTTCTGGTAAGTTGACCGTAATATATCACTGAGCTTCTAAAACATCTTGTCAAAGACGGGAAAGACCGCATTTGACGGATTTAACGGGAGAGCAACTACCATAATAGCAGAATTCGTTGTAAGCCGCACCGCGCTTTTTGCTTAAAGTATCTTTTTTATCTAATAGCTACACTGAGAGATATATATAGTTGTGTAGAAGAAACACTATTTGGGAAATGTTCTTTGACTTCTTCTTATGCTTCTCAACGCATTGGTGTGCACCGACGTAACCTTAATAAGTTTGCACGCATCACAGAACTATAATACATGTATGTCGATTGAAGACAATTTGCACCCGAAGTGCGTCAAACTTATTCTTGCCGTCATTGGACGACTACAAAAGGAAACCTTCCTTTTTATGACGTACACAAGAAAAACATTTTCCTTCCTTTTTATCTGAACTTTAGAAACACTCCTTCAGCATTTAACTCGAGAAAAATTCTAAAATATCATGACAAATTGAGCAATGTTATTCGATTTTCAAATCCTAACCGGCCTTATGGCGTAGTTGCCTACGTTTGCAAGAAAATATCGGGTGTCTTGTTATCTTCAGGTAGTGTTCACCAAATCTTGGACATGCGCATTTGTTAATTTTTTTGCTTAATAAGAAAATTATAACAGACGAGGGAATGACGAGGAATTTCGAGTTCATGTAATATCATGTGGTCATTCCGCGTCACTTGTAGCCTGCGTAGCATGGCGGTTTTGTCGAGCCGGGCGCAGGAGCGGCCTCCTCGCGCTTTCTCTGCCCTCGCCCGCCTTTATTACTTAGTTCGCCCAACCAAAACCGCCATGCTACGCAGGCTACGTCACTTGTGGAATCCAGAATCCATCAAATCTTCGTTGTGGAATCCGGACTCCCGGGGCGTTGGAATCCGGAATACAGCTCAAGGAATGCAAAATCCATTGCGTGGAATTCAGAATCCAAGGCTGTCTTGGATTCCCTTACACGGGCCGAACTTTAGTTTCAGAAAACATTTGTTTCAAGCAAACGAAATAACATAATAGGGAATGAATTAAGTTTAAAAAATTTTTTGCGAAGTCTTATTTAGTTTAATAAAATGTTAACTAGAAATTAAGAAAGACACAGCATTGTTGTTCGATAACTATTTTCTTGTTTCGCTGATTTGGCAAAATTGATTGGAAAAAAACTTGACGCGATGATCTAGTAACTTGATTTCAACCATTCCGATTTTCCTCTTAGGATAATTTTCGGTTTTGCGGTACTGTTCAGTCCCCAGTTAGTGTAAGGTTTCCCTTATGGCTTATGCTAGATCATTCTGACACATTTAAAGTTATTCATTCATCATTCAGTCCTTGAAAGGTCCTAAAAGCCATACCCTGTACACCTGTTTGGGAAATGAAGGAGTACCCAACCCTACCTGGGGCCCGTTTCTCGAAGCTCCCGGTAATTACCGGGCCCGTTAAGCTGTTTTGTTTTCCATTTTAGAAGGGAGTTTTAAAAGTTTTGAAAATCATACAGTAGAGTTATTAGCTAACGAAACAAAATGGACTTCATTAGAGGTCAGAACACATCCTACTTTTCTTGAGACTTTGATTTAAAAATATGATTCCGGGCCCGTTAAGTTACCGGGACTTTCGAGAAACGGGCCCCTGGCCCTCTCACGATATATTAGGGAGCTTAAGCAACAACGACGGCGAGAGATACGTCGTTCAATTCGCAAAATGTTGGCAAATTTTTCTGACGTTGAATTCTAAAAGACTGTATCAAAGTTCGGGAAGAGAAAAAGAAAGTCGTTGTCACGCGCGTCCTCCACAAAACGTGAAAATAGGCACTTTCACGTGGTAGTCGTACAGCGACGGCAAAGAAATGTGCAAAAAAGCGTGATCCACGTACAGAGTTGTTTTGCCAATCTAAACCTACTGCCTTTTTGCCCTATTACACATGGTCAGGAGCATCCCCGGAGACCCAGGGGCAGATAAAGGGGGCGAGGGAAAGTCTAAACGGGCGGAAAAATACATATGGAACGAAGAAAAGTAAAGAACGGCGAGAAGAGCCCCTGGGGACAATGGGCGCTTTCCATTTAGTCAAAATTTCCGGAATTTCCGGTTCGGCGGTAAATGGAACACGTTTCGTCGGTTCGTCCACTGGAGAATTCCCAGAAAAAGTGGAAAATCTAAAAAGGTGGGCCCGTTTTCCCCGGGGGGGGGGGGGGTACTCCCATACATTACCTATATGGGTATGTGCCGCCCAAAGGGGTCGTGATTTTGAAGCTCCTGATTTAGAACGGGGTATCCATTTCAGAGGCGTTTTCTAGAACGGGGTATAATATTTCGAACGCACGAAAGCTCCACTTTTGTAAGCAGCCATTTGAAATTATTCAAGGACAGATTACTTTTAAAAATACAGTTCAATGCGTTAACAAGAAAACCCTTGTACTCTTGTGTTACACCCTAGAACGGAGTATTAAAAAATTGGCCCATTTCTAGAATGGGGTATCAGTTTTAGGGCGATTTCTAGAACGGGGTATAAAAAATTGGCCCCTTTCTAGAACGGGGTATCAATTTTGGGGAAATTTTTTCTAGAACGGGGTGCCAAATTGGAGTCCCGGGCGGCATATACCCACCCAAAAAATACCCAAGTGCCCCCCCCCCGGGCCGTTTTCCCGGTTGGAATTTCCGAACGGAATCTAGCCTGCGTAGCAAGCGTTTCCAATCGAGTTATTGCGCGAAAGTTAGAGCGGAAGCAAAGAAAAGGTTGAAGTTCCTTCTTTCCCCTCCCCCTCCCCCGTCATTCATTTTTTTTTTTTTGCTCTTGTCCCAGCTTTCTAGATGAACCTCGCGAGGAAACGCTTGCTACGCAGGCTAAACGGAATCTCGTGTTCCATTTACGTTTCTAGTAGTTTGTACCAGTTCCAGGTCCACGGTCGGGCACAGCGACGTACCGGGGTTTACGACCAAATGGAACAACTTTTTACCAGTCGGAAATTCCACTTTTGCTCCCACCGAAATTTCCGGGTTTTTTTCCTAAATGGAAAGCGCCCAATGTCTTACCAGACCAGTTCCAAACGGTCGCCGCCGTTCTGGCTTCTGATTGGTGCCAGAAAAACATGACATGGTATGACTGTACACTCAAATAATCATACATGACGTACTTACTGCTGAAGAGGAAACAGCCGCTGACAAAAAACTACTGTGGTATTCTAACTCATTGTATGTGTGGTTCGTGTAGTTATGAATCTGTGTTCATCTGGAAGTTCGTTGGGATTTTCTTCAACCTTTAATCTTAAATGAGTGAAAACATGACGTGAGAACTCATGGCAATTTTGCAACGTCTAACATACAAGCGTGAGTATGCTAATATTAATATTTCTAGTTCAATTTTTGCACGTGTATTTATCTGGAGGGGCAAGGTGGACCGAAGGGCAATATATTCGTTCCCAACCGTTGTTCCACAGATCTCTTATTTTACGTAATGTGTTTACTTTTGAATGCGCTTTCGCGCGCTATTTGCCCAAAAGTAATGCAACTCTGTGCTCTGAGATAAATTTGCACGAGCACTTCGTACTCGGCCCAAACATTCCAGATAGGGTGCGCGTCCAGGCCTCCAACTTGTGATTTTATTAATTATTGATCTAAAATCAAACTGCTTGTTCCAAGCAAGTCAAGAAGTATTTTGTAAGCGTACTGATTTTATTGTTCTGCTGGTTGCGGAACTCAGTAATTTAAGATTTAGGATACAAGAAGAACCAACTACATTGTATGATGAAACACATCAAAGATTTTGCGCCATGGAACAAGATTTTCTTAGGATTTTTTTTTTGTGTCAACTTAACATTGTTTTTTGCATTTTCCTCTGGCCTGTTTGAATGAGTCATGCTCATTCGAGTTTGATTTGAAAGATTTCTTTTGCCCAATACAAGTTCAGAGGGTGGTGTTGGGGTCTCTAAAACCTAAAAACCACTCTTACAATACCCAAAACCCTAGTCTAGATCTCAAACGTTGGTGATATGTGGAACATACAAACTAAACAATCAATTCAACATTGTAGATAAATAGCATCACAGTAACAGCACTATCTATGGATGCTACAGTCTGTATGGTAGTAAAACCGGCATATCTGGCCTAGGACCGTCTAGGAGAATTCTCAAAGATCTTTGATTGAATAGCAATAGAAGACATTGGGGGAAATTTTGCGTTCGCAAAAAGCTCTCCTATAGCTGCAAACCTCCAACAAAAATCCAGAGTCCCACATTGCCGTTTAACCTGGATTGACTGTAAAATAGAAACATATAAAGTAGCCTAACATGTGACTGCACAGAGGCCCACAGAGGAATCTAGCCTGCACAGTTTGTTACTTTTTTGGTCTTTAGCAGGACCTTACCAAGGAGTCAAAGACAGACCTGCACGGAATCCCAATGTGTTTTTTTTGGACATCAAAACCCCCAGAGGGCAGGGTACTTTAGGAATTTTTGGGTGAGGATGTGCCTTTGGATTCCTGGAACCCTTAGCCTAGCCTTAGCCCCCCCAAATCCCCCCCTCCCTATCCTATAGAGTAGCTGTTTTCCAGAAACTACTAAGGGTCAGTAGCACAGTCCAGCCAAAACAAAACCTTATACCACAATTGTCTCGCTCTCATAAATCTTCAACCAATTGATCAGTTTCCAGGAAAATGATACCCTTTTCTAGACCCAAACTCTCTGATTTATATATCGTTTGAGAGTAAACTGCTTGAAAACCATACCCTTCACGATGGCACATACCTATATAGCCCATATATGGCATTACCCCCAGGGATCAAAACCCACTATAAGCCGACTAAAACCTTTCAATATACACACTTTACCCCGTGCTGCCTTGTGGGGGTAAAAAGAGGTTTTATGAAAGTGGGGCAAAGCAATAAGATTGCTTAGAACAAACTCTTCCAAAAAAGAAACATTTGAAGAGTGCCTTGCTATATTTAAACAATGCCTCGAAGCCAGCGGGTATCCTTAACAAGATATAGAAAGGTCTTTGTTAGAGGTCAATTTTGATTTAAGACAATGATCACTAAAACAAAAGCAAAAATGTAAAGAGAGACTATTGCCTTTCATTACAACATATCACCTAGTGGTACAACATCTTAAAAAGAAATTGATGGCAAATTGGAGTCTAATAGAAAATCAGCCTCTGCTGAAAACAATTTTTTAAGACCTCCGATCATATACTACAAAAGAGGTAAATCTCTAAAAGACATGCTTCTAAGAGCAGCTTTAAGGCAGTTGATAATGCGACGCAACCAAAATAACGACTTTGAGAGTCCGCACACTGAGGTCTGTTTTTGACTTTCTTCCAAATTGGGGAAACCGAAAACCACATCGGTCAACAAAATCCGAATAACCTCTTTATTTTTGCCAAAAAGCCAAAAAACCAGGTGCTAAAAAAACGAAAAAGTTTACCAGGAATTGCATTGGACAACAAAAACTGAAAAACTGAATTTTTTTCAGTGAAAAAAACAAAAAGCCAAAAAACTGACCTAAAAAATGGCCAAAACCGAAAAACCAAAAATCCCAACACCCCCCTCAGTTAAATGTTGAGGTTTGATGTCACAAGGTCATGTGGTTACAGCCAATTTGGGTGTGAATAGGTGAAACTACATGATATACTTGCAAAAATGTATGTCATTCGTGCCATACATCCCTTGAGAAAATAGTTTTTGGTTTAAAGCCTGTAGAACATTTGCCTGAATCAAATCATACTATATCATAGTCTCCTTCGCGGCTGCTTGTGCTGGAGTCACCCAATGCTCCCCACCCCCATGTGCCTACGTCAAGCCCTTTTGCAGAATACAGCCAATCAAGGTGCAGCTTTCATTTTCTTGGAAAAAATTGTGCCAGAGGTGTGCACCAATCATCTTGCTCCTATTATTTTGCCCGATGATGGCATTCTTTCATGATATCACACTACATCTCTTTATTGACCACATCATATCCTGCAAACAACACTAATTAAGAGCTGCACCTAGTGTCAAAACATGGTGAGAAATCATCACATTCATGAACAAAAAACTACACGTATGATCCAGACATTTAAGAGGAAAACCTAAGAAACTAAAATCATTTTTGACAGGTTATTTAGCTGCAATATTATACTTTCCTGGAAAAGTGGAAGCACTATTAATTAGTGCATATAAATACACATACAAATTTTTTGTATGTGTGCTCATCTGTGGTATGAAAAGCAAATGTTGTCAAAAGATCAGCAATACTATTTTTATTGTCTTCAGTTATTGATCACTAAAATCAATGTGAAATAAAGTGGTCTATGAAATGCCATCACTTGCAGGGCACGACGGAGTTACATGTACTAATACTCCTGGTTACTTTTCAAATGTAACTCAATGTTTTTCGATGTTTTCGTACCTGACATGTCCCACCCCTTCCCTTAAAAGTCTAATGATTGGCTCCATGCAGGAGGAACGGAGCACACAATGTCCTGTTCTATGTTATCTGTCCTTTTGGTCAACAGACAGACACATTGCACAACTTGATTGAACTTTGCCTTAGGCACTGAACCCAATAACAAGAGCAAAACGTTTCCTGTCTTGTTGATCTTTTTATAGAATCATTTTGATGGTCACCCTGGCTAACAAAATTATGCTAACTCTGATATTTGCTTCTTTAAAAATTTTAGAGCAACCATGGCTTGTTTCGTCACAACATATAAGGTAAGCACCAATGAAATATATGTTAGCTGTGTGCTTTCTTTTTCCCGCAATTATAAGAATTATTATTATACATGTATATAATTCCATTGAAATGTGTAAATTCTGTTTTCCAAAGCAACAGTCTTGGATTTGAAGATTTCACTTCTATGACAGAAACTCCAATATTGAGTGAAATGAAATGTAAAAACACATTTTTTCAATTCACCTTTTTTCCCATTAATCTTTTGAATTTCGTCCAAAATGTGATAAAAGACTAGTGGAAGTTGATAATCTTTATGTCAGTTACTTCTGGTAGTTTTCAATCAATTTCATCTAACAAAGATTTCCTCTTTCAGTTTGTATAATGCATAAAACCACTATATGCTCCCTGTTAAAGAAAGATGTCTCTGGCCAGTGAACAGAGTGTCCTTTCCTGTCTTGTCCTATCCTGTCCAGGTGTCTGCTTCCTGTGGTCTCCCCCAACTTCTTCCCCAGTGCTCTTGCTTTGTTTCAATGCAGTGTTTCTAAAAAGAGTCACATTTAGTATTATAATTTGTATCACCTGTTGCCTTTGCACTACTTAATGTGCCCTTAGGGTGGACTAGATGGGGTCTTGGGGTGTTGTAATCATGATTGTAAATAGCACGCATATTCCTGGGGTCTGAGGTGCTTCACAGTAGTACTATATATATAAAAGTTGAATAATATTATGTTTATTGTTATAGCAAGAGTAAAAATAATAAAGCCACTTACATTTTATTCTTATTACTCCAACTGTTAAAAAAAAGCCACTGAATAACTAGAAATACTTGTATTGCAAAATCTCACAAAGGGCTGGCCGGCGGTAGGAATCAAGGGAAAACAAGCCAAGACAAAAGATATGTATGATGAAAAGGAAAACAAAACAGAAAAAGACCAAAAACAAAAGCAGCCATATTTCAACAACAAGAATGAACCAAAGTAAATAAAAGCAGTTTAGCTGTGAGTCAAAGTAGACTCCTAGACCACCACATGAAGTTGGAAAATGAACAAAAATATGATAATAAATATATTCAAAAGTAGGTTTAGTTTGAACGTCTGGGTGAACATAGTCCTGAATAGGACTGTTGTTGTTGACAGTGACTGACGTTTCGACAACCTGTGCGGTAGTCATCTTCAGAGTCAAAGTGAGTTGTACCCCGTCAGTTGACGGTATTATACTCTGGGTATTGATCTGATTGGTCAATTATGTTGTGATGTTATTGGTCGTCTGTCAGTTAAGCCGTGATGTTATTGGCTATGAAGACTCATAATCAGTAATTGGTGCGTTTCGATCCGTCTGTTGTCACAGTTAAACAGTTGTCTATTGTTAGTCAAATTGTCAGTTCTCCAGTCATTCTCTCATAGTTAGTTTTGCTTGATCTCGTCAATAAGTCATTTGTACGGCACTGGTAACTGTTGGCTTTGATTCAGTGGCACTTGTTCCAAGTTAGTAAACCAGCTTTCTAAAGTGAGACTTTGATAGTAGTCTGTAGAATACGTTATACATGTCGCAGAGTCCCAGTCAATTTGATGTTTCATCTGCAAATGGTGCTCAGCAATGTGATTGTTGATGTCACCATTCCTCGTCTCTCGTTTGCGTTCGGTCAGTCGCGTGCTTAGGTTTCTGCCGCTTTCACCAATGTAAGAAGCCTGGCAGTCGCAGCATTTGATCTTGTATACTGCTCCCTGTCTGTCCTTCGGTTTGTCTTTGTCCTTATTGACTTACTTGTTGACGAGATCAAGCAAAACTAACTACGAGAGAACGACTGGAGAACTGACAATATTTATTTCACTAACAATAGACGACTATTTAACTGTGGCAACAGACGGATCGAAACACACTAATTACTGATTACAAGTCTTCATAGCCAATAACTTAACTGACAGACGACCAATAACATCGTGACGTAATTGACCAATCAGATCAATAACCAGAGTATAATACCATCAACTGATGTAATACAACTCACTTTGACTCTGAAGATGACTACCGCACAGGTTGTCGAAACGTCAGTCACTATCAACAGCAACAGTCCTATTCAGGACTATGTTCACCCGGACGATCAAACTCAACCGACTTTTGAAATGACTCCTGGGTTCAAACCTTTCACAATAAATATATTATTTAAAACACTTTTGGGTGGAAATTCTGCCAGTAGGTCTATGTTGTGGTTCAATTTTATCATTGGTTTAAATTTTCTTTTCTTTTGTTTTTGGGTATGATAATGTATGATAATAATGACTTTGAAACAAAAGAAAAGAAAATTTAAACCAAGGATAAAATTGAACCACAACAGATACACCTAATTGCAATAGCATTGTCATAGAGAATTGAAGAATGCTAAAATATGGGAATAAATTGGACAGGCTCCAAACATCTGACCTGCATTGATCAATTTACCTTCTCTGAACTCAATTGATGTCAAATTGAAGTATTATACAGTACTGCAGTGGTCGGGATTATCACTCAAAACATAATTTGCATGGCTATATAATTAATTCCTACTTCAATTGGCAGTTTTCTTTTTCTGTTTCTGCTTTTTTGTGATAATGTTTTAATTATTTTAGTACGTGGTGATCATTATAGCTTACTGACTTGTCAGAGACATGAAAGTAAAAAAATATAAAGCACTGATAAACATTTTCTCATATTAGGCATGGATGTTTTTTATCCAGTTCCTTTGCCACCACAAGCCATGGTGTGGAGTCAAATAAAAGTCTACAATGTCGAGGTGTAACTGATAGATCAGCATGTATGTGGAAAGCAGCCCATAGTTGCCAGCTTAACATTCTGTTAGGTTCCAAGTTTACTCAGAGAATAGCAGGATATCAGCCAGGTGTTAGTTCATATAATGGACCAGGTATTTTATATCCAGAGCTTAAAGGACTAGTGCGACAAGGTCTGCCTGCAGTCAGTGGAACTTTAAACCGAAAATTTTTCAGTTGTGAACCTTTATTTCATGTAGAAAATATATTTTTTCAACCCTTGCCATTTGTCCACCAAAAAAGAACAGTTTTTACCAGCAGAAGTTATTTTGACCCATTACATCATAAAACTACAAAGAATGTTAAACTGTGGCCAGGTGAAGAAGAAAAGTCTAAGGTTGAAGAGGCTGTTGAAGCCATAAAAAAGAAAAAAGAAAAACTAAAAGAAAAAGCATTTCGGATGGAATGCAGCCCAGAAGATGTTGAACCAATGGTTACTGTTGCTCCAGCCCCAAAGAAGACTTTATGGGAGAGAACAAAACATGAAGTTGCACATTATTACAATGGATTTAAGTTACTTTTTCTTGAGACAAGAATTGCTGCTCGCTTATTATGGCAAGTTATGAATGGGAAGATGTTGACAAGAAGAGAGAGACGACAGGTGAGTTGCGACACAAACACACAAATATGAAGTTCATCGAATGGTTTTGTTTAATCTAGAAATGAAACAATTCTAACAACCACTAGATGTATTAAAAGTCTGAAAGGGGTGTAGTTTTGAAGTACTGGGTGGTAATAGTTATGTTATGTTAGTTATGTAAGAATTAAATAAAGAGCACAACATCAATAGCACCGGTAAAGCTTAATTGTATGAAACACTCAATAACATGTTTTGGCCACTTAGTGCATTAATTTTTTCACTACCAGGCCACTAAGCATTAATTTTTGCATGCATTCTTGTTCTAATGTATAATATAAATTTAGTCATGCATGGATTCATCCAATTTTTCTCTCTAACTCGCAAAATAAAGCTTGGAAAAAGATTAAGGTCTCTTTTAATTGTACCAATTCAAATTATGGCGTCATTGTAAGTACTACAATAAACTACTTCATAAATATGTGTGATTTTTAAAGAAAAAAATATCTAAAAGATAATCTTAAAAGGACAAAAAATGTAAAGAAAAATATCTACCTCTACAAGTGTAGTGAGTAACAGGTTTGGTCGCTATTCTTTCCAAAAATTTAATTCTTAAGTGTTATTATAATACACCTGGGTACTTACTGTTAAGTTTCTGAGTACTGTGCTGTTTTTTATACCTGTTTAGTTCCTTCGCACAGCAGCTGATATATTCAGATTGGTTCCATTCCTGGTGTTTCTTTTAATCCCATTTATGGAGTTCATGCTGCCAGTGGTCATCAAGCTTTTTCCTAATATGTTACCAAGCACATTTGAGGACAAATCAAAGAAGGTATTGAAAATGGATAGATAATGTACCCAGTTAAAAGCAAGGTTGTTTGTTAGTTTTCTAAATTCATTTTTATCTGCCCATTCATTACTAGGAGGAGAACAAAAAGAAACAGCTAAAAGTAAAAATTCAGATGGCAAAGTTCTTGCAGGACACTGTTGAAGAAATGGCTGTAACAGCGAAACAAAAGAAAACACAGGAAGTTGTTGCTGACTTTGCAAACTTCTTTGAAAAGGTAATATAAATAATAAAGAGCATCTCAAAAGAGTTACAATAATGAACCTACTAAATGGCTCTGGTTCTATGAGTCTTTGCATAACTAATTAAGGGGATAGAGCGTGCACCTACATGTACTGACCTATTCCACACTCTTTTGGGGGGTCAAGAATTTTTGTCTGCTCCACACTGGTAACAGAACATTTGGTCATTATGTCTACCTGTACATTTTCTAAGTGGAATACTGATCATGACCTAATTATAAAGATTTTTTTATCTTCCAGAAAAGAATTTATTTACACACTCTCAACACCAGGAGGGTACCCTGCTGACAGAGCAAAATATGGGGCAAAAATTAAACCCCCCCCCTCCCCCAAAATCCCTTAGACCTTCAAACAAAACCCAAAAAATCCTGGGACCAAAAATTAACCCCCCAAAAAATCCCATGCCCAATTTCCGAGCCTTAAAAATTTCCAGAAAGCATTAAATGATATGACGCGAAAAATAAAAACGTAAGAAATTGAACATCAAGTGTTTGTTTATTCATCTTACCATCTGAAGTTAGTTTGTATATTAAGATGGCCTGAACCTATTTATATGCGTGATGTTTTTTGATCGCATTTTTAAGCAGGACAGATTTAACCAATTTGTGTGATTTTTGGTGTCCTTATTAACGAATGGTCAAACTTTAAGAAAATGTTAATGTATTTTCTTGTAGCTATAAAAATGTTTGAGATATCGGCATATATTTTTAACCAATATTTTCACAAAAAATGTAAATAACTTCGAAATCCCACTACAGATTTTTCCCAAACTTCAGCAAATAGGCCTCAGACCTCTCTAGTTTTATGTGTATAGCTCCAAGTTTAATGTCAATTGTGACTATACAACTTGCTGCGCAAAATGCTTGTCAAATTTAATCTTAAAATGCTACACTAACACATTGTGGAAGGTGATGCACAAAATAAATACTAGAAGACTGCCAAAAGACTATCTCCTATCTGAAAGGGTATTAATTCTTACCCAAAGCCTTACTGGAAGAAACTAAGTGATCAGAAACCTATGATGAATACAGTCAGTTAGCACTACAAGAAGAAAAACTTTATGCTGAACGTGGGCTGAGATTAAAGAACCTCTGTTTATCAAACCTACTTTGTATTTGTCACTTTCTTTTCGAAACAAATGTTAACAAAGCAAAATATAGCATCTATGGAAATCTCCTACCAGTTTTCAGCGTCGCGGGTTTGCAGTTTGCGGAGAAATGAAGCCAACAACTCCTGTACTTCTACCCATCCATTTTTAGTTGCAATTGGAACCCTTGTACTTGGTAATTTATTCAGATTCAGTTTGCCGTTGTTGATAATGAAACAAATAAGACGATTGTCATTTTGTTATTATCTTTATCCCAAGTGGCAAAATTCACGCACGAATGTGATGGCAAACACATCTGTATTGTGGCATTTAACATTTTAACATGTGACACTCTTTAATTATAACTAACTGTACTAGATTCGTCGGAAAGGAGAGCAACCCAGCAATGAAGACATCCTACGGTTTTCCAAGCTGTTTGAAGATCAAATTACTTTGGACAACATGAGCCGAGCTCAACTTAAAGCAATTAACAGGCTATTGACTTTGCCAACCATCGGAACAAACAACTACTTGAGATTTCAGCTACGGATGAAGCTACGGCAGCTCAAGGCTGATGATCTGGTAAGTGCAAAACTCTAGAACCCTGACTTCATTGTTTCTATTTTCCCTGTCTGAATTAAACATGTAAGTTGTTTCTTACCTGTTGATCAGCTGATCTAATGGGATGTTAACTACAAGTAATATTCATGGCTTCCAGTATGAAAATTGCAACTCTCTTAAGATGACAATGATCTTTGAATGAGAAATTGTTAGTGTTAAGTTAAAGCATCAATCTGTCTACTGGATGGAATGACTTGAAATATTACTCATACCGTGTATGTTATTAACCATATAATTATGATTGTGACTTACTTTGGATGACACAGATGAATGTTGATGTACGTAAGGTTTGTGGTTATATTTCACTGGACAGCAGATAAAAAAGAATTGAATGAACTAGGAGATAAAAAGACAGTTATAGAAAATACAGACTACAGTCTTCCCCCCACCCCACCCCCCCCTTACTTCATTGTACAGTGAGGTATCCTCTGAGTCTCAGTGGTAATGAGTGCATTGCATTTTTGTTTCATTTGTTAATAGTTAATACAGAGGGAAGGTGTTGATAGTCTAACAGAACAGGAATTGCAGTCAGCTTGCCAGGCTCGTGGTATGAGAGCTATTGGTGTTCCAGCAGCCAGACTAAGATCTCAACTTCGTCAGGTACAAATCATCAAATTGTAGTCTATGAAAAATACTGTAAAGAGATCAATTCACCCATTTTATTTCCCCCAATATACAGGGTGTTACATTCAGTCAGGTAAAACTTTGAAATGACTTACTGTTGATAAGCCTCTAATAGTTCTGTTCAGTGAAAGAAAAATGCAAAAGGCTATTTTGCATGGAAAAAGGCTTAAAGTTCTTAAGAATCAGCTAAACAGCTTTGTCCATGGATGTTGAGGCTCAGATAAGATTGTGGGTTATTAAATTTTGTGAGATGAAACCTGAAAATGGAGGAATGACAGTCATAAGTTGTTTACCACCAAGTAAACTACCTACTGTTACTTTCCCAAGCATTCTTGCCCCAAACAAAATACATGAAAATTGCATCTCTGGAGGTCTAAGATTTGGTGTTCAAAAATTTCATCGGGGAGCATGCGCTTGGGGCCTCCTAGAAGTTCTGCAGCCCTGCCAGCCCTTGCCCTCAGCCGCCTGCAGTGGCTTTTAAGAGTTTTTGGAACTAGACATAATTAATTAAGACTGTGGTGACATGAGAAACATTTTGGGAAAACTTTTGGGATTGTAGGATCAGATAGAAGTAATTGCATGTGGGTAGTGGAACAATTTTCTTTGGAATCTTTGGATTGACACCACATGTTTTTTTTTTGGCATGGCATATGCAAGGAATGAGTATTTGTAATGAAGAAACAGGCAATGTTTGATGAAAAGGCTAAGAAGGGGTAAATTAAGGTTGTTAATAACTCTTTGAAAATATTTTAAATGAATAATAAAATGCAATATTATTGAATCAACTTTCATATGTGAACAGTTATGCAAATTTCAGAGGCTTTTATCCACCTCATGCTTTCCACCTTCCCTCTTTGATCTGCATAATTTTATTCCTTTCGTATCATCGTCTTAGCCTCAATTAATGAAATAAATACTTTCTCCACCAATATAATGATGGAAGATTAAACACTTAATGACTAGTCCCAAGGGAAACAGTTAATGTTGTTTCTTGAGAATCTCATTGAGATTCAAGAGAAACAAAATTAACTGTCCCCCGAGGGACAAGTCCTTAAGTGATTTGTTAGATAGCTGGAAATTCATTAAACCTCGCCGTAATGGCGGTTGTTGGTCAACATTTGTGGGTAGCAGGGTACTGTTGCCCTGTAACATCATGGATTTTGTGATGTTGCCCACTCAGAGATTTTGGCAGGAAACAGTTTTATTGTTAGATGTCATGTCACATCAAAGTAACCAATGAAAGCACGCACCATTGGGAAGAATTTTCAGCTATATAACAAAAACAGAACTTTATTTGTTACTCTTATTATTGCAGTGGTTGGAGTTGCACCTAGATGAACAAATCCCCGCATCTCTTTTGCTTATGTCACGAGCACTATATCTACCAGAGAATGTCAGCCAAGTTGATCAGCTGAAAGAAACATTATCACAACTGCCTGAAACCTTGGTATGTATAGTGTTAAGTTTCCAAAGAAATTGTGATAAATGACATGACTGACAGTAAATCACCAATCAGGAGCTCTGTTGCGAACCAATAAGAGTTTTTTCAGAATTAAGGGGTTTGTCTAAAAGAATTTGCTCACACAGGCACGTTTATTACTGTTCCCTCTTCCTTCTACTACTTAGAAACCTTGGTGTTAGCTTCTTAACAGGCTAATTTGTGGAAAGTGCTGTCCTGTTCACTTGTTAGATAACTAGTTACTGCTGTTTGTGCCTATGGAGCTCCCATGTGAACAATGGGATTGTTTAGGCTTCTGTAATATTGGAGTACTGATTCTGAGTATTTCATGTAAATAATGTGTTCATAGGTAGAAGAGGCTGAAATAAAAATCTGTGAAGTGTCTGGTGAGAAAGTTGACAATAAAGTTCGCTTGGATGTGCTAAAGAAAGAAGAGCAGATGATTGCTGAGGAAAAAGAAGAACTTCTTCAAGAGGAAGAGGAAAAAAGGAAAAAAGTGTGTATAATTAATAATCTTTCCCCCACAAAATTACACACTGGGGGTACTTAATTCTTTTGATCCTTTATAAACACACAGACGACATTCAATTTTATTGGCATAAAGACATAAAACCACTAGTTTCTATGTTCATGATTTAGTTACTTTTTGCTTGGAGAGGAGAGGGGAAGAATTTCTCAACTTTGTGGGAAATGGTTCACTCTGTTCCACTATGACTGTTTCCTTTGGCTGTCCAGCATGACATGGGTAACTTTAAGACAGTCTTTATAATTAGAACATTCCTTTTGCTCTTTTTTAGCAATGACTATATTAACATATAATTAAATAATTTTGATACTTTAAGACAATCGTCTTACGGCAAGGAGCCCAAAAGTATGACCTCCTTTAATTAACACACAGTTTTTCATGCAGACATTAACCAATCAGAAGTCGACAACAGTTTCCACCTGGCTTCTGATTGGATTAAATCTGCACGAAAGAATACGAATAAATCAAAAGCGGTCACACTTTTGGGCCCCTTGCTGTAATTAGGGGTGCCTTGTTTCTGTTTCATATCAGTATCTTTTAAATACATGTATTTTTGAACACGTCTTATTGATAAGAGTATTCTTTCAACAGATTGAAACCATCGCTGCTGAAATTTTAGAAGTAAGTGTGATTGTGATATATTGACTGAAAAACAGAAATGTTTTGGTAACCTTATTCAGTAATTACTTTTATAGAAGCGGATACAAAACATTGTAATTAAGCGACTAATTTATGTGAAACAGGTGTAGAACTAAAGCAAAATTTTGATGTATCAGCCAACTTTCCACGGTCTTTTTGATTCATGCACCTAAAATTACTATCTGGAAATAGAGTTTTACTCTTGTTTTAAAACAAATTTTTCTCAGGTAAGGAACTCAACTAAACACATCAATATCTCGCTAAAAGGAAGATAAAGGTCAATAAATTGCATTTGGTTTGCCTCATGGGTCAGATGGATAGGACGAAATAGGCAAATCCTAAACAGCTACTGGTATCTGTCTTTCTTTATGTGTTCCCACAACAACTTCTCCATCAGAGTGGGGAGGATAAGGGGGCATTCTTACACCAAGTTCTTTAATAGCAGCTGTAGCCTGCGTAGCTGGCGGTATTGTGTGGGTGCGAGGTTAAAGTTTTGGCGGCGGAGCCTTGTTCCATAAAAAAGGAGTAGGGACGAAGCGGTTGAAATATTACAACGGCTCCGCCGCCAAATCTCACTCGACTACTACACAATACCGCCAGCTACGCAGGCTAGCGCAGCTGCAAAGGGTTAGGGTTCCAATCCTTGAATGCTGAAAGGATTAGTCTGGTATTTTCATAGATTTCATAATATCAGATTTCTTGACAGATACTTGAAAAGTGCAACTATGGAGTTATAGCCTTTAAAAACCAACATTAGGCGCTGATCAGTTTAACACATTAATTGATCTTAACGGTAACTGGCTTGACTAGATGTTCAGTCTATGTATGAAAAATGTTCATGTAGTGCAGATTATTGTTAGTGAATGTAATTTTTGATATAGGTATCATTTCTTTTGTTGTTTTTTCATTCTCGTTCTACAACGGAGCCAGGACCAAACCATGGTCTTAAGGCGTCCAAGGAATGGTCTCTCTCATTCATTATTAATACTTCCCACAAGATGTGGAGTGTGGTCTTCTGGGGACTGATGTTTCCTGGGATTTATTGGATTCCCAATTTTTTTTCCTTTATCACTCCAAAGGGTCCTAGGATTAAAGGGAACTTGGACAGCTTTTCTAAGTGTTTCTGCCAGATGGTACAGCTGTATTCAATAAGCATGTCGCCAGTTATTGAACTGAAATTTTTCCTGACCAGTTCAATGAAGTGACTTCAACACGGCACCATTATCATTAATATTACGAATACTTCAATTTTAGGATAAAGCTCCAGAAGTCAAACCAACAGCGGTCGAAGATATTTCTCAGGAGGACTGGTTATCAATTAAAGAAAGTCTTGCTCTGGCCAGTGAAAGAGATGAACTAGAGAAGATCAAAGAAGACAGAGTTGAATATCAAGAGGTAAACTCTGGTTTGCACCAACATTACCCGTCAGGATTAGAGAAATCTTAAAACAAGTTTAGTTTGTAGAGAATGTATTAAAATGAACAACAAGCATGACTTTTATGTAAGGCATGTTTTGATCGATCTTAGATCACCTTCAGTGCAAGGTTGAATACTGGAGATTTAAAACGATCAAAATGAGATAGCTGATGAGATGTAAAATGGTGATGCGTGATGTGAATTTACACTGACATATACTACTCGTGATAAACTGTAGATGTATTTAAAGGGAACCTCCACTTCAACAAAAAGATAACTTTAAATCACAGGAAATAACTGTTACAGTCAAGTCAATCTAAAATATTTTTAAAGAAAGCGTTTGTATCCGAAAGAAATAACTTTTAGATTCGCCTATTTTTGTTTTCAAATTTTGCGGGCGTCGCCAAAATAATTGTGACGAATCAAAAACAAAAAGCTGTGTCAGAACAATAGCCATAACGCGATGATTATTCAAAATGGTGATGCGTGAAAGTGAAAATAAGCGATTTTAAAATTCACTTTTCCTGATATAAACACTTTTTTAAAGACAAATTTCAAACAAATTTGTTTATCAACATAATTTTATTCGATTTAAACTTATTCTGTAGTAAGAGTGGAGGTTCCCTTTAACAATTATTCCTCGAGCCCGAATGGGCTCTGAGTCAATAGCGGGCTATTGACTCAGAGGCCATGAGGGCGAGAGGAATAATTGTTTTAGTAAAATCCAACCTTTTGGTCAAAAATATCGAGTCCAAACAACTTAAGCTAGCAAAACGCGATTCAGCCGCCGTTGTTTTGGTTTTCAAAGCCGGCGCTTTTCGCTACTGGTGGACTATAACATATAGCCTAGTAGTAGCTCAACCAATCAGAACGCAGCATTGATAATAGACCAGTAATTGGATTTTACTAAAGAATTTTAACCATGTAGGTAGGGAACTTCTATAATCTTATATTTTATCGGCGTTGTCCACATTTTCGACAGTTACAAATTAGGCTAACCAACACTTTTTAGGAAAACTGATTAATTCTGAGTTTTGCACCGTCATTTGTCTCAGTTATTTGTCATTTAGCGCTTCTTTTAAGAGCGTAGAGTGTAGGTTAAAACCTTTGCCAAAAATTATTTAATAGTACCTTTGAGTCTGTAAGCAAGCTTGGTCGTTGGGTAGTCAGTCATAAACTGCCAATCACTTTACCCGGTGGTCAAAAATTGGACAGGCAGATTCACTTTTACAGAAAATAACAGTAATCAAAATTTATCTTTTTCAAAAACTGGACTGCCGGCTAGTAATATATTTTTAATAAGGTGTTCAAGTCCCAGCAAAGGCTATTGTATCTTTCAAAATATTTATCCTTTTCTGATTGACCTTTGACCTCGCGACTCCATTTGCTTGCCTATTTTGTTTACTCCCTGCAAATGTTGTACTGAAAAGTATTCTCAAACATGACCTGGTGTTTTTCTGTTTGTTTCCTGCTTTGTCTTGTAGGAACTCCGTGAGCTTGCAAATGAGGATGAAAAACAGACGCTTAAAGAGTCTGTAGGTTCATCCCGACTGGGTAGAAAGGTTGATGCCATGATCAACAAAATTGAGGATCGACTCAAGCTGATCGAGTTAGAAATAGATGATCAATCTTCTGATCTTCAGCTTGATGCGGATGGGTATGACACTGATTTGTTTCTTTATCATTTGTTTTGTTATCGTAGCAGTCTCTTTGGAGTGCCTACCGGTAGCTTGCTTGCAGCACAAACTTCTGTCAAAAATCTGATTAAAATGGGGCCGTTCAGTTGTATAAAGGTACAAAAAGTAGTGGAAAAAAAGCAAAACACACAGCAAAATCTTGCTACCTTGGCAAAGTTTCACTAGAATGCATACTTGGTTTAGACGAAGTTTTCTGATGTTTAAGCTGCCGTGATATGTTCTGGACTGAGCTTTTATAAGTGAGTTTGAAATACGTAATATCAAATTTAAGAGCGTTGGATTTAGAGGAGTGGATGATTGACTTTTAGCGAGATCGCCATGGTTATGGCTTCTAAAATAATGTGTTGTTTGTAAATTGTTAGCTTGCACTGACAAGCCTTTCACTCCTGGGCGAAGTTATGGCGGAATGATTTGTCACTCTTACTTCAGTGACATCTGAGTGGATGAGATCCTATGCTGATTTGAGCCAGTAGGAGCTTTTTCTGTTTGGTTTTATGCCCATTGTCCCATGTTGCAGAGATTTAATGATGATTTATATTCTCCACAAGTTTACAGAAGTCTCCAGAAGAGTATTAATAGGGACTTTAAGCAAAGACTACGGAAGGTTCTAGTACGGACACGGTGACCGGAAGCAATTTTTTTTTTTTCGCCACCCGTCAATGCATCAAGTCAGGGAGTTTAAGATACCAAGACGGCGGCCATAGCGGTGAAAACGTCCCTTAAAAGTTTATTCGCGTTCTTTCATTCCTTATCGTGATTATTCCAACTTGTTTACTTTGTACAAATGTTGGCGAACTCTCCTGAGGTTGAAGCCGTGCAGTGACCCCCCACGGCAAGAAAATGTTTAAAAAAAAGGGCGATGCATGGGCAAATTCAGGGCTTGCTTGTGTTTTATCAGTCTTATTCACACCTCCACTTGGTGATATGATATCCCTTATGAAATATCTTCTTTCCCGTCAACTATATATTGCGTATTTCGCTGTATTTCTCACTTGGGTGTCGTGCTTGACACCGAAATTTGGGGCTCATAATCGAAAAATGAGCCTTCAGAAATTTCCAAGGAAGATCAAAAAAGGATAAAATGCGAATATCTTGCGATTCTGTTCCAAATGTATACTGGCGTTCTAAGCACGTAAAATACAACTAAATACTGTACGTACTAGACTCTACGATATGATTTTCTATTTATTCGGGAAGCACAGTACGGCCAGTCAATAAGTTAAATTAGCAGGTCAACAACTTTGCACGTGCCTCATATTGTTTTATCAACATTTCTTTGCCATCACTGCACGACCACTACGTGAGAATGCCTAATTTTACGTTTTATTGAGGAGGTAAGCAAACGAAGACGAACTTTTTTCCTCTATGAGTTTGCTTACATTTGACAAAATAAGGGACTTGTAATAATCGCGAAAAGGTTTGAAAGAATGCGAATCAACTTTTTACTAAAAAGGGACGTTTTGACCGCTGTCGCCCGTCGTGGCACCTCATACTTGAGGTATTGACGCGTGGCGAGAAAAAGATACTTCCGGTCACCGTACTAGACCCTTCAGTAGACGTTGCTTTAAGTCCCTGATATCCAAGGCTTGGTTAAGGCTTGGAAAATTATAACTTATCCCTAACTAAAGACGCGAATCCGTTCCCAGGCCTACCTGCTGTACTAACTGGCCAGTCCTTTAGTGACATAGACAGTTCTCACGGTAGCCAGAAGTGGAATCCTTTTGATCCATTACTTAATAAGGTTCTAAATTTCAAGCAGGATGATATTCATTTTTGATTGTTCATTTCTTCCTACAGTGATGGTAAGATTAGCTTGCAGGAGATGATCTCCGCTGTCCGTAGATTAAAGAACGCTCCTAGTGAAGCTAAGTGTCAGAAAATAGCTGAAATGCTTGACCAGGATCATGATGGCACACTTGATTTGGATGATGTGGAAATGGTTAGTGCTGAAAATCATGTAATGTAAAGTTGATGGTGCTGACTGATTCTGCATGAAAGTATGGATTATTATGGAGAACCGTTCCCACCCAGAATTCATAGATAGCGTGACAAGTTTAGGCATTCTCTCTTAATAGGATGTGTTACCGGGAACAAACGGGAACCCTCAACATTACACCGGAGAGGTGGGGGGCGGGGAGAGGGTGGTTCTCGATCCAACAGTGTACGCATTGTATTCTTTAAGACAGAAAACTATAAAATGGAACAGCGAATAAATGACAGTTACTGTACTTCGGTAGAGTTATGTAGCTATTCCCCCCCCATCTTTATGTGTTTAATTGTTTGTTTAAAATAAGTCAATTTGCTTTTCAAAAAAAAGTGGTGACAACAAAGTGAAAGGGCGCTAACAGATTTGATGCTGCCTCCTTGAGAACAGAACTAAGTTCTCACTCTAAGAAATTTAATTTTTGATACTTACAATGTAATACTATGTGAATTAGTTATATATATAAAAAGGTTTACCGCTAAGTTCTTACTTTTTCAAGGTCTTTTTACGACATTGTATGCAATGTTGTCTTTTTGAAGGTTGTAGAGTTGTTGTCAATGGAAGATGTTGACCTTACTCCGAAACAAATTCAAGACATCGTCAGCTTACTGGAGAAAGAAAGTAGATTGCAGCAGGTTGATGAACAGTCAGTCAAAGATACAAAGTCAAGCCAGTAACATTTTACATTTTCATGTGGTGTTTTCCACACTTTTATAATCGTAATCAGCTAAAGTGAATACTACAATCCTATTCTTGCGCACTGACCAATTCCAAATGTGTATGAAGTGTTAACCATGGTCGTGCTTTTTGAGGTGAAATAAAACCGAAGAAGATGATTGGGTTATTTTGTTCGTCACTTTTTTCTTTTCTTTGATACGCTTCCCCCTGGAAACATTCTTCCCAGCTTGTCAGCGATAGCCTCGTTAAAATTGCCTGTAATTTCCGTGGTTGTCTCCACTCTATTTTGTTTGGTTTACTTGTTAAATTTGCGCTTTTCCTTTTCCTTTTTCCTTTGGTAGGCTCCACATTTTAAAAGAACTTTCAAGAGTTCCTTGGCTTTTATTCACGGATAAAAACGATGTTACAGACTTGTAAACTGTGATACGGCTCGTCCGGATTATGGCAAAAAGCTGGACGGCCAAGGTGTTTCTCTTCGAGCTAAATTCCTCAGAACAAAATTATATTATGAATTTCCTTATAGTCATCAATATACATTATACAACTTTTCTTTAAGCGTTTTGGTGAATTGGATTACTTAGTTTTTTGCAGTTAGACAAAACAGAGTTACATGAACGCCTCATAATAGTATCTCCGCTGAGCAACTTGGGTGACAATTACTCGACTTGAACGTCGATGGAAGGCTGCGTGGAAGACTACGACTGAACTATAAGGCAAATTGTGATTTTGCATTCATTTTTTTTGCTTTGTTTGGTTGTGAAAAAGCCACGAGAGGCATAGAAGTAGTATTATGTGTTCAGCTATCAAGGCCATTTTCCGTTCTGCGCTCCTTTATTTAAGTTAAGCTGGACGCAGTGTTTTCCATCTTATATTTATTACCGGATGTTAGCTCTTGACCATGTTGGCTTTGCTCACTTCTGCCTTGATGTCCAGTGAAAGTACCCGTCAGTGTATCACCGGCCGGACCTATTGCAGTGTTTCCAAAATAAACAAGGAATATTTTCGGTACCAGAAGACCAAGAAGAGTTATAGTTCCAATAAGAAATAAAGAACTACACAAGAAGTACGATTTGTAAATACTATTAGCAGCATTCAGGTAACAAGGTAGAAATATCACCCACACCGAACACGACAAATACATCGTAACTCCGATATATTTTGCTTCGTTAAAATTCCTTGGAAAGTTCCGAGTTCGAAATGCGAACACTGTGGAGACAAACATCAAAATGGCGTTGAAACACAAGTTGATCGCTACGTTGAAGTCGTCTGTACTACATTCAAGGATCACGTAATCCTTATGAGAATAGGAGTTCACGGCATTAGGTGGTTTGGATAGAACCCAAATCATAGTTATGAGACACTGCACTCCTGTAATACCAATCGCCACCAACATTTGTGATATGGGGCTAACGAAAGAAGGCCGGCGTACTGACTTCTGCGCAGCCTTAAATATGCGATAGATACGATTTGTCCGCAACAGCACCGGAGCGTAACACATGGTCATCGAAACGCTGTCTGCGAAACGCCGTACACCGCATAATATGTTTGTGGGTTTCATAAAGTGTACCAGTACCGAAACATAACATGACACAACTCCCATAAACAAGATGACAGTCAGTTCTCTTCCAGATGCTTTTATGACGCGATGGCGTCTATTTATAACAAAAAACAAAGCAGTAGTAATGGTGCTGACAATACCGACTGATGCAACTGCAGTTAGAACTTTAGCGCGGATATCAGACCAAGATGGGAAAATAACTGGTAGTTGGACGCATACAGTAAGATTCTGATTTGGGATGCTTCCCTGACTGCATACAGAGCAAGTGTTGTTTCTAATGATATCTTTGGACTGGCAGCTTTCACATCGCCAACAGCAGCGTGCATTCACAAGCTCTGGAACTGTGATCTGTTTAGAAGAACATAGTTTGCTACAATATGATTGCGGTGTTTTAATTTTTCCAACACCCCACAATATCTGTCTTTCATCCAAGTTTATATGTCCCTTGATGTTTCCATCTTTACTTAGCGCACCACTCCAATTGCCCACGACAACATGACGAAACTTTTCCTTTACCTTTTTGAAATTCAGTATGTTGTAGTCACCATCCACATCGCCATTTTGGTTGAATGTTACTTTGGAACTAAGCGACGCGTCCTGAAAAGTTACGTTTTTTAAATATATCAAGAACTTTTCTCGTTTAAGGTGTTTCATCTCTTCGCACAGGCCAGACTTCCCAGAGCACAATTCTCTATGCATATTGTTAAGCGCATGTGTCACAGCGTAAACGGCATTCATTACAACCCGGACAGGCGCAATGTCCAGATCTTGAGGTAGAGAATCGCTTAGGAGACATTCTCGCGGGTAATTAAGTGGCCTAGACGAGTTTACCAGCTTGCACGTCAGAGTTTCTTGAAAAAATTCATCAAACCATGGACCGTATTTATTGTTGGACGGTTTCAAGTTTAAGAAGTACTCTTTGAAACGATTGACTTTTCCTTCAATGTAGTTTATTGTGATGGCACCATTTCCCGCCTCTTCGGCTCCGTCGGTAACTTCTTTTCTATCTCCCCAGGAATTGCTTGCAAGCCAGTAAAATTTTTCCCCATTTTTCAGCATTTTATTTGCTGCTTGAACTAGCCCTCGGTTATCTCGCTGAATACAGAATAACACAACCACATCTACTTTGCCATTTGAATTTGCTTTTCTTGTTTGTTGAAGTTCCTGGATGGTTTTTAAGTAATCCCCTTCAGTTGGGAAGGCGGGAAGTTTTTTCTTGTTTGCAATACATAGTCCCGCACGCTCCGCCTCCTCGTAAAATTTCTCCATTCCTTTTTCTCCGTACTGCCCTGGAGAATATACAGTCATCACATAGCTCCATCCAAAATAGAGAACGACATCCACCATTGCCTTACCTTGGTACGAGTTTGATGGCACAGTTCGTAAAAAGTACCCATAGATTTCTTTATCGCTGAGAACTGGAGTGGTCGAACCATAACTTACTTGAGGAATGTTAAACACCCGAAACATATTAGCAACAGCGACTGACACATCGCTCCGAAATGGGCCAATAACGGCAGACAACGGCGAAGTCCCGTTTTCTTCTCGAAGGGCGTACTTGATGATCTCTTTAGCGCCGTCAGAACCAATTGTTTGACTTCTACATGTGTCGTATATCTTAGCACCCAGTTTTATACCTGGAAGGATGGTGGAATCATTGTTGATTTCCTCCAAAGCGAATAACATGGATGCGAGGTATTGGTAACCCGGATGTCGGTCTATTTCCCCACACGCGTTTTCAGTCTTGTCACTGCGACGGTGGACAGGGAATAAACCTCCAAGAACGATACCACCGTCTGTGTGGAGGGAAATTCGATTGCCTTGATCTGTTCAAATGGGTAAACAAGCAAACAATAAAAAACAGAGCTATAATTATCTATCATTATTGTACTAAAGCCGAAGAGGTCCTCAGACTGCAGACTTCCACCTTTGTCGAACTTTGCGGGAAGCAACAGCTGGAAATACGTCTGCATTACTGGAATGCACAGAAACTCGACTTCATGTAAGCCAATATTTTCTTAATTAGACAACACTGTGATGAGAAGGCAATTAAGTGACCTTTTTAAGGCGTCGACTAAACACCAGAAAAATCCCAAGCCTCGGTTTTTTTTTCACTTGCTAAGTACACTCTTTTATTGCCAAAAAGCTTTGAGAGGAACTACATGATTATACCCCTATACGCAACAATCATAGTGCAACGAAAACGTAGCGAGAGATGTTACAATCTGTACGGATAACCTTTAACCGCCCTGGTTCATATTGGGATACTGAGTTACGCTAGACAAGGAAATTTGTCCCCACAGAAAACAAAAAACCCTTTTGTAACTGTTTCTAAATCTGAGGTCTGAAGTCCTGAGTTTAAAGTCTGTAGTCTGAAGACAGAATTTATCTTTACAGGGGTGTGGTTAGGAATGTTTCAGACGTGAGTACAGTCAATAAGTTTCAGTCCAACCCACTCCAAATTATCGTTACCACGCTCTTGACTTGGTTTCACCGTTTGCGATTTTTATCGGTTTGATGAGGTAAACGTCGTCAGACCAAGTTCTATAGGAGCATTTTAACCGTTTTTGCTAGTTCGTGTGTGAGAACTACTGAGCAAACTCTGCATTTTGGTTTGAGAATTAAAACTGGGAAACAATTAGTTACACACGTAGAGTTACATACTAGGCAACTGCACATTTTCAGCTTAAATTAAGCTATTTCCCTTTTGCTTCCATGCCTGCGCTTCTGTTTATCAATTAGCTTCAATTGACTTTTGATTCTTTGGCGTTAATGTGACCCACGATAGATTTTTATTTATTTATTATATTTGGCTTTTGATATTTTTACTCATCAATTTATTGTTCTTATTATTATAGGATACAGTTTAGTCGAAAGAATATGAAGCTTCTCCTCTCTTGATTTGGCCAAGTATATTATATTCGTAGTGAATTGTAACCAGCTTCTTGGTTGTGAATTTTGTTACTTCCATTACTAAATAAAATTGAAATGGTGGTGATAATCACTAACATCGTGCAGTGGCTCCCCCTGCAAACAAAACCCGGCCTGTTTAAGGAATATTGAAGTTGACTTTCAAAGACAAAAGTCAACATTCGCGTTGGAAACGATTTCAAGAGCGAGGTTCAATGCTGTCCGCGGATTACCGGCTGAATCAAATTATTCTCCCGGCCAAAACAAAAGAAGACTGAAAAACAGATTGGGATATTTGTGCGCGGCTCCTCTTAAGTGATTGGGTTGGTTGTTGTCGGTTAAAGCAATGAAAGCGTAATTTAATCAGGACTGAGCTGACACGGTCAAGCGAATTATTTTACAACAGGGGCACCCAACGAGAATATAGTTCAAAACCACTTAAACATAGCATTGTTAAACGTATTTTAGTATTTAACGGTAGATATAGGCATATTTTTATCCCCTAAAAATTTTTCGTCTGTTCGGATTTCCTAGCTGAAAGCCTAGTGATCCGAAAATTATAGGGATCAACTATTACCTTTTAGAAAAAACGCTCCCGAAAATTTTAGGTGACCTTTTTAGGGTAAAATCCGCTAAAAATGGGCAATTATACTATTTTTCAGATGTTTGAAAATCCTAGGAGAGGCAGGCAAGCAAGAAATTTTACCACAAATGTCCCGAAAATTCTAGACCTCAAATCTGGCGTCTTCCGAACAGATATTTTCCCAAAAATTGACGTTGGGTGCCCCTGTCACAATTCAAGCTGGATACATCGTGATTCTGGGATATCACAGACCTGCTATGTCGTTTAATTTGCACAGCCTTACCTTGGTAGTTTGCTCCAAGAGACAAGCGGCAAATCGTTGATAAAAAAGCAACATATATCCATGCTGTCGTTATGTTTACAAACTTCATATTTTCTCCTTTTTGCGTGATTAGCAAGTACTGGGCAACTGGGGAGTGACGAATAAAAAACAACATTACCAAATCAAACCTTGAATATGTAGCCATTATAAAATGAACTAAATTGCTGAGCTTGAACACACCGTTCTTAGTGCTACATCCTGAGCACATTTTGTTGGCGTTATTTCCATGGCGAATTAACAAAGCATTTTCACAATTTGATTAAAAAGGTTCAGTTCACTATCACGCACTTTCCTTAATTCTGAAGAAAACTGTAAATTGAAGATTTATGATGTAAAGGGACAAACATCATTTCGCGGTAACTTAAAACTTTCATTTCTTGAATCTTTCCATGGGCGTTGTTTGTCTCTTTCATTATGAAACTATTTTAGTAAATTTTTAAGTAATTGCTAATACTGTCTATTGCTTTTCTATAAAATATAACCTAGCTCACTACAAGTGAGCTAGATGAGCTTTAAAATAGAAGCAAGATGTGGCAGTGGCTGAAATACACGGGCGAGTTACAAAATTACTTACTAGCTGATAAAACAAAAACTTTCTACACTCCACTTCAGTGTTATATCGTTCAGTTTTGTGGGAAATTCGCTCATGTTTTGAAATGAATCTGATGAATTTATTACAAGCAGTTTTGCCACCGCAAAATAAATACAGCTGCTATCAGAATTTTAATTTGTTATGCTACAAATAAACGCCAAACCTATTCCTTTAGATTTTAGTTTTCAAGACAGAAATACAAGGAATTCTTGTTAACCCTTCACTTCCATAAACTGGTTATTTCATTCTCTTTTTCACGTACGGTTTTTCACGTGCAGGTTAATAAAATCCCATATTAGTATGAGTGACAAATATTCCTTAATCTGACAGAAACCGTAGCAGCATTGACATTTGTGTGCTTTTCTTCTTACGATTCTGATTTGCACAATGTCAATTGTCAAGACAGTTTTCCGCCTAAAGGCAATCTGATTCGTGCTATATATCATATGAGAAAAATTAGTTTCCTCCATACAATAATACCAGTAACACCAGAAAAGATAATTGATACCTTTTTTGTGTCGTGTCCGACAATAAAACAGTTTGGTATGCTAAATAAGCGGATACTGCCCTATCACAATACTATATCAGCATTAACAAATTTAAGCGGCAAAGAGGATTCAGAAATAATATTAAGACATATGACGCCTTGAAGGGAAAATAATCGTTTTTGTCACAAAATGCCGAAGCTCGATTATTTTACCCTTGCGAAGTTACCTGCGCAAAAAAGGCGTTTCTCAAAACGCTGAATTAAAGGCATTATTAAACACCACCGATTCTATTTTAGTGACTGAATTACCTGAAAACTGTTTGAATACGGCCTAAATAACAATAAACGCAACAGCAGAAGTCACAATAAACACCAACGGCGGTTGAGGAAAAGCAGCGAGCGAGTGAAATTTCTGATACAAAACGAACGCGTAAATATCGTAAAAAGCCCTTTCCATCTGGTATGATGTTTCAGATACATGTTTACACAGACATTCATTATTCCGCCACCCAACATTTTATTGTTTCCATATGCAAAGATGTTCTTTCCATTTTTGAGTTTGGCCTTTTAGGCCTGGTTTTGGCCTCTTTTGGCCTTTTGAGGGAAACAATGAAAATGTGGTGGCGGTGGTGGTGGTGGTGGTGGTGGGAGGGAAAACAACAGAAATGTGGTGGCGGTGGTGGTGGTGGAGGGAAAACAATAGAAATGTGGTGGCGGTGGTGGTGGAGGGAAAACAATAGAAATGTGGTGGCGGTGGTGGTGGTGGTGGAGGGAAAACAATAGAAATGAGGAGGAGGAGGTGGAGGAGGGGGGAAAACAATCAAAATGAGGAGGAGGAGGAGGAGGAGGGAAAACAATAAAAATGAGGAGGAGGAGGGGTAAGTAAAACATTGCTTGCAGTGTAAAAAAGAGCTAGTTTGCCTTTGCCCTCTTTAATATACACGATTTGCCCGCCAAAAATCAGTGAACCGGAACAAGGACAATCACAGCAGCAGGAAATAGGAAGTGCATAATTACGTTACGTCTCAGTGATTTTAAGTCACAGACAAGTTTGACTTTACTCCTCAGACACTATGAATTAACCAATGAAAACGTTTCTTATTTCCTAACTAACCAATCGAAAAGGAAGACTCTATCGACATTAAAGTAACTAGAAAACCTAAACCAACTAAAAATAACACACGACCTTATCTTAATGAGATTCCTACGCATTTTATTCATGAGATCAAGACAATAACCTATGACGTCAGCGACGTTAATTTATTCCACAGCAATTTAATGAGAAACCACAGCATTTTATTCATGAGATCAATACAATAGCCTATGACGTCAGCTAGTTAATGTATTCCTGCGCACGCTAATGAGATTCCTGCGCAAAAAAGTGGAAACCGTGGTGCACCCTATACTACTTAGTACTGTATTATCCTGGTGACCGCATAGACAGGCTCTCAGAAAAACGCTACGGACTTGTGATTACTAAATAAAACAAAGAGGGAGAAGGGAAGGACCAAAAACTGCAGCACAAAGCCAAGAAAATTAAACGTTTTGAAACTTAAAGGGCTTCACTACAAGGGTCAAACATGGGAAGTAAGACGGACTTCAGACATGTCACGATATTTTGCTACTGTTTTGTAGTGATAAAATCATATTAACTCATTGAAATCTGTACTCATTTTAACTGAGTACAAAGTCGACAATAAGCACATGGTTGTGACAAGGAAGATAAACAGTGCTCCGGTAACCAGCTTCCGCCGAAAGTGGGATATATGGAAGTTTGTGACTCGAAACACAGAGAAGTGTCCGTTGTCCGTATTAACTGGTGTCCGTATTGAGCGGGTTAAATTTAAAGAAAATACATGAGCTTTCCGTCGGGACAAACGAAATTATCCGTTATCTACAAGTGTTCGTAGAGCGGGGTTCCACTGTATTGTTCATTCAAAATATTTCGCCGTTTCTGATTAGCCTGTCCCAGGCCCCAATATAGTAAGGAAAGCGGATCGAGAAAAGGTGTACGAAAACCGCGTGGGGCTGGGGGTGGAGGCTTGAAACAATTCATCATTTCAATCCATAACAGAGTCATTTATATACAAATACATGACACTTGCAATAGTTTATTTTAAAGATTGTATATTTTCAGATTCTTCTGAGCCTTCTAAAATGCGTTGAAGAGAGGAAGATGTACAGAATGTTTTTCTTTGTGGGATTTACCAGGTATGACTCATACCAGACCATCAGTGCACCCTACTTCTCATGACACCGACCTGATCTTCAATAGCTGAGCCTGCTCTTCATTTATCGTCTGTATCATCGTGATGTCTCAAAATTATTGTTCCCCAATATCGCGGTGATTGAAACAATCTGAACAATGACTGTACGGTGACCAGGCTCTTAAAAAAAGTCCAAATCCAAAGTGATTAAGTTGAGTGCTCTACTGCAGGTTTCAGTCCTGTTGTCAAATAAGCAGCAGGCCCAGGGCCATTCTCATCAGTGTCTACACTGCCTGGTGGAGAAGTTGAATAAATTCTCTCTCCCGTTGGAGAAAGAGCAAAGTTGTGGTTTGTTTCATGTTCCAAACAATGGGCAATTTTCTCCTCTAAGTTTTCTTTGGTAACCCAGTTCTTGCTTTCTTCCTACATTAGAGGCAACAATAACAACTGGTAAGTACAGTGTACATCATTAACCGTACGCTTGTTATCTACCAGAGGATGATAAAGAGGGCCTGCAGACACGGATGACTAGTTGCGGGCGACCAAAAGCGACCCCGCAGACTATTTTTGGTCAGCGCCACTTTATAAACAGTTTACTGTATAGCGAACTTTTTCCAGAATCTGTCCACATTCTTGGGATGCCCCTGTTGTGCCTACTAATATGCATGGTATGTGACACCACTAAGTCCCTGGGCCCAGTTGTTGGAAACCCGATTATTGCTAACCCAAGGTAAAATTTTAACCCCGGTTTCTTTTTCGTTTGTTCAAAAGCATTTTCCCGGGTAATTTCCTCTATTCTTTTAAGAAAATGCAATCATCAAATTGTAGACAAAAAGAATAAAACTGAATTTGATTTGTAAGCTTTCACATCTGAATTCAAATTTCGAACTAACCCTGTGTTATTCTTACCCTGATTTGAACAACCCGGCCCTGATGTTGAGTCAATAAGGTCTGTCTGATAGTATCACGTTAATCACATGAATACACATGCAAGTGACGAAAAGTAAGAGGCCTGAAATGTAGAGGTTTTGCAAAAACGAATATTTAAGTTTAAGGAATTACTTTACTTAGTACGGCCATGAGTTACAAAAGAAACGAAGTTGTGTACGTTTAGATCTGTTTGCCCATACAAGCATTTGGAGAAAAATAATATATCATTAAGTTCTCTATCATATACTATAGGTAACATGTGCAGTCTAATAAGCCTTTCCTTATGAGACATTTCTCCGATACGAGACCACAGTATCCATCGTATGGAACTTCTCTGCATGCGCTCTAACTTGCCTTGTTGGTAGCTGTGACTAGGGGACCACACTTGCGTTCTAAAGCAGAGTTGCGATATAACGAGGGACAGATGTAATGTCCGTTTGACTGCCCCGTTTGTCAATAGTGGGCAAGTGCGCTTTAGGAGTCCATAAGTTTCATAATTGCTTAAATAAGGTGCATTTTAAAACATTTATTAGTATGAACATCATAGAGACTCAGTGCTAAATCCCCACAAAAATTAATTTCATATTTTGATTGAAATTAAAATGCAACATTTTATTGTATATGTATTTCATGGTGTTAATTTCCCATAAAATTCTCC